AATTTCAAAATTTATTTCTCAAAATTAAAACAAAAAGCTAAATAAACAAATTTATTTTTAAAATCAAAAATAAATAATATTCTCTTTATTTTATTTATTTTTTCTCTTTCTCTTTATATCCTAATACTATATTTAGATTATTTTTAAAATATTTTTTCGAGGATTGTGAAATAAAAATAAAATTTAATATGCACTTTTTGTAAATTATTTAAAATTGTTTCCAAAAATATTTAATAATAGGTAATTTAATTTAATGAAATTAAAAATAAATAAAAAAGAAAAAATGTTTGTAAATTTATTTTAATCAACAAAAAATACATAATATAACAATAAAGTCTTTGTTCACAAAAAAAAATTTTTAATTTTTTAAGTATAGAATTAAATATCTATCATAAAATTAGCATACAAATTAAATAGAACTTCAATTAAAATCTATAAATCAGTAAAGCTTAAAAATAATGGAAGAACAATATAATCAGACCTTTTTAATTAAAAAGAAACAGATCCCAGTCAATAGAAAAACGAAAAGAAGCAAGTATGGGACAAATTTCTGGCCCTTATCAATTTTGGTATCAATCTCTTTAGAAAAATTGGTAGGATTCGGAAATCCTGAAGGAAGTTATGGCTTTGCGACGTTATATCCCGCGCCACGATTTGGGCGTGTCCCGAATTCCTTACATCTTGAAAACTGAAAATCCCAATTAAAAGGGGGAGAAAATAAAAAAATAAATAGTCAGGATCTTAATTGTATGTACACCCGTTAGGGATGGAAGTGTACGTAAACGAAAAAGCTATGAGATATAGCTAGGCATCCCCCCCCCCCCCCCACAACTATTAAGTGGCCCAATCAATTTTAAAAAATTGTTCGTACAATAATGTACATAAATTTAGGAGGTATACATACAATTATAGAACTTGATATTTACGAAATCCAAAAATTTTTTAATTCAACAAAAAATAGATTCAAAAATTTATTTGTTTCTCAAGTCTCTTTTGTTTCTGCCAAAAAGGCCCCAATTAAATTACAAAATTTCATTTCAAAAAATTTGTCAGAAAAAATTAAAGCTTTACGACGTGCTGCTTCTCGAATATCTTTTCTATCCTGTACATTCATTTTTGTAATTATTTTGAGGATAATATTTACATATTCTTTGAAATTTTTTAAATAAAAATTATTTTCTTTAAAAAATTTATTTTTACCTTCCCTTGTAGAAGCTAGAAATCCACATTTTTCAAAATATTCCTCATCAACTTTATTTAAATTTTCATTTCCAATAATATCCAATGCAGGGCCACCTTTGAAAAAAATTAAATTTAATTTTAAAAAAGTTTTCAAAAATTTTTTCTAAAAAATCACCAGAATTGTGTGCAACCATAATAACCCCAGCAGCCATTCCCTCAACCACAGAAATTCCAAAATGTTCATTCCACATTGTATGTAACCCAATTAGTGAATTCTTTTAAAAAGAATTTTTTAAATAAAAATTTTTTAAATTTACCTTCATTAATTCCAACAATCTTTCAAAATCAATATTTAATTCCCAATCAATTTCATCCCCAGTTTTCATTCCCAAATGTTTTTTGGCATAATTTTGTAAAAATTCAACACGTTTAGTGTCCTCTTCATTTCGACAACCTCCAGCAATAATTAATTTTACCTTTTTTTGAAATTATTTAATTTTAAATTTAAAATAAAGTCTTACATTAATATTAATTTTTTGTTCCAAAAGTAATCTCCTCACATCAGCAAAAATTCGTAATTGCTAATTAAAAATAAAAATTTTTTTTGATAAAATTATAAAATAGGTTCATGGAGAAAATATGGAGGAAATGAATCCGAATAACAAAGAAATTTTAAATTTTTTGGCAAGAAATTCCTTTGAGTTTTAAAATTAAAATTATATTTATGACTTCGTTTTTAATTATCCAAAAATTTAATTAATTTTTAAATTAGCAAAAAATTTTTCAGAAATATTTCAACGGGGAGGTCGAAAGAATAAAAATATCTAAAAATAATCTCAATATTCTTTCCCTAAATTTAAATTAAAAATTATTTAAATACCTCAAGATGATTCTTTTCTGGCCTAATTTGGCCTACCGAAATTATTGAAACTTCCAACTTTTTTTCTTCATTATTTTCCCCATTATTCTCTAATTTATATTCAGAATTATTTTCCAATTCTAAAAGTCTCTCAACATTGCAAGGGGGAAATACAATTTTTGGTTTGATTGACCAAAGTTGTTCGATATGTGAAGCTGTCCAACTTAAATTTTAAAAAATGGAATATTTACAGAGCTTTGAACTGCTGGAGTTTTTCGAAAAACAAAAAAGCTATAAAAACAAGTATAAATCAATTTCTAGACGTACGAGAATTAACAAACTTCAATTATTAATCGATATAAAAAAATCCAAAGACGATTCTTTTATCCCATACCCATTTCTTGTTAAATAAAAAAAACCTTCCATTAGCCATAGTTAATTGAGAACAACTTCCACAACTTTTATAAAGTAATGCAACAATTCGATAATAAATTAATTTTAATTTAGTTAAGAAAAAACTAGAAGAAATTGTAGAGGAATTGTTGTAAGTTGGTGTTCTTGAATTTACTAATTGGATCATTTCTGAAAAATTTAAAAAAAATAAAGATTTAAGTGAGGGAAGTTTAAATTATAACAAATTAAACAAAAATTATTCAAATTCTAATAAAGGTAAACTAAACTCAAATTATCAGTTTAACAGGATATTAAAAGACAATTATTTTTAGTTAATCCTATCACAAAAAAAATTTTTTGTGAACGTTATTTAATTCTTAAAATTTAAAAAACCAGTTGTAATTGTTGGGTAATGAACATAACAAAGAGTTTTTGCACCTCCCACCCAATAAAATAAAGGTAAAGTCAAAGGACAGCCAGTAGTGTCCATAAACCTTAAAAATTAATTTTTAAAAAATTTAAAAAATCAAAAAAACCATTCAGGACAAAATCTCCACAAAGCTTCAAATCCAACAATTAACCCGGCAAATAATTGGGCAATTAAAGTAAAACGTGGATAGTTTTTAGCCTCCAACAACCATCGTGATCGAAGAAAAATAAATTGAAGGCGATTGGTTGGAACAGAAATTCCAAAACGAGAATTGACCTAAAAAAGGAAACAAATTGACAAAAAATAAACTCGAATATTTAACAAACCTTGAATAAAACACTCTAACAAAATCCAACTAAACCCCACCCACACACAACAGCAGATCACATATATATATTAAACAATTTTATAATAAAATAACCTTTTTAAGAATTTCCTGTGGTGTTCTATCAATATCACCAGTATAAACGATAAAATTCAAATCAGGAAAACTAAAATTAAAAAAATTATTGATAAAATTTATTTAGTGAAAATTAATCTTTTAATCGTTTAAAAAATATTTTCATCAGAAATTTAATAAAAAAAATTTTTTAATTACCTTTGATGCATCGCATTTAAGGCCAACCAAAGCACCCTCTCACCTCCTCCACAAGCATCACAATAAGGATGGAAGAAAGCAAATGTATCAGAAATTCTTTAAAAAAATAAATTTAAAAAATAATTAAAAATAAACCTCTTCCTTCGAATGTAGAGAAAAAGTAAATAAATAAAAATTAATAAAATAATAAAAGGAAATGAAATAGGGAAAGCCATACTTTTATTTTAAAGCTGAAAAATTTAATTAAAAAATAATTTAAAAATAAAAAACTTAGTTTTAACTAAATTTTGTTTATATTTTCGTTATTAAATCAGAACTTTGGGATAAAAAAAATATTTAATAATTATTAAGTTATTTTTACAAACTTTAAAAAAATTAAAAAAAAATAAATTTAATAATTTATTCAACTTTTAACCCCCAACTTTTTATAAAAAAAAAAGAATTATTATTAGATTTTACTTTCAAGAGGAAAATAATTAAATTTAAAAATGTTAATTAATTAATACTTTCCTCAAAACTTTTAACAAAAAAATAAAACCTTTTTTTGTAAATAAGTAGTGTTTAACATGTTTTTGGAATGAAAAGAAAAATACCTTTGGAATAAAATATTTGGATAGTTAGAAATATTTTTTAAACAATAAACTTGTATGTCTAAAAAGGCAGCAAATTTAAGGCAGATGATAAAAAAATTTTTTAATTCTCTTAATTAATTCCTTTAGTATAAATTTTCATAAAATTCATTTTTATTGAAGTTAGTAATGTTCGAAAGATTAAAGGTGTTGGGGTAGTTGGAATATTTCAAAAATTATTCGAATATCCGAAATCATGATACTCTAAACAACAATATCTGAAAAGCCTTTATATTTTATTTTCTAGTCATAAGCTGAACTTTGAATAGGTTTTGGAATGATTTGAGCTTATTGTTTTTTTTTGTTTGATTCTTTGGAGGGGAGAAATTGAGCGCAAGTTCTAAACACATAATCCCACTACTCTGAATAAAGGGATTAAAGGAATAAAGGGATAATAACCAAAACTATCAAAATTTTCTGCCAAATAAAATACAAAAATTTAAGTAAAAACCCCATTAAATATTTAGAAAAACCCAAAAAGGATTAAATAAAATAGTATAATTTTAAATAAAAATTCTTTACAAAAATAAACTGAAAAAAAAGAATTTCATTTTTGAATTAATAAAATGTGTCTTTTGTCGGGAAGCTAACATAAATAAGAGCACAATGTTTAAGAAAAAAACAAAATTATAAGCATTTATCTCCATTTTTTTAATAAATCCAAAAATATTTTTAGAAACAAAATTTAAGCAAAAAATGGAAATAAAAATCCCTCAACAATCATAACATACAATAATTTTTTTGTTGAGGTGTTATGGATGGACGGATATATTTTTTATTTTCTAGTCAAAAGCGCGTTACAAGAGAAAAAGCGTTAAAAAGGGGGAAGAAAATTGTGTGAAATGTTTATTTTTTAATTCATTTAATTTGTTGTTGAAATGTTGTTGTTTTTAATTTGATATGTTTTTATCATTTATTTTGATCAACTCTTCGACGTAATTCAATCAATTCAGCATGCATTTCAGAAAATCTTCGATTACATTCTTCAGCAAAACGATCAAAATCAGCACGAGAAACCCATTGAGAAGTTGAAGGAGTTGTTTGAGATAAAGATATTCCTCCACCTGTTGTTCGATCAGTAATGTTGGAAATGGCAGATTCTGGTGACGAAGATAATGGAATTGTTGACATTTCTTTTGTTGCTGATGTTGTATTGAGTGTAGAAATTGAAGGAACCTAAAACAAAAAATTTGAATTTAAAATAATTAAATGAAGGGGTGTTTGTTTACATGGCTAGTAATTAAAGCAGTCTTTGGTGGCTGAAAACTAATTCTTTCTGCAAGTGGCACATAACGATGTTGAGATTGGCTAGTTTCTTCTCCAGCTTTTTAAAAATAAAAAATAAATTTTCTTTTAAAAATAAAAATTAATTACAACTAGCTGAAAAAACACTTGTAGTCTTAATATTATTATTTATTCCTGTTGCTGTTGTAGGACTTGAAGTAGAAGATTGTGTTGTTTTAGAAGTACTAGTAAATGTTGGTGATGACATTTCTAATATTTTTGTATCGTTGTTATTGTCAAATGAATCTCTTGTATTTTCAGCTAATAAAGCAGCAGAATTCTTAAAATAAAAAATATTTATTTAAATAAAAATATTTTTAAAATAAAAATTTTGCAAAAATAAAAAAGAGTAAATATTCAAAGAATTAAATTGATCTAAATTGTCGATAAGTTTAAGAAAAAATGTAAATATACATTTTTTAAACTATATACAACGACGTTCAGAGGAAATAAAATAAAGAGATAAATTAATATAAAAAGTTAATTTATGACTCATTCTGTTAGTATTTTGTTGCGCATTTTAGATGTAAAAGAAAAAAGTTTTGTTTAAAAAAATTAAAAAAAGTTGCGAGTTTTTTTGTAATTTATAGAAGAATAAATTAAAATTTGTTAGTTAATTAATGAAAAAGAATGCGTCGTAAAAATTTTCGATTATGACGCAGGAAAGTTTGACGCAACTAGAGCTCAATATTTAGTTTTTTTATTTAAAGTTCGAAATTCCGTATGAATCCTAAATTCGAAAGAGTTGGAGCCCAACTTCCCGAAAATCTTGGAACCAGAGCCCAAATTTCCCAAACTCACATCAACAATTTATGGAAACAAGGAGATAAAAATTTAAATAAAAAAATTTTTAAAATTTTCTCACCACTTTAGAAGGCGGACGTTTATTTGACGGCACAATTTTTGTTCGTGCAGTAACAATTGAAGAAGAAGCCAATAATTTATTATTATTTTGTTGTTTATTTATTCCCCCACCACCACTAATATTATTATCGAAATCAGTCATTTTTGGTTCAACATTTGTCGAAGCTTCTGCTAATTTTCCTCCACTAATAATTGTAGAATTACGTTGAGAGCCTGGTTGTTGTAAAGGCAATTTCCCTCCAGGAAATAATATTTTTTGCATTCCGGCAATCATTGAATGACGATTTCCAGGCGTATTATTAGAAGAAGAGATTATATTTTGTGTTGCTGCATTTGTTGGACTAATATTATTATTTTCTGTATCATTTGAAAGTGAAATTGCAGAAGTTGTCATTAATTTATCTGTGCCTGGATCTGTTGGTGTTTTTGCTTCAGATGACATATTTGGTTGTTTTGTTGTTGAATCTTTAAAAAGAAATTATTTTCTCTTCAATTTTTTAAAAACATTTTATGATTAAACTAAAAATCATCCAAAATTAAAAAAATCATAAAAGAATTCAAAAACATTAGTCAAAAAAATAATTTTAGAAAGAATTTTCCTATTTTTGGGTATATGTATTTTTATATTAAAAGGAAAAAGAAGATTCATAACCAAAAACAATCTAAAATGATAAGGAAATAAAAAAGAGCCTAAAATTGACCCAATATAAAAAACAAATATTTTTTACTGATTTTTTCACATGTTATACTATTAATTCCCTAATTTGAAAAGTAAAGCAAATTATGATTGATTTTGACCATTTCGCTAAATCAATGGCCAAGGTTTAGTAAACCTTAACTTCAGATCAAAAATGTTAATTAAATTAAAAAATGTAAATACCTCCAAATAAAGAGTCACGAACAAATGCCACAGGTTGAGAATGACCATGTGTTGAAGCATTAAATTTTTGTGGCTTTGCCGGAAGAGAAGGTGGTTGATGTGGAATTTGTGAATTTTGAATGTTGATTGCAGACTCAGACGGCAAGAATTTAACAAAATTATCAGGAAATAATCCTCTACGGCCATCTGGAGCTTCAGCGATAAACCAGCCTTCGTCTTCGCATTGACGATTAATGACAATAACAAGAGTTCCTTCTGGTAAACTAAGTTCATCGGGAGCAGCAGCATCATATTTGTACAAAACTTTAGCCATATCTAGATTTAAATAAACATTTAAATTTTGAAACAAGAGTTATATTCATTAGAAGAAAAAAATATTTTTTAACCTTTATCAGCTGAAGGCGCAAATGAATGAGAATTTGAAGCATTTTCAGTCATCAGCGTTGACGTAACTCTACGTGCACACATTTCTCCTGTCCGGCTACCAACCGTCCCTCCCCTGAGAAGACTTGAAGGCAAAACATTTCCAGTGTGTAAAACGCCGGGGCTTGATGTAACAGTTGTGGCACCATTGCCCAACGAGGAAAAATTGTTTCCAACCCCTCCAATCACAGTAGTTTTTGGTGCTGATGAAGAAAGTTGATGGGCACTAACCCCGCTAATTAAAGTGGAATGGGAATTCTCTTGATGCGACTTGTCTAAAAAATCAAAAATGAATTCAATAAAAAAGCAAATTGCAAACCATGTGAGGAGTCAACAGATCGTGGGAATGTAGATGAAGGGCTGCTCAAAACAGCTGAAAATTAAAAAAAATATTAATTTTGAAACAAAAAATATTAAATACGAGGAATTTGTTTAGAAGGTGTTGCAGAGGAAGTAGAGACAAAATTAGTAGGATACAGTCCAACAAGTCCTTTCCTTCCAGGATTATTTGGAGAATTAATAATTTCACCACGAGCCCAACCATCTTCTGTATGAGCCAAAACAGCTAATTCATCACCTTCTTTTAAATCCAATTCGTCTGGTTGTTGTGCAGCATAAGAAAATCGAACGACTGCAGTTTCTGCTGAATGGAAGGGAAGACCAAATCCGGACGTTGATGTATTAAGTGCTGAAAATTATTTTGGAAACCTACAAAATAATTTTAAAAAACCTCTATTTCTCAATGGAACATTTTCCAATTTTGTCGAGACCATTGTAGAATTCCCCAAGCCAGACCCATAATCTTTGCTTAATCTGTCAACAATACGTGCAACATTTCCTTTTTCACACTTAAAAAAATTATTTAATGCTTCAATTAAATAAAAGAAAATAAACCGATTTCTGTTCACTGTTCATTTTGTGTTTGTTTATAATTAAAATAATTTTTTCTTTCAAAATTTAATTGTTATTTTTTATTTAATATTTGTTATACTAGCTACTATGTTAAAATCTGAAAATGAAAAATTTTTTTAGAGATTGTAGTTAAATAGGTAAACAAAAAATAATTAAAAGTCCCCCCCCCCCCCCCCACAAAAAAAGAAAACCATCAACCCTTTCTTTTTCGAGTCTTATCAAACCCAAGCCTATAGAAACCTCACACATTTTTTAATAAAAAAGTGTTTCCCTAAATGTTTTCAACAATACACAATTTAAAAATTCACAAAAGTGGCCACCTTGTGAAAGAGAGGGAGTGCTTACTCAGCAGAGAAAAACAGCAAATATAAAAACATTTTCATTGCAAAAATACGCTTTTTAAAGAAATATGAGTCATATGTAAAAAAGATTAAAAAAGGTTCAGAAGCGTCATCGTATAATTATTTTAAGAAATTGCCTTTATGTACTAAATGTACATAATTTGAAAAATAAAATTTTGGCAAAATGTTTTTTGGAAAAATTTTTTAATCGATTTTTGATTTACCTTAAATTTAAAAAATACTTCATTTTTCCCAGGCTCGATATGGAAATCAACCTGATCCAGGTTAAAAACTAATAGTAAGTGTAAGAAGAGCCAATTTAGTAGATAGGATCGTGGACAAAACGTCACCTCTTCTCCAATTTTACATTTTCTCTCTAATTCTGCCATCTAAAAGTTTTTTTTGTTTTCAATCGATTAACATTAAACTATTAATTGATGCGCAGTAGATTAAAAATAAAGGCAAATGAAGATTCATCAACCCAGTCTGCTGACAGAGCAAACATAAAAGCTATTTAATTATTTGTAATGTTGGGTAATACAACTCTTCTACTCTTTTTCATTTTTTAATTTACTAACTGACAAATGAAAATGATCTTTTTTAGCTATAAATTTTCAGTTTTATATTTAATTTAAAAAATGTCGGCTTCTAACGGAACTTCTCTGATTCGCCAGAATTTTTCTGCCGATTGTGAAGCTGCTATTAATAAACAAATAAATATTGAACTTTATGCTAGTTATGTTTATTTGAGCATGGTTGGGAATTTGTGAAATAATTTTTACTAAATCTTTCAATTTAAGAGCTTTCACTTTGACCGTTCTGACGTTGCTTTGCCTAATTTGGCCAAATGGTTTCGAAAACAGTCAGATGAGGAGCGCGGACATGCCACTACTTTGATGGCTTATCAGGTTTTTTTAGGGCTTTTACTCATTTGAGTTATAAAAATTAATTTTAGAATACTCGTGGTGGACGTGTTATTCTTCAGAATGTTCAGGTAACTTTTCTTAATTTTTTCTTAAAAATTATTTTTGTATATAGAAGCCAGAGAAGGACGATTGGGGCACTTCACTTGAAGCTTTTGAAGCCGCTTTGGCACTTGAAAAGTTCAATAATCAGGCTTTGCTTGAACTTCATAGTCTTTCTTCGCAAAATAATGACCCACAGGTTCCTTTATTTTAAATAAATTTTTTAATTCCATTTTTAGATGTGTGACTTTTTGGAGGACAAGTATTTGCGTGAACAAGTGGAGTCTATCGAAGAAATTGGGTTTGCTATTTTATTTTTTTAAATTTTACTTTCCGTTTATTTATAAATTTAATTTTATTTTTTAATTTTGTTTGAACAATTTCTGTAGTAAAATTATTTCTAGCAAGATCATCACGAATCTGAAGCGAGTTGGAACTGGTCTGGGAGAATTTATGTTTGACAAGGAATTTGACTCCTAAATGCAACGAAATGACATAATTAAAGAAAGGCTGCGTAATTAAAAAGAAAATAAGCATGTTATTTTTTAAGTAAACGTAAATAATTTTAATTTTCTTCTTTTTTGACTTTTCCTATGGAAATTTATTTAATTTTGCATTTTTACATTCTGGCAAGTTTTTTGTATTTGTTTTCGGCATTTTTTTAAAGATTATTTTTTGAGACACGAAAAATTTAATTTTTTTAAATATTAGGAAAATTTATTCTCTTAAATGCCGAAAATTTTAAGGAATTCTTACATCCTATATATTTCTTATCTCATTGCGGAATGTGGCATTTATATCTTTTATTTAACTTGATAAAAATTAAAATGTTTTCTCTTTAATTTTAAATAAGAATTTAATTATATTTAATTTTATTTATTAAATGATGTTAGTTGGGTTATATTTTTTACATTGTTTATAAGATCTGAAATGGTATCACATAGTGATCGACAATTGTGTGTAGCTTTCGATGAGGTTTGTTTTTTCTATTTTTTGGGTTCGTTATGATGAGTAGGGTTGTCGTTTTCGAGTCGTGCCCACGGTCGAGGCATTTCGGGCCAAATATCTTAGGCCCGGCTCGATCCTTTGGTCCGAGTCGGTCCATTTTGGCAATTAATGGTGAGGGTTATTGTTAAGATTTTGTACAATTTCTCTTTTAATTTTATTCCTTCCTCGATAGAGTCCACCATCAATGGTACGCAATGTTTGTATTATAGCCCATGTGGACCATGGTAAAACTACACTTGCTGACTATTTAGTTTCTGCTAATGGAATTATTTCTGGTATATTTTTACTAAAATTTAAACGATTTTAAAAAATTTTAGCTCGCCTGGCCGGTAAACTCCGTTATATGGATAGTCGAGAGGATGAACAAATACGAGGGATTACTATGAAATCAAGTGCTATTACTCTTTATTATGAACCTGTACTAATAAATTTGATCGACAGGTTTTATAAGATGAAGCTTAAAATTTTTTAGTAAAAATTTTAGCCCTGGTCACGTTGATTTTTGCAATGAAGTTAGTTCTGCTGTAAATTTAGCTGATATTGGCATTCTTCTTGTTGACGTGGTTGAAGGTGTTTGTGCTCAAACTGAATCACTTATACGTTTGGCATTGATCAAAAAATTGGACATAATACTTGTGCTTAATAAAATTGATAGGTTTATTTTATTAAATTTAAGTATATTTTAATAATTTTTAGATTAATTGTTGAACTTAAAATGTCTGAAACAGAAGCACACAAACATTTGCAACAACTTATTGAATTTATGAATGCCTGTCTTTCGAAAGCTATTCAGGGTCAATTATTTGAAGAAGATTGGAAAATTTTTGACCAGGTCTTCAAATTAATCTTTTAAAATTCTATGAATCCTTTAATTAGGTAGAGGCCAGAATGCATTTTGATCCATCCAAAGGAAATGTTTTGTTCGCTTCAGCACTTTATGGCTATGCTTTTGCAATTGAAGATTTTGCCGAATTATGGGCTAAACGTTTAATTGCTAGACAGACATGGCAATCAGAAGAAACAAATAAAAATAAGAGGATGGACGTTAAGGTTTTGATTCTTTTAAATCGGTAATAAAAAAGTTTTTTAAGGCCGAAATATCTGAATTAAGAACTCAACTAGCTCAACATCTCTTTTCCAGAGACCACTATTTTTCATCTAAAACAAACAAAATTTGTTCTGGTGCTGAACAAAAGGATAAGAAAACTATGTTTGGTGAGTAATTTTTATTTTTTATGGAGATTATTTTTTAGATCAATTTGTGCTTGAACCTCTTTGGGAAGTTCATAAGTGTGCACTTGTGGACAAAACAGTGGATAAGTTAAGTCAAATTGCTTCCAAGTTGTCTTTGCCAAGTTTAAAGAGTCGAAGAGGAGATGAGGTTTTATTTTAATTATGACAGTAAAAACAATTAAAATTCTTTGGAATATTTTCACCAAAATATTTTTAAGGCCTTCCCAGAACTAATGCGTAATTGGCTTCCATTGAGTTCTGCAATTGTTCGTGCTTGTGCTAGAAGTTGTTCAGCACAAAATGCTTATAAAATGCCACACAACGACTCTTTGTCAGATTGGAATAGGATTCGAGATTTGTTTGTTCAAAATGATGGAGATGTTGGCACTTTAGTAGGTGGCCATTTTTATTAAAGTCTAGTAATTTGTTCTAAAAATTTCTCTCATAAAAATATCAGAAAACGATTATTAAATTAGTCCTAATTTTAAAAAGTTTTTCTTTTCCAGATAAAACCCAATTATCTACTCCTTTGCCGTATACAGCTAATTGTTTAAGCAAATGTGATCCAAATGATCCATTAGTGTTAGGATTTGTTGCTAAAGCCTTTGCCGCATCTGATCAGGTTCAGATTCAACGTCGTATCTCTCTTTGCCGAGTAATGTGTGGAACTTTAAGAAAAGGTATTTAATTACTAGGGAGTGGCAAAATATGCACGAAAAATCCAAAAATATGCGCATATATATGCACCGAAAAAGCCCAAAATATGCATCAAAATATGCCAAATTTGCCTAAATATGCACTAAATATGCAGCAAAAATAATAAAAATTTGCTTTAAAAATCAATATTTCAAGTTAAAAATACAAATTTAGATTAAAATTGCAGTTTAAAAGCCTTTTTGGAAGATTTTATTAACTTACAATTCAACTAAAAAATTTTTTTGAAAGAAATTTTTCCCAAAAAATTTTTCGAAAAAATTTTTTCAAAAAATTTTTATCAAAAAATTTTTTGCTTAAAAAACCCAAAATTTTGAAAATTTTGCCAGATTTTTACTAAAATTTCTCAAAAAATGCCAAAATATGCACAAATTTAGGTAAAAATATGCAAAATTTCCAAAAATATGCCTACATATGCAAATATGCACAAAAGTGCCGAAATATGCAAAAATATGCTATAGGAACCCGGTCCCTAATGTTCGTACCAATGTAAAAACACCATTTTTGAGCGTTTCAGCTCATGGCATATCCGCATACAAAATATGCATTTGCATGTTTTGCCACTCCCTATTAATTACTTATGGAATGTTTAACGATTTTAATTTTGATAGGCGATCAAATTTTTGTTTTTAAATCCTTACAAAATGCTAAAATCACTCAAACTGGACAGTCTCGACTAGAAGAAAATGATTGCTGGCGTGAATTTACAGTTACTGCTTTATTTATTTTATTTGGTCGTGATCTTCTTGAAGTTGAACGTATTCCTTGTGGACGCATCTGTGGAGTTGAAGTTAATGGGGGAGAGTGGATTGGAGGTATTTTTATGAAAATAATTTTTTAAACTTAAATTTTTAAAGGTTCTTTGTTTAGCAATCGCCAATTATCTCCTTCAGAAATCCCCCATATGGAAGGAGCTAAACAACTTGGAAAATTTGCTGATCCAATTGTTCGAGTCACAATAAAACCAGCAATATCTGGGCCGGCAGAATTTGCTGAATTACGGGCTGCTCTTCGACAATTAGCAGTTTTAGATTCAGCAGTTAGTATAGTTGAGCAGAAGGAAAATGAATTTTTGATGTTAACTGCTGGAGAGGTACATTTACAAAAATGTATTGAGGTATGAAATTTTGAGAGGAATGAAAAATATTTTTTTATTAAAAGGATCTTAACTCGCTTGGTCAGACAGATTTAGTTGTTTCTGAACCAATTGTTCCTTTTCTTGAAACTTTGGTTGTTCCTGATCAACGTTTATCACACGCAAAAATACTCACTGATCACCTTACAGTAATTAAATAACAATAAATTTCCAAACTTGTTTTAATCAAAGGAATGTTTTATGCCTCAATTTGGTCTGAGGATACGTTTGAGAGCCGTCCCATTAACTGGACTAGAACCAGAAACTAATAAACTTTTTGAATTGATGGAACGTAATAGTCAACTCATTGATTCTCTTAAAGAAGGTGAATTAAAATTTTCTTATTTAAAAGTATATTTTCAAATTTAAGGCATTTCTAATCTTCAACATCGTTCTAAAATTGAAGCTTTTCGTTTAGAATTAGCAGAACAAGCAAGTATTAGTCTTCCTAAACTTCGTGGGTCTTGGTGGGCAAAGAAGCCTTCCGTACAAATTCGACAACTTTTTACTGAAAATATTCTTGCTTTTGGACCAACAAAAGCTCGATTAAATATTCTTTTCAATAACAATGCTTTACCTTTTTATAATAATGAAGATAATGAAAATAATAATAAAATGAACAGAGATTCTGAACAGAAGGAAGGAAATACAGCGTCTATTAGAGAAGGTCGTTTAATAATACACTTTTCGTTTATCATAAAAATTTTGCAGCTAATCTCAGTCCATTGGAACAAGCACTAGTAGGAGGTTTCCATATTGCAATGGCTCAAGGCCCTCTCTGTGATGAACCTATGCAAGCAATTGGTATTATAATTGAGAATTGGATATTAGAAGATAAAACTGAAAGAAATAATGTTGAAGTAGAGGATACAAAAAATGAAGAAGAAACGAGAAATTTAGTTGAAGATGATGATGAAAATGATAAAAGGATAATTGGTGTTGAAGGAACATCTAAAGAATTAAATGAGAGGAAAGAAGATAATTTACAAAAATGTGATAATTCAATAATAAATTGTGATACTCCAAGTACTTCAAAAATAAATGAAGAGAAAAATGAAGAAAAGATTAATTTAGAAAAACGATATAAACAACTTTATATGAATGCTCAATTACATGGACAATTAATTTCTGCTATGAGACAAGTCTTTTTTAAAAAAGAATTTTTAATTATTTTTTAATTTATAGACTTGTAAAGCAGCACTTAAAAAACATGTCGGCGCGTTAAGATTAGTTGCAGCAATGTACGAATGTAAAGTACAAACACCTGAACAAATGTTGGGAAAAGTTCAAGCAGTACTTTCAAATAAAAGGGCAAAAGTTGGAAAAAATAAATTTAATTTTGATTAATTTTTTTTAATTTTAAAGGTTTATAGTGAAGAAATTAATGAAATTAGTGGACTTTTTGAAATTAGTGCTCATTTACCGGTTATAGAAAGTTTTTCGTTTTGTGATCAATTACGTAAAAGAAGTAGTGGAAAAGCCTCAGCACAATTAGAATTTTCTGGGTGGCAATTAATTGATGAAGATCCATTTTGGGAGCCGAGTACGGAGGAAGAGGTAGAGAAAATTAATTTTTAGAAATTACAAAGGCCCTATGAACAGAATTTTTATGGGCATTTTTCTAAAACGATGGGAACAATTTATTTTTTTGTTAAATTTCTAAATTTTAAGATGGAAGAATTTGGTCGCCCTAGTGTTCAAATACAAAACCAAGCAAGACAATACATGGACGCTGTGCGCAGAAGAAAAGGTCTTCCAACAGAAGATGTAATTGTTGTTTGTGCAGAAAAACAAAGAAATTTAAAAAGAAATAAATAAATATTTTTTCAGATTTTTATTGTTGTTGTTAAATTGAGAAAAAGAAAATTTAAATTAATGCAAAAATAATTTAGCAATTACTTCTTTCATTGTCATTCGTTTACAACTACTTACATTATCATTTTTTGATGAATTAGTACAGGCATAACCATATGGACAGCATGTACGATTAGAGCAACAATTAGCCTTAAAAAATAAATACCGCTTTAATATATTAGGGAAGCCCTCTAATGTGTCCACTCACACATCACTTTCCTTAATTTCAGCTCAATCAAGTCTCTAGGAATGTTTTATCCTTATATGATTCCCACTCATATTACTTTCGCTATAGTATGTATACCAATACTACATCCGGTCCCAAGGTGGTGTGTTAGGGAGATTTGACTATTCCAATCTTTCTTTTGGAGAGAAATCACAAATATAAGAATTTATCTACTTAATAGATTTTTCAACCCTTACTCTTTTCTCAGGGCAGCAATCATAACCAACTAGCTCGTTATTTTCATAACGTGGGCAGCAAGTAGTAGTATCTTTTCGCGAAGTAATGTCACCACCTGGCGGAATGCATTTTGAACGATCCGGGCATGATGGTAGTGATGGAAAAAGTGAAGGATACTGAAAAATAAATTTTCATTGAAATATTTTTTTCCCGTCGAGACCTCATAATGTTCAGATGTAGAAATAGGTTCTACAACTTCTACTTTCTCCTCTTGACTTTTATAATTTTCAACAGAAATACATTTATTATCATTTGTACATTCAAATCCTTTAGGGCAACATTTACGTGAATATCTACAGCAATTTCCATCCTTAAAAGGGCAACAACCCAATTCTCTTTCATATATTGTACCAATTTCATCATCATAATATGGATAAGAACAACTTTAAGGATAAATAAAATAATTTCTAGGGCAATTTTAACCATTTAGTAGAAACTGGACAAAATTTTTGTGCTCTTGCATGGCTTGTTATTGCGTCTATAAACTGAAGTCCACATAAACGTACAGCTGGTTCCATTGATTCCGCCTTAATTCTTTCCGAAGGAACGTCTTTTTTATGTTGAATAGAAAATGGCTAAATAAAGAGGAAAATTTTTTTAGAATTTTTTTCTATTTTTACTGGTAATTTTCTAATTTCTGTTTCTCTTAAAATTGGAGGGATTAAACATCTTGCTTCACTTATATCACATTCTGTTCCATGTGGGCAGCAATGTAGATGATCGGAACAACAAACAGCCTTCTCTGCTGGGCAACAGCCATACTTTAAAAATTAAATTTTGTAAAAAAATAATTTTTGGCTATTAGATTGCCTGAACTTTCCAAAATTGTTTTTTACTTCCAATAGGGCAACAAGTATGGTGTGCCGGACATGAATGTTTTCCATCTGGACAGATTACTTCGTACTAAATAAAATTATCTTCTTATATTTAGGGGTAATAAATTCATCGTCTCGGCTATCTCAACTGGTAGAGCATATGTAAAAAGGCTAACATAATCTAGGTACCCATTCCTTTTCCCCCTCCTCCTCAGGCAACTACAGGGAATTTTAAATTTTGCAAGGAAAAAATGATGACCATTTCGTGCATCAATTTAAGCGCAGACTGGGGGGAGGGAATAAGTACCCATAATCTAAGCCTAGCAAGCCCTGATAGCCAGATCGCAATGCTGATCTACAGCAAGGTCTGCCTTGTTTCTAAACTTTTACCATTTTTGTTGAGGGAACTTTACGTCTTAATGGTTGAGATGTAATAATTCCACCTTCATTTGTGTGCTGAAAATTATTTTTTTGGAAAATATTTTCAAAAAAATATTTTTAAACTAACCAAACATAATTGGCGTTCAACATCACATTTATTATTTTCTGGGCAACAATGTACATGATCAGAACAGCAAACAGCTTTGGGTAAAGGACAACAACTTTTAAATTTTTTAAAAATATTTTTAATTAAAAAATAATTTACCCAAAATCCCCACTATCTAAAGTACAACAAGTTGTCCCTCCTGGACATTTTGATCGAAAATCTGGACAGATAACTTCTTTATCAGCTTTAACAAACCAAAATAAAATGAAAATTAAATAAAGAAATTTCATTTTTGGAAACTTTCTATTAAAAAATTAATTTTTAAAGCTTAAAAGAGTCATGTATGTTGGGAAACTGGAAAATTACATATTTATACAGACTAGGAACGAGCGGCAAATGATAAAATAGAAGTTAGGGAAATATGTTTATGGTTGTGAGAAGGACAAAATTTGAGCAAAAGGGAGGGACTATTTGAAAAATATATTTAAAAGTTTGAATTATGGACCAGAGGTGAATCTGAAATAACGAAGGTGCCGAAAATCGGAAATAACTCAAAAGTCAGAAATCAGCCTAAAATTTCGGAAGTTGGAACTCCGATTCATCTCTGTTATGGACAAATAAATGGAAGGATAGTTTAATCTTCTTCATTTTGATTACTTTAATTTCGTGGACTTTTTCTCGTAAATATTAAGAATTATTAAAATAATGAAGCAAATATTACTTAACTAATTAATCATCACATTTTTAGGGGCATTGTAAATACACAAACATTATTTTAATATAAATATTTTTATATGACCATTAAATATATTTCTTATCTTTTTTGCTTAATTTATATATAATTTCTTTTATTTTATCGGTAAATTAAGAGAAACATTAATTTTGATAAACCCCAAAAAAATCAAAAACTGTATTTAATTTATGTCTACATATTTTTTATTTTCATAATTTTATTTCACAAAATTATTTTTTACAAATTAAAAAAAATATTTTTTATAAAAAAATCAATTTAATTCCTTTCATTCATTATCTACTTTTTAAGCATATAAATGGGGAGCTTTAATTACAATAAACACAACACAACTAAGTAAAAACATTGTAAATGTTAAAAAACCTTTAAATAAAGGAATAAATATTTTTTTAATTAAAAATAATTTATTTACAAATTCTGTCAACCACCATCGCTGCAAACATCCAATCTTCGTGAATTTCGTTCATAAATTCCTGCGAAAAAAATTAATTTTAAGTGGAATATAAATATTTCCGGAAAATTAATATTCCTTCCGGAAAGGTTTAAGATTTTAAAGAATGTGGAAGGAAAAGTCAAAAAGAGACAGGAATCGAGAGAAAAATGGAAGGGAATGGAAGGAACGGAAAATGTGTCTACAATTCCTGTTTTAATTTTCCTATATTTTAAAAGGTTTTGGTAAATTGCGGAAAGTCTTAAATAAAAATATATCCCTTATTTATTAATTTCCCAAGATATTGTACACCCTCAAAATGTACAATATCTTGGGGAATTAAAATCTCTCCATCAGAATGGCCCCTCCAATTGAATGGCCCTTTTTAGGGGTATTGAAAAATAGAATGGCGGCCATTCCATTAGAATAAATCAGTATAAGTATTTTTTAAAATCTTTAAAAAAAATTTCCTAGTTCTAAAATATTTACATAAAAATAATTTAAAAAAATTAAATTTACTTCTTTCTGTATTTTTGCACATAAAAAGCGAACATGTCCAAGTAAAGTGTTGAATTGCTCTTCACTCAAGTGAATTAATTTATTTTTAATTCCCTGTTTTGGAGAAGTTTTCTTTTCGTCAAAAGATTTAAATTGCTTTTTTAAAGAAGAAAATTTAAAAGAAAAATTAATTTTTTTAAAATTACTTTATCTGTAAAAATAGGTGAAGGTGGTTCTATTGTTAAAATTGTATTGTTTGTATTTGAATGGTTAAAACAATGACCGAGAGCAGAGAACTTTAAAAGGGATAAATAAACTTTATAAAAGCTTTCAATCCCCTTCCCTCTCTCAACATCCCCCCTCTCCCTATTTCCTCCCCTTTCCCAATCCAACTTTTTACTTGTAAGGAATCTGAAGAATTTGTTTGATTATAAGATAATTTTCTATTTTGTTGGGGAATTAAGAGGGAATTTGTTGTTTTTGTTTGTTGTTGTTGATTTGCTGCTGCCATTCTTTTACAAAAACGACGTTGGTTTCCTAAATGATTTTAATTAATTTAAAAATAGTTGGTATGTTAAACTAAATATTTCTGTTTATTATACTTCCAGAAAATGCTATTTTTTGTATAGTTTTTCGGAAAATTTGAACATATTCCAGAAAATTTTATAGAAAAGCACAGTTTATAATAAGGGTGGGGCAGTTCCGGATATCCAGAAAAGAAAGAAGTACGAATACCCGAAGATTTCCGGTTCGGTTATCAGTTTTATCAGTCTCTCTGGATTTTTTTTCTAGTCTGGATTTTTCCTGGATCCAGAGTCCAGATTCTGACATTTTGAAAATACCGATCTCTACTGCTTACAAGAAGATTTCCCAGAAACCGCCAACTCCAATTAACAAATTTATTTATTTATTTACTTGTAGGAAAGGGAGAGGAATGTTCTTCAATTCGTAAAAGAGTTGTTCCAACACAGCTTGTCTTTCTTTGTTGATTTTCTTCTTTCCTTTCTTCACATTCTTTATAACAATAACCATTTAATTGTTGCCAATGATTTGGAGGGGTAAATAATTTATTATCAAATTCAAAATTATTTTTATTTTGATTTAAATATATATTGTCTAAATTTGTTGGTTTATTGGGAAATGTTGATGATGATTGACTTTAAAAATTAAACTTTTTTAAAATATTCTAGAAAATATATAATACTGCTAGCAGAATCTAATCAAGGAGTTTCCGGCATACTTTGGAAAAGTTTTGTATAAAATGGAAGCTATCCGCAACGCGCAACGTCACTCACTCTCACATTACTTACTTCGTTACGACCAAAGTTTGGAATTTCGAAATTTGCTTGTACTCGTACTTTCGTACAGACTTTATTTTACTTCTTTATTGTACTTCTTATACAGGTACGAGTACAAATTTTGGTACAAGCTTCCAAAAAACTGGTTACGGCTCGAAGCCCCTATGCTTATACAAGTGAGAGATACAGTAATTCTGAATGGTTAAAACAATGACCAAAAGCAGAAATTCCGGATTTATACACCCACACTTACTTGCCTTTGCCCACTCCCAATTAATTTCTCTCATTTGAGAGACACCTCAGCCCCATAGTGACTTCCCCTCTTTACTGAATTTTTGTAATTTTTTACCATTCATTATTATTATTAATTTCCCCAACAATATCTTTTAATAATTTTTCTCCAGTTCCATCAGAAAGTTTAACACGAGGGGGTCTTTGCATACAAAGCAACCAAGGAAGCCATTCAAGTAAAATAATTCTCATCTTTTTTTGAATAAAAATTTTAAAAAATTAAAAAAAATATTACAAAGGAAGGCATAGGAAAGTAAGAATCAGCTTTTCTGTGGTGAAAATTAAGAACTATGACTGTACAGATAACAGAAGCACCGACTTCGAACATTACACAAGTGAAGAATACTTCTAGAATTTAAGAAGAGAATGTCCTGGATATTTTAAATATTTTTAAAGAACCAATTAAAGGTAAAGTGTCAGAAGTCTGTGGCATAGTCTCAGCTACCATCAACATAAAAACACACAAAGACATAAATATAGTTACACAAAGATTTAATTTTTCTCCAGAATCTGGTGGTAAAGAAAAACCGAGAAGAGCTAGAGAAGAAATTAGAAGAGAAGGCAACACTAGATTAACACCTGAAATAAATTAATACGGTAAAAGATATAAAATTGACAAAATTAAATAATTTGGCCGTCTGGACATTTTGAAAATTAATCAAGTTTAGGTTATTCGTTATTTTACCCCCAATAAACATTTTTTCCATTTCCTAAGTATTTCTAAGTAACTGGCATAGAATTAGAGAAACAATAAATAAAGAGAGTGAGTATATTATTCTTCTCTCTTTGTCTTTCATCTTACTTTTTTCGCTTATTTTATATCGCGTCTGAAATTTATAATTGTTTTTTACTTTTATTTTTGTCTTTTGTTCATCTAGTCGGTTTTAATTACCCAAGTTGAGGTAAATATAAACTTCACCCTCGAAAGAGTGGTTTATACTTGGGATAAATTTTGGAATTGCTTAGCCTTTGGCTGAGCTTAATTTTTTTGTGGTTTTGTTTTTGTGTTTCATTTTAACTGAATTTTACACTGACTGAGTTCAAACGTCGTTTTTTAGTTCTACAGCACACAGAAAATTTAAGGTGGGTTTCAGTTTACCAACGAATTGGGCTTACACTTAACTTAAATTTTTTGGTTTGGGTGCACAATTAAGTATTTAATTGAGTAGGTTTCTTAGACCAATTATTTCTTTAGTATTTTCTTTTATTTTTCATTTTAGTTCGATTACATATTTGAAATTTCAATATTAAATTTTATTCACCGCTAAATACTTTTTAAATTTTACTTGGATTAAATCGATTTTCATAAATCAATTGAAAATAAGCAACAATCATTTTAACTAGGCGATATGCAAATTTGTATTTTGCCTATGTAGAAATTTGTTTTATTTATGTTACAGGTTTTGAATCCCAAAAATTTGGAATTTTGGTTTAAACAAAATCGGTTAAAAAATTTTTTAAGTGATTATTCAATTTTAATATGCGGTAGTATTGGTGACGGTAGTGCCAAATTTGTTGGTAAACTGAAACCCACCTTAAATTTTCAGTGTGCTGATGAAGACTTGAAGGAACAAAGTTTCAACTTTTCGACTAATTGAACTTACCTAAACACAAAGAATCACAAAAAAATTTAAGCTCAACCAAAGGCTAAGCAATTCCAAAATTTATCCTAAGTATAAACCACTCTTTCGAGGGTGAAGTTTATATTTACCTCAACTTGGGTAATTAAAACCGACTAGATGAACAAAAGACAAAAATAAAAGTAAAAAACAATTATAAATTTCAGACGCGATATAAAATAAGCGAAAAAAGTAAGATGAAAGACAAAGAGAGAAGAATAATATACTCACTCTCTTTATTTATCGTTTCTCTAATTCTATGCTCGTTACTTAGGAATACAAAGGGATTGGAAAAAATGTTTATTGGGGGAAAAATAACGAAAAACCTAAACTTAATTAATTTCAAAATGTCCAGACGGCTAAATTATTTAATTTTGTCGTTCGGCATTTTCCATCGAATTTTGCCAAAAAAAACGATTTAAATTCTTCATTAATTAATTTTAAAAATAAAAGCTACCATAATATAGGGTTCGCCTTCTAACAGAAATAAGAAAAGTAACATCAACATAAGGTTCTGGACAGCAATCATAAACTAAACGGTTGCGAACTGATTGTACACCTTTTATTTTAACAAAGTTTAGGTATATTTTTTAACTTTCCCTTTACTTAATAAATTCCATTCTCCATTTGGAGTGTAGGGATCTAAAGAAACAGAATCATTATATAAATCAGTAAAAAAGCCAGAATAAGTCCAAGAGCCAAATTTCATTGCACATGTTTGGTCATCAAAGGGGAATGATGTTACCTAAATGAGAGAGAGATTTTAAGGAGAATTAATTCTTTGGAGGTTGGGGGTACTAAATACTAGAGATCGGCCTGGATCTGGATCCAGGCCTTGATTTTTCCTGGATCCAGAGTCGAGATCAAGGCATTTTTCTGCGTTCTTCGATTTTTCCTTGAACTTGATTTCTTCTTTGACTCAAGGACCTTGATCTGGTCAAGGTACCCGACCAAAATCGAGGTTAAGGCTTTTTAGAATTTCCGATCTCTACTATAATGTCTTTCATCTTCTTTTAGTCTATAAAATTTATTTCCCCTCAAAAGTTTTTCAATTAAAAATTACATCAATTCTGCATGAAGATCTAATAATTGCTGGAGGTATCCAAGTAACAGACCCATTATATTTAACAATAGCATTTACTGGCCATAAAGTATCGAAACGTTGATCAACAGAATTGTATAAAAGAACATCGGGTTTCCAAATAGAGGTTATTGGCAATCTTACTTCTTTAATATCCCCATATTCTGCTGGATCCCAAGTCAGAAAAATGTCTTCCCAATTCATCCGTACCCAAATATTTGTTTGCATTATTTGGGCTTTCTCGTCCTTTTTTTAAAGAAATTTTGAAGAAAATTATTTTTATTTTTACAATATCTATAATAGCCTGTAAATCCATCCCTAAATGAACTATTATAGGCGCACTTTCATTTTTTACAGGCCTGGCCAAAACATTATAGCCATGAGTGAGTCTATCGTAAAGAAGACGTTCGTGTTCACCTGCCCAAACGGCTGCTAAAAAAATTAATTTAAATAATAAATTATAATGTAAATTAACTGCAAAAAATATAAATAATTTGCAAAACAAAAAATACTTAAGGAAAGGGCTTGCTCACTGTTCTGTACAATAACAAATAAATTAAGCAAAAGGTTATGAGATACATAGTGCAGAAGGTGAAATTCTGGAAATTCTTTTCCAGAAACAAAAATAAATAAAGCATATTACAATTACATACACTACTAGTAGAATGACACCAGAATTTCCTAAATTGTGCAGAAAAAATAATTTTTGAAAGAGGAATATTTAAAGTTTTACATTAAAGGGAATATAAAAACAAAGATTTAAATACAAAAGTGCTGGATATTTCACTCATTTTTAGTCACCACTTTTTCCAATACTTCTTCCATCCCAAGAATGTTTATTACTTTCTTCTAACCATTTAATATTATCTTCATTTTCTTTCTTTTCCTTTAATTTTAATTTTTAAAAATTGTTAAAAATTAAAAGAAAGAACATTTAAATTTCCTCCAACATTAAACCAATGTTGTTTAGAATTTCCAGCAATAACTCCAAAAGGTTCTCCATCATCCATATTAGCTTTGTGAAATACACTTGCATGATTATCCCTTCCAAGCATTGCATGTTTCCCCAAAGCTGTTGCCCCCGTAGAGCCAAGAACGAGTAAAGAAAGTGGTCGACAGGTAGTGACCACAAAAAGGACTTTTTTTTGAAAATAAATGTTATTTTAAAGAAGAAAAGAGAGAATGAGAGAGAACAGTGAGTGTTAATTAATTACTAATTAATTACCCTCAAAATAATTATTTTTTAAATTAAAAAACCCCCCAAAAATAAACAAACCCTTAAAAATCAAAAAATGATTATCTCCTGTCAAAGCTGTCAACATTAAAAGTAAAGAAGGTAAAGAAAATTTTGGAGCACGTAAAGAATGTTGTGAATATTTTGTTGAGAATATTGTAAACATATATTTATTAATTAATTAATATTTAAATTTTTGAAGAAATTTTAGGGGGAAAATAATAATTTTAAATTAACAAAAATTATTTTAAAATTTACAGAATTTCAAAGGGCTCAGTAAATTATAATTTAAAAAAGTCAAAAATACAAAAAAATTTTTAATAAAAAAATTTAAAAAGAAATCTAAGTACATATAAGAGGGGAAGAAACATTCTAAAATCTTCTCTTCCCAAAAACACCCCCACAAATTTTCTTCAAGTGGTTGAGATGTTAACTGCTGGAGAGGTACATTTACAAAAATGTATTGAGGTATGAAATTTTGAGAGGAATGAAAAATATTTTTTTATTAAAAGGATCTTAACTCGCTTGGTCAGACAGATTTAGTTGTTTCTGAACCAATTGTTCCTTTTCTTGAAACTTTGGTTGTTCCTGATCAACGTTTATCACACGCAAAAATACTCACTGATCACCTTACAGTAATTAAATAACAATAAATTTCCAAACTTGTTTTAATCAAAGGAATGTTTTATGCCTCAATTTGGTCTGAGGATACGTTTGAGAGCCGTCCCATTAACTGGACTAGAACCAGAAACTAATAAACTTTTTGAATTGATGGAACGTAATAGTCAACTCATTGATTCTCTTAAAGAAGGTGAATTAAAATTTTCTTATTTAAAAGTATATTTTCAAATTTAAGGCATTTCTAATCTTCAACATCGTTCTAAAATTGAAGCTTTTCGTTTAGAATTAGCAGAACAAGCAAGTATTAGTCTTCCTAAACTTCGTGGGTCTTGGTGGGCAAAGAAGCCTTCCGTACAAATTCGACAACTTTTTACTGAAAATATTCTTGCTTTTGGACCAACAAAAGCTCGATTAAATATTCTTTTCAATAACAATGCTTTACCTTTTTATAATAATGAAGATAATGAAAATAATAATAAAATGAACAGAGATTCTGAACAGAAGGAAGGAAATACAGCGTCTATTAGAGAAGGTCGTTTAATAATACACTTTTCGTTTATCATAAAAATTTTGCAGCTAATCTCAGTCCATTGGAACAAGCACTAGTAGGAGGTTTCCATATTGCAATGGCTCAAGGCCCTCTCTGTGATGAACCTATGCAAGCAATTGGTATTATAATTGAGAATTGGATATTAGAAGATAAAACTGAAAGAAATAATGTTGAAGTAGAGGATACAAAAAATGAAGAAGAAACGAGAAATTTAGTTGAAGATGATGATGAAAATGATAAAAGGATAATTGGTGTTGAAGGAACATCTAAAGAATTAAATGAGAGGAAAGAAGATAATTTACAAAAATGTGATAATTCAATAATAAATTGTGATACTCCAAGTACTTCAAAAATAAATGAAGAGAAAAATGAAGAAAAGATTAATTTAGAAAAACGATATAAACAACTTTATATGAATGCTCAATTACATGGACAATTAATTTCTGCTATGAGACAAGTCTTTTTTAAAAAAGAATTTTTAATTATTTTTTAATTTATAGACTTGTAAAGCAGCACTTAAAAAACATGTCGGCGCGTTAAGATTAGTTGCAACAATGTACGAATGTAAAGTACAAACACCTGAACAAATGTTGGGAAAAGTTCAAGCAGTACTTTCAAATAAAAGGGCAAAAGTTGGAAAAAATAAATTTAATTTTGATTAATTTTTTTTAATTTTAAAGGTTTATAGTGAAGAAATTAATGAAATTAGTGGACTTTTTGAAATTAGTGCTCATTTACCGGTTATAGAAAGTTTTTCGTTTTGTGATCAATTACGTAAAAGAAGTAGTGGAAAAGCCTCAGCACAATTAGAATTTTCTGGGTGGCAATTAATTGATGAAGATCCATTTTGGGAGCCGAGTACGGAGGAAGAGGTAGAGAAAATTAATTTTTAGAAATTACAAAGGCCCTATGAACAGAATTTTTATGGGCATTTTTCTAAAACGATGGGAACAATTTATTTTTTTGTTAAATTTCTAAATTTTAAGATGGAAGAATTTGGTCGCCCTAGTGTTCAAATACAAAACCAAGCAAGACAATACATGGACGCTGTGCGCAGAAGAAAAGGTCTTCCAACAGAAGATGTAATTGTTGTTTGTGCAGAAAAACAAAGAAATTTAAAAAGAAATAAATAAATATTTTTTCAGATTTTTATTGTTGTTGTTAAATTGAGAAAAAGAAAATTTAAATTAATGCAAAAATAATTTAGCAATTACTTCTTTCATTGTCATTCGTTTACAACTACTTACATTATCATTTTTTGATGAATTAGTACAGGCATAACCATATGGACAGCATGTACGATTAGAGCAACAATTAGCCTTAAAAAATAAATACCGCTTTAATATATTAGGGAAGCCCTCTAATGTGTCCACTCACACATCACTTTCCTTAATTTCAGCTCAATCAAGTCTCTAGGAATGTTTTATCCTTATATGATTCCCACTCATATTACTTTCGCTATAGTATGTATACCAATACTACATCCGGTCCCAAGGTGGTGTGTTAGGGAGATTTGACTATTCCAATCTTTCTTTTGGAGAGAAATCACAAATATAAGAATTTATCTACTTAATAGATTTTTCAACCCTTACTCTTTTCTCAGGGCAGCAATCATAACCAACTAGCTCGTTATTTTCATAACGTGGGCAGCAAGTAGTAGTATCTTTTCGCGAAGTAATGTCACCACCTGGCGGAATGCATTTTGAACGATCCGGGCATGATGGTAGTGATGGAAAAAGTGAAGGATACTGAAAAATAAATTTTCATTGAAATATTTTTTTCCCGTCGAGACCTCATAATGTTCAGATGTAGAAATAGGTTCTACAACTTCTACTTTCTCCTCTTGACTTTTATAATTTTCAACAGAAATACATTTATTATCATTTGTACATTCAAATCCTTTAGGGCAACATTTACGTGAATATCTACAGCAATTTCCATCCTTAAAAGGGCAACAACCCAATTCTCTTTCATATATTGTACCAATTTCATCATCATAATATGGATAAGAACAACTTTAAGGATAAATAAAATAATTTCTAGGGCAATTTTAACCATTTAGTAGAAACTGGACAAAATTTTTGTGCTCTTGCATGGCTTGTTATTGCGTCTATAAACTGAAGTCCACATAAACGTACAGCTGGTTCCATTGATTCCGCCTTAATTCTTTCCGAAGGAACGTCTTTTTTATGTTGAATAGAAAATGGCTAAATAAAGAGGAAAATTTTTTTAGAATTTTTTTCTATTTTTACTGGTAATTTTCTAATTTCTGTTTCTCTTAAAATTGGAGGGATTAAACATCTTGCTTCACTTATATCACATTCTGTTCCATGTGGGCAGCAATGTAGATGATCGGAACAACAAACAGCCTTCTCTGCTGGGCAACAGCCATACTTTAAAAATTAAATTTTGTAAAAAAATAATTTTTGGCTATTAGATTGCCTGAACTTTCCAAAATTGTTTTTTACTTCCAATAGGGCAACAAGTATGGTGTGCCGGACATGAATGTTTTCCATCTGGACAGATTACTTCGTACTAAATAAAATTATCTTCTTATATTTAGGGGTAATAAATTCATCGTCTCGGCTATCTCAACTGGTAGAGCATATGTAAAAAGGCTAACATAATCTAGGTACCCATTCCTTTTCCCCCTCCTCCTCAGGCAACTACAGGGAATTTTAAATTTTGCAAGGAAAAAATGATGACCATTTCGTGCATCAATTTAAGCGCAGACTGGGGGGAGGGAATAAGTACCCATAATCTAAGCCTAGCAAGCCCTGATAGCCAGATCGCAATGCTGATCTACAGCAAGGTCTGCCTTGTTTCTAAACTTTTACCATTTTTGTTGAGGGAACTTTACGTCTTAATGGTTGAGATGTAATAATTCCACCTTCATTTGTGTGCTGAAAATTATTTTTTTGGAAAATATTTTCAAAAAAATATTTTTAAACTAACCAAACATAATTGGCGTTCAACATCACATTTATTATTTTCTGGGCAACAATGTACATGATCAGAACAGCAAACAGCTTTGGGTAAAGGACAACAACTTTTAAATTTTTTAAAAATATTTTTAATTAAAAAATAATTTACCCAAAATCCCCACTATCTAAAGTACAACAAGTTGTCCCTCCTGGACATTTTGATCGAAAATCTGGACAGATAACTTCTTTATCAGCTTTAACAAACCAAAATAAAATGAAAATTAAATAAAGAAATTTCATTTTTGGAAACTTTCTATTAAAAAATTAATTTTTAAAGCTTAAAAGAGTCATGTATGTTGGGAAACTGGAAAATTACATATTTATACAGACTAGGAACGAGCGGCAAATGATAAAATAGAAGTTAGGGAAATATGTTTATGGTTGTGAGAAGGACAAAATTTGAGCAAAAGGGAGGGACTATTTGAAAAATATATTTAAAAGTTTGAATTATGGACCAGAGGTGAATCTGAAATAACGAAGGTGCCGAAAATCGGAAATAACTCAAAAGTCAGAAATCAGCCTAAAATTTCGGAAGTTGGAACTCCGATTCATCTCTGTTATGGACAAATAAATGGAAGGATAGTTTAATCTTCTTCATTTTGATTACTTTAATTTCGTGGACTTTTTCTCGTAAATATTAAGAATTATTAAAATAATGAAGCAAATATTACTTAACTAATTAATCATCACATTTTTAGGGGCATTGTAAATACACAAACATTATTTTAATATAAATATTTTTATATGACCATTAAATATATTTCTTATCTTTTTTGCTTAATTTATATATAATTTCTTTTATTTTATCGGTAAATTAAGAGAAACATTAATTTTGATAAACCCCAAAAAAATCAAAAACTGTATTTAATTTATGTCTACATATTTTTTATTTTCATAATTTTATTTCACAAAATTATTTTTTACAAATTAAAAAAAATATTTTTTATAAAAAAATCAATTTAATTCCTTTCATTCATTATCTACTTTTTAAGCATATAAATGGGGAGCTTTAATTACAATAAACACAACACAACTAAGTAAAAACATTGTAAATGTTAAAAAACCTTTAAATAAAGGAATAAATATTTTTTTAATTAAAAATAATTTATTTACAAATTCTGTCAACCACCATCGCTGCAAACATCCAATCTTCGTGAATTTCGTTCATAAATTCCTGCGAAAAAAATTAATTTTAAGTGGAATATAAATATTTCCGGAAAATTAATATTCCTTCCGGAAAGGTTTAAGATTTTAAAGAATGTGGAAGGAAAAGTCAAAAAGAGACAGGAATCGAGAGAAAAATGGAAGGGAATGGAAGGAACGGAAAATGTGTCTACAATTCCTGTTTTAATTTTCCTATATTTTAAAAGGTTTTGGTAAATTGCGGAAAGTCTTAAATAAAAATATATCCCTTATTTATTAATTTCCCAAGATATTGTACACCCTCAAAATGTACAATATCTTGGGGAATTAAAATCTCTCCATCAGAATGGCCCCTCCAATTGAATGGCCCTTTTTAGGGGTATTGAAAAATAGAATGGCGGCCATTCCATTAGAATAAATCAGTATAAGTATTTTTTAAAATCTTTAAAAAAAATTTCCTAGTTCTAAAATATTTACATAAAAATAATTTAAAAAAATTAAATTTACTTCTTTCTGTATTTTTGCACATAAAAAGCGAACATGTCCAAGTAAAGTGTTGAATTGCTCTTCACTCAAGTGAATTAATTTATTTTTAATTCCCTGTTTTGGAGAAGTTTTCTTTTCGTCAAAAGATTTAAATTGCTTTTTTAAAGAAGAAAATTTAAAAGAAAAATTAATTTTTTTAAAATTACTTTATCTGTAAAAATAGGTGAAGGTGGTTCTATTGTTAAAATTGTATTGTTTGTATTTGAATGGTTAAAACAATGACCGAGAGCAGAGAACTTTAAAAGGGATAAATAAACTTTATAAAAGCTTTCAATCCCCTTCCCTCTCTCAACATCCCCCCTCTCCCTATTTCCTCCCCTTTCCCAATCCAACTTTTTACTTGTAAGGAATCTGAAGAATTTGTTTGATTATAAGATAATTTTCTATTTTGTTGGGGAATTAAGAGGGAATTTGTTGTTTTTGTTTGTTGTTGTTGATTTGCTGCTGCCATTCTTTTACAAAAACGACGTTGGTTTCCTAAATGATTTTAATTAATTTAAAAATAGTTGGTATGTTAAACTAAATATTTCTGTTTATTATACTTCCAGAAAATGCTATTTTTTGTATAGTTTTTCGGAAAATTTGAACATATTCCAGAAAATTTTATAGAAAAGCACAGTTTATAATAAGGGTGGGGCAGTTCCGGATATCCAGAAAAGAAAGAAGTACGAATACCCGAAGATTTCCGGTTCGGTTATCAGTTTTATCAGTCTCTCTGGATTTTTTTTCTAGTCTGGATTTTTCCTGGATCCAGAGTCCAGATTCTGACATTTTGAAAATACCGATCTCTACTGCTTACAAGAAGATTTCCCAGAAACCGCCAACTCCAATTAACAAATTTATTTATTTATTTACTTGTAGGAAAGGGAGAGGAATGTTCTTCAATTCGTAAAAGAGTTGTTCCAACACAGCTTGTCTTTCTTTGTTGATTTTCTTCTTTCCTTTCTTCACATTCTTTATAACAATAACCATTTAATTGTTGCCAATGATTTGGAGGGGTAAATAATTTATTATCAAATTCAAAATTATTTTTATTTTGATTTAAATATATATTGTCTAAATTTGTTGGTTTATTGGGAAATGTTGATGATGATTGACTTTAAAAATTAAACTTTTTTAAAATATTCTAGAAAATATATAATACTGCTAGCAGAATCTAATCAAGGAGTTTCCGGCATACTTTGGAAAAGTTTTGTATAAAATGGAAGCTATCCGCAACGCGCAACGTCACTCACTCTCACATTACTTACTTCGTTACGACCAAAGTTTGGAATTTCGAAATTTGCTTGTACTCGTACTTTCGTACAGACTTTATTTTACTTCTTTATTGTACTTCTTATACAGGTACGAGTACAAATTTTGGTACAAGCTTCCAAAAAACTGGTTACGGCTCGAAGCCCCTATGCTTATACAAGTGAGAGATACAGTAATTCTGAATGGTTAAAACAATGACCAAAAGCAGAAATTCCGGATTTATACACCCACACTTACTTGCCTTTGCCCACTCCCAATTAATTTCTCTCATTTGAGAGACACCTCAGCCCCATAGTGACTTCCCCTCTTTACTGAATTTTTGTAATTTTTTACCATTCATTATTATTATTAATTTCCCCAACAATATCTTTTAATAATTTTTCTCCAGTTCCATCAGAAAGTTTAACACGAGGGGGTCTTTGCATACAAAGCAACCAAGGAAGCCATTCAAGTAAAATAATTCTCATCTTTTTTTGAATAAAAATTTTAAAAAATTAAAAAAAATATTACAAAGGAAGGCATAGGAAAGTAAGAATCAGCTTTTCTGTGGTGAAAATTAAGAACTATGACTGTACAGATAACAGAAGCACCGACTTCGAACATTACACAAGTGAAGAATACTTCTAGAATTTAAGAAGAGAATGTCCTGGATATTTTAAATATTTTTAAAGAACCAATTAAAGGTAAAGTGTCAGAAGTCTGTGGCATAGTCTCAGCTACCATCAACATAAAAACACACAAAGACATAAATATAGTTACACAAAGATTTAATTTTTCTCCAGAATCTGGTGGTAAAGAAAAACCGAGAAGAGCTAGAGAAGAAATTAGAAGAGAAGGCAACACTAGATTAACACCTGAAATAAATTAATACGGTAAAAGATATAAAATTGACAAAATTAAATAATTTGGCCGTCTGGACATTTTGAAAATTAATCAAGTTTAGGTTATTCGTTATTTTACCCCCAATAAACATTTTTTCCATTTCCTAAGTATTTCTAAGTAACTGGCATAGAATTAGAGAAACAATAAATAAAGAGAGTGAGTATATTATTCTTCTCTCTTTGTCTTTCATCTTACTTTTTTCGCTTATTTTATATCGCGTCTGAAATTTATAATTGTTTTTTACTTTTATTTTTGTCTTTTGTTCATCTAGTCGGTTTTAATTACCCAAGTTGAGGTAAATATAAACTTCACCCTCGAAAGAGTGGTTTATACTTGGGATAAATTTTGGAATTGCTTAGCCTTTGGCTGAGCTTAATTTTTTTGTGGTTTTGTTTTTGTGTTTCATTTTAACTGAATTTTACACTGACTGAGTTCAAACGTCGTTTTTTAGTTCTACAGCACACAGAAAATTTAAGGTGGGTTTCAGTTTACCAACGAATTGGGCTTACACTTAACTTAAATTTTTTGGTTTGGGTGCACAATTAAGTATTTAATTGAGTAGGTTTCTTAGACCAATTATTTCTTTAGTATTTTCTTTTATTTTTCATTTTAGTTCGATTACATATTTGAAATTTCAATATTAAATTTTATTCACCGCTAAATACTTTTTAAATTTTACTTGGATTAAATCGATTTTCATAAATCAATTGAAAATAAGCAACAATCATTTTAACTAGGCGATATGCAAATTTGTATTTTGCCTATGTAGAAATTTGTTTTATTTATGTTACAGGTTTTGAATCCCAAAAATTTGGAATTTTGGTTTAAACAAAATCGGTTAAAAAATTTTTTAAGTGATTATTCAATTTTAATATGCGGTAGTATTGGTGACGGTAGTGCCAAATTTGTTGGTAAACTGAAACCCACCTTAAATTTTCAGTGTGCTGATGAAGACTTGAAGGAACAAAGTTTCAACTTTTCGACTAATTGAACTTACCTAAACACAAAGAATCACAAAAAAATTTAAGCTCAACCAAAGGCTAAGCAATTCCAAAATTTATCCTAAGTATAAACCACTCTTTCGAGGGTGAAGTTTATATTTACCTCAACTTGGGTAATTAAAACCGACTAGATGAACAAAAGACAAAAATAAAAGTAAAAAACAATTATAAATTTCAGACGCGATATAAAATAAGCGAAAAAAGTAAGATGAAAGACAAAGAGAGAAGAATAATATACTCACTCTCTTTATTTATCGTTTCTCTAATTCTATGCTCGTTACTTAGGAATACAAAGGGATTGGAAAAAATGTTTATTGGGGGAAAAATAACGAAAAACCTAAACTTAATTAATTTCAAAATGTCCAGACGGCTAAATTATTTAATTTTGTCGTTCGGCATTTTCCATCGAATTTTGCCAAAAAAAACGATTTAAATTCTTCATTAATTAATTTTAAAAATAAAAGCTACCATAATATAGGGTTCGCCTTCTAACAGAAATAAGAAAAGTAACATCAACATAAGGTTCTGGACAGCAATCATAAACTAAACGGTTGCGAACTGATTGTACACCTTTTATTTTAACAAAGTTTAGGTATATTTTTTAACTTTCCCTTTACTTAATAAATTCCATTCTCCATTTGGAGTGTAGGGATCTAAAGAAACAGAATCATTATATAAATCAGTAAAAAAGCCAGAATAAGTCCAAGAGCCAAATTTCATTGCACATGTTTGGTCATCAAAGGGGAATGATGTTACCTAAATGAGAGAGAGATTTTAAGGAGAATTAATTCTTTGGAGGTTGGGGGTACTAAATACTAGAGATCGGCCTGGATCTGGATCCAGGCCTTGATTTTTCCTGGATCCAGAGTCGAGATCAAGGCATTTTTCTGCGTTCTTCGATTTTTCCTTGAACTTGATTTCTTCTTTGACTCAAGGACCTTGATCTGGTCAAGGTACCCGACCAAAATCGAGGTTAAGGCTTTTTAGAATTTCCGATCTCTACTATAATGTCTTTCATCTTCTTTTAGTCTATAAAATTTATTTCCCCTCAAAAGTTTTTCAATTAAAAATTACATCAATTCTGCATGAAGATCTAATAATTGCTGGAGGTATCCAAGTAACAGACCCATTATATTTAACAATAGCATTTACTGGCCATAAAGTATCGAAACGTTGATCAACAGAATTGTATAAAAGAACATCGGGTTTCCAAATAGAGGTTATTGGCAATCTTACTTCTTTAATATCCCCATATTCTGCTGGATCCCAAGTCAGAAAAATGTCTTCCCAATTCATCCGTACCCAAATATTTGTTTGCATTATTTGGGCTTTCTCGTCCTTTTTTTAAAGAAATTTTGAAGAAAATTATTTTTATTTTTACAATATCTATAATAGCCTGTAAATCCATCCCTAAATGAACTATTATAGGCGCACTTTCATTTTTTACAGGCCTGGCCAAAACATTATAGCCATGAGTGAGTCTATCGTAAAGAAGACGTTCGTGTTCACCTGCCCAAACGGCTGCTAAAAAAATTAATTTAAATAATAAATTATAATGTAAATTAACTGCAAAAAATATAAATAATTTGCAAAACAAAAAATACTTAAGGAAAGGGCTTGCTCACTGTTCTGTACAATAACAAATAAATTAAGCAAAAGGTTATGAGATACATAGTGCAGAAGGTGAAATTCTGGAAATTCTTTTCCAGAAACAAAAATAAATAAAGCATATTACAATTACATACACTACTAGTAGAATGACACCAGAATTTCCTAAATTGTGCAGAAAAAATAATTTTTGAAAGAGGAATATTTAAAGTTTTACATTAAAGGGAATATAAAAACAAAGATTTAAATACAAAAGTGCTGGATATTTCACTCATTTTTAGTCACCACTTTTTCCAATACTTCTTCCATCCCAAGAATGTTTATTACTTTCTTCTAACCATTTAATATTATCTTCATTTTCTTTCTTTTCCTTTAATTTTAATTTTTAAAAATTGTTAAAAATTAAAAGAAAGAACATTTAAATTTCCTCCAACATTAAACCAATGTTGTTTAGAATTTCCAGCAATAACTCCAAAAGGTTCTCCATCATCCATATTAGCTTTGTGAAATACACTTGCATGATTATCCCTTCCAAGCATTGCATGTTTCCCCAAAGCTGTTGCCCCCGTAGAGCCAAGAACGAGTAAAGAAAGTGGTCGACAGGTAGTGACCACAAAAAGGACTTTTTTTTGAAAATAAATGTTATTTTAAAGAAGAAAAGAGAGAATGAGAGAGAACAGTGAGTGTTAATTAATTACTAATTAATTACCCTCAAAATAATTATTTTTTAAATTAAAAAACCCCCCAAAAATAAACAAACCCTTAAAAATCAAAAAATGATTATCTCCTGTCAAAGCTGTCAACATTAAAAGTAAAGAAGGTAAAGAAAATTTTGGAGCACGTAAAGAATGTTGTGAATATTTTGTTGAGAATATTGTAAACATATATTTATTAATTAATTAATATTTAAATTTTTGAAGAAATTTTAGGGGGAAAATAATAATTTTAAATTAACAAAAATTATTTTAAAATTTACAGAATTTCAAAGGGCTCAGTAAATTATAATTTAAAAAAGTCAAAAATACAAAAAAATTTTTAATAAAAAAATTTAAAAAGAAATCTAAGTACATATAAGAGGGGAAGAAACATTCTAAAATCTTCTCTTCCCAAAAACACCCCCACAAATTTTCTTCAAGTGGTTGAGATGTTAACTGCTGGAGAGGTACATTTACAAAAATGTATTGAGGTATGAAATTTTGAGAGGAATGAAAAATATTTTTTTATTAAAAGGATCTTAACTCGCTTGGTCAGACAGATTTAGTTGTTTCTGAACCAATTGTTCCTTTTCTTGAAACTTTGGTTGTTCCTGATCAACGTTTATCACACGCAAAAATACTCACTGATCACCTTACAGTAATTAAATAACAATAAATTTCCAAACTTGTTTTAATCAAAGGAATGTTTTATGCCTCAATTTGGTCTGAGGATACGTTTGAGAGCCGTCCCATTAACTGGACTAGAACCAGAAACTAATAAACTTTTTGAATTGATGGAACGTAATAGTCAACTCATTGATTCTCTTAAAGAAGGTGAATTAAAATTTTCTTATTTAAAAGTATATTTTCAAATTTAAGGCATTTCTAATCTTCAACATCGTTCTAAAATTGAAGCTTTTCGTTTAGAATTAGCAGAACAAGCAAGTATTAGTCTTCCTAAACTTCGTGGGTCTTGGTGGGCAAAGAAGCCTTCCGTACAAATTCGACAACTTTTTACTGAAAATATTCTTGCTTTTGGACCAACAAAAGCTCGATTAAATATTCTTTTCAATAACAATGCTTTACCTTTTTATAATAATGAAGATAATGAAAATAATAATAAAATGAACAGAGATTCTGAACAGAAGGAAGGAAATACAGCGTCTATTAGAGAAGGTCGTTTAATAATACACTTTTCGTTTATCATAAAAATTTTGCAGCTAATCTCAGTCCATTGGAACAAGCACTAGTAGGAGGTTTCCATATTGCAATGGCTCAAGGCCCTCTCTGTGATGAACCTATGCAAGCAATTGGTATTATAATTGAGAATTGGATATTAGAAGATAAAACTGAAAGAAATAATGTTGAAGTAGAGGATACAAAAAATGAAGAAGAAACGAGAAATTTAGTTGAAGATGATGATGAAAATGATAAAAGGATAATTGGTGTTGAAGGAACATCTAAAGAATTAAATGAGAGGAAAGAAGATAATTTACAAAAATGTGATAATTCAATAATAAATTGTGATACTCCAAGTACTTCAAAAATAAATGAAGAGAAAAATGAAGAAAAGATTAATTTAGAAAAACGATATAAACAACTTTATATGAATGCTCAATTACATGGACAATTAGTTTCTGCTATGAGACAAGTCTTTTTTAAAAAAGAATTTTTAATTATTTTTTAATTTATAGACTTGTAAAGCAGCACTTAAAAAACATGTCGGCGCGTTAAGATTAGTTGCAGCAATGTACGAATGTAAAGTACAAACACCTGAACAAATGTTGGGAAAAGTTCAAGCAGTACTTTCAAATAAAAGGGCAAAAGTTGGAAAAAATAAATTTAATTTTGATTAATTTTTTTTAATTTTAAAGGTTTATAGTGAAGAAATTAATGAAATTAGTGGACTTTTTGAAATTAGTGCTCATTTACCGGTTATAGAAAGTTTTTCGTTTTGTGATCAATTACGTAAAAGAAGTAGTGGAAAAGCCTCAGCACAATTAGAATTTTCTGGGTGGCAATTAATTGATGAAGATCCATTTTGGGAGCCGAGTACGGAGGAAGAGGTAGAGAAAATTAATTTTTAGAAATTACAAAGGCCCTATGAACAGAATTTTTATGGGCATTTTTCTAAAACGATGGGAACAATTTATTTTTTTGTTAAATTTCTAAATTTTAAGATGGAAGAATTTGGTCGCCCTAGTGTTCAAATACAAAACCAAGCAAGACAATACATGGACGCTGTGCGCAGAAGAAAAGGTCTTCCAACAGAAGATGTAATTGTTGTTTGTGCAGAAAAACAAAGAAATTTAAAAAGAAATAAATAAATATTTTTTCAGATTTTTATTGTTGTTGTTAAATTGAGAAAAAGAAAATTTAAATTAATGCAAAAATAATTTAGCAATTACTTCTTTCATTGTCATTCGTTTACAACTACTTACATTATCATTTTTTGATGAATTAGTACAGGCATAACCATATGGACAGCATGTACGATTAGAGCAACAATTAGCCTTAAAAAATAAATACCGCTTTAATATATTAGGGAAGCCCTCTAATGTGTCCACTCACACATCACTTTCCTTAATTTCAGCTCAATCAAGTCTCTAGGAATGTTTTATCCTTATATGATTCCCACTCATATTACTTTCGCTATAGTATGTATACCAATACTACATCCGGTCCCAAGGTGGTGTGTTAGGGAGATTTGACTATTCCAATCTTTCTTTTGGAGAGAAATCACAAATATAAGAATTTATCTACTTAATAGATTTTTCAACCCTTACTCTTTTCTCAGGGCAGCAATCATAACCAACTAGCTCGTTATTTTCATAACGTGGGCAGCAAGTAGTAGTATCTTTTCGCGAAGTAATGTCACCACCTGGCGGAATGCATTTTGAACGATCCGGGCATGATGGTAGTGATGGAAAAAGTGAAGGATACTGAAAAATAAATTTTCATTGAAATATTTTTTTCCCGTCGAGACCTCATAATGTTCAGATGTAGAAATAGGTTCTACAACTTCTACTTTCTCCTCTTGACTTTTATAATTTTCAACAGAAATACATTTATTATCATTTGTACATTCAAATCCTTTAGGGCAACATTTACGTGAATATCTACAGCAATTTCCATCCTTAAAAGGGCAACAACCCAATTCTCTTTCATATATTGTACCAATTTCATCATCATAATATGGATAAGAACAACTTTAAGGATAAATAAAATAATTTCTAGGGCAATTTTAACCATTTAGTAGAAACTGGACAAAATTTTTGTGCTCTTGCATGGCTTGTTATTGCGTCTATAAACTGAAGTCCACATAAACGTACAGCTGGTTCCATTGATTCCGCCTTAATTCTTTCCGAAGGAACGTCTTTTTTATGTTGAATAGAAAATGGCTAAATAAAGAGGAAAATTTTTTTAGAATTTTTTTCTATTTTTACTGGTAATTTTCTAATTTCTGTTTCTCTTAAAATTGGAGGGATTAAACATCTTGCTTCACTTATATCACATTCTGTTCCATGTGGGCAGCAATGTAGATGATCGGAACAACAAACAGCCTTCTCTGCTGGGCAACAGCCATACTTTAAAAATTAAATTTTGTAAAAAAATAATTTTTGGCTATTAGATTGCCTGAACTTTCCAAAATTGTTTTTTACTTCCAATAGGGCAACAAGTATGGTGTGCCGGACATGAATGTTTTCCATCTGGACAGATTACTTCGTACTAAATAAAATTATCTTCTTATATTTAGGGGTAATAAATTCATCGTCTCGGCTATCTCAACTGGTAGAGCATATGTAAAAAGGCTAACATAATCTAGGTACCCATTCCTTTTCCCCCTCCTCCTCAGGCAACTACAGGGAATTTTAAATTTTGCAAGGAAAAAATGATGACCATTTCGTGCATCAATTTAAGCGCAGACTGGGGGGAGGGAATAAGTACCCATAATCTAAGCCTAGCAAGCCCTGATAGCCAGATCGCAATGCTGATCTACAGCAAGGTCTGCCTTGTTTCTAAACTTTTACCATTTTTGTTGAGGGAACTTTACGTCTTAATGGTTGAGATGTAATAATTCCACCTTCATTTGTGTGCTGAAAATTATTTTTTTGGAAAATATTTTCAAAAAAATATTTTTAAACTAACCAAACATAATTGGCGTTCAACATCACATTTATTATTTTCTGGGCAACAATGTACATGATCAGAACAGCAAACAGCTTTGGGTAAAGGACAACAACTTTTAAATTTTTTAAAAATATTTTTAATTAAAAAATAATTTACCCAAAATCCCCACTATCTAAAGTACAACAAGTTGTCCCTCCTGGACATTTTGATCGAAAATCTGGACAGATAACTTCTTTATCAGCTTTAACAAACCAAAATAAAATGAAAATTAAATAAAGAAATTTCATTTTTGGAAACTTTCTATTAAAAAATTAATTTTTAAAGCTTAAAAGAGTCATGTATGTTGGGAAACTGGAAAATTACATATTTATACAGACTAGGAACGAGCGGCAAATGATAAAATAGAAGTTAGGGAAATATGTTTATGGTTGTGAGAAGGACAAAATTTGAGCAAAAGGGAGGGACTATTTGAAAAATATATTTAAAAGTTTGAATTATGGACCAGAGGTGAATCTGAAATAACGAAGGTGCCGAAAATCGGAAATAACTCAAAAGTCAGAAATCAGCCTAAAATTTCGGAAGTTGGAACTCCGATTCATCTCTGTTATGGACAAATAAATGGAAGGATAGTTTAATCTTCTTCATTTTGATTACTTTAATTTCGTGGACTTTTTCTCGTAAATATTAAGAATTATTAAAATAATGAAGCAAATATTACTTAACTAATTAATCATCACATTTTTAGGGGCATTGTAAATACACAAACATTATTTTAATATAAATATTTTTATATGACCATTAAATATATTTCTTATCTTTTTTGCTTAATTTATATATAATTTCTTTTATTTTATCGGTAAATTAAGAGAAACATTAATTTTGATAAACCCCAAAAAAATCAAAAACTGTATTTAATTTATGTCTACATATTTTTTATTTTCATAATTTTATTTCACAAAATTATTTTTTACAAATTAAAAAAAATATTTTTTATAAAAAAATCAATTTAATTCCTTTCATTCATTATCTACTTTTTAAGCATATAAATGGGGAGCTTTAATTACAATAAACACAACACAACTAAGTAAAAACATTGTAAATGTTAAAAAACCTTTAAATAAAGGAATAAATATTTTTTTAATTAAAAATAATTTATTTACAAATTCTGTCAACCACCATCGCTGCAAACATCCAATCTTCGTGAATTTCGTTCATAAATTCCTGCGAAAAAAATTAATTTTAAGTGGAATATAAATATTTCCGGAAAATTAATATTCCTTCCGGAAAGGTTTAAGATTTTAAAGAATGTGGAAGGAAAAGTCAAAAAGAGACAGGAATCGAGAGAAAAATGGAAGGGAATGGAAGGAACGGAAAATGTGTCTACAATTCCTGTTTTAATTTTCCTATATTTTAAAAGGTTTTGGTAAATTGCGGAAAGTCTTAAATAAAAATATATCCCTTATTTATTAATTTCCCAAGATATTGTACACCCTCAAAATGTACAATATCTTGGGGAATTAAAATCTCTCCATCAGAATGGCCCCTCCAATTGAATGGCCCTTTTTAGGGGTATTGAAAAATAGAATGGCGGCCATTCCATTAGAATAAATCAGTATAAGTATTTTTTAAAATCTTTAAAAAAAATTTCCTAGTTCTAAAATATTTACATAAAAATAATTTAAAAAAATTAAATTTACTTCTTTCTGTATTTTTGCACATAAAAAGCGAACATGTCCAAGTAAAGTGTTGAATTGCTCTTCACTCAAGTGAATTAATTTATTTTTAATTCCCTGTTTTGGAGAAGTTTTCTTTTCGTCAAAAGATTTAAATTGCTTTTTTAAAGAAGAAAATTTAAAAGAAAAATTAATTTTTTTAAAATTACTTTATCTGTAAAAATAGGTGAAGGTGGTTCTATTGTTAAAATTGTATTGTTTGTATTTGAATGGTTAAAACAATGACCGAGAGCAGAGAACTTTTAAAAAAATTTAAAATAAATTATCCTTTTTAGTAAAAAAATTCTTTCAATCCCCTTCCCTCTCCCAGCATTCCCCCCCCCCCCAATTTTTACTTGTAAAGAATCTGAAGAATTTGTTTGATTATAAGATAATTTTCTATTTTGTTGGGGAATTAAAAGAGAATTTGTTTTTGTTTGTTGTTGTTGATTTGCTGCTGCCATTCTTTTACAAAAACGGCGTTGATTTCCTAAATGATTTTAATTAATTTAAAGAGAGTTTATGTTAAACTAAATATTTTTAGTTTATTTTACTTCCAGAAAATGTTATTTCTCTGTATAGATTTTCCGGAAACTTGAACATATCCCAGCAAATTTTATAGAGAAGCACTATTTAGAGTATGGGTGGGGCAATTTCGGGTATTCAGAAAAGAAAGAAGTTCCGAATACCCGAAGGTTTCCGGTTCGGTTATCAGTTCTGCAGGATTTTTCCTGGATCCAGAGTCAAGATTCTGACATTCTGACGATCTCTACTGCTTACACTAAGATTTCCCAGAAACCGTCAACTCCAATTAAATTATTTACTTGTAGGAAAAGGAGAGGAATGTTCTTCAATTCGTAAAAGAGTTGTTCCAACACAACTAGTCTTTCTTTGCTGATTTTCTTCTTTCCTTTCTTCACATTCTTTATAACAATAACCATTTAATTGTTGCCAATGATTTGGAGGAGTAAATAATTTATTATCAAATTCAAAATTATTTTTATTTTGATTTAAATATATAGTGTCTAAATTTGTTGGTTTATTGAATGTTGATGATTGACTTTAAAAATTAAAAAAAATTATTTAAAGTTAAATAACTTCTTTTTTAATAGTTAGATAAATAATGTGTTAGGAAATATGCATGTAACACTATTGGCAGAATTTATCAAAGAATTTCAGGGATACTTTGGGAAAGTTTTGTATAAAATTGAAGAGCTATCCGAAACGTCGCTCACTTTCACATTACTTCCACCGTCCGTTACGGCCTGAGTTTGGAATTTTGAAATTTGCTTGTACTTTCGTACAGGCCTTTTTTTCTCATACTCGTACTTCGTTCACAGGTACGAGTACGAATTTTGGTACGAGCTTCCAAAAACTGGTTACAACTCGAGGCCGCTATGCTTATACAATTGAGAGATACAGCAATTTTAAAATTCTATTTAAATAAATTTCCGAATATCCTTTGCCCTCTCCCTATTAATTTCTCTCATTTGAGAGACTCCTCAGCCCCAGAGGTCGAAGCTCTTATAGACTTCTTCTCTTTACTGTATTTTTGTTAAATTATTTTTTACCATTCATTATTATTATTAATTTCCCCAACAATATCTTTTAATAATTTTTCTCCAGTTCCATCAGAAAGTTTAACACGAGGGGGTCTTTGCATACAAAGCAACCAAGGAAGCCATTCAAGTAAAATAATTCTCATCTTTTTTTGAATAAAAATAAAAAAAAAAATTTTAAAATTTTTTACAAAAGAAGGCATAGGAAAATAAGAATCAGCTTTTCTGTGGTGAAAATTAAGAACTATAACTGTACAAATAACAGAAGCACCAACTTCGAACATTACACAAGTGAAGAATACTTCTAGAATTTAATTTAAAAGTGTCCTGGATATTAAAAAAAATATTTTTTAGTAACCAATTAAGGGTAAAGTGTCAGAAGTTTGTGGCATCGTCTCAGCTACCATTAACATAAAAACACATAAAGACATAAATATAGTTACACAAAGATTTAGCTTTTCTCCAGAATCTGGTGGTAAAGAAAAACCGAGAAGAGCTAGAGAAGAAATTAGAAGAGAAGGCAAAACAAGATTAACACCTGAAATAAAATGATACGGTAGACGATTTATATACATTCGACAAAATTAAATAATTTGGCCGGCTGGACATTTTGAAAATTAATTAAGTTTAGGTTTTTCGTTATATTACCCCAACTAACCATTTTTTCTAATCCCTTTGTATTCCTAAGTAACTGGCATAGAATTAGAGAAACTATAAATAAAGAGAGTGAGTAAATTATTATTCTCTCTTTTCTTTTATTTTACTTTTTCCGCTTATTTTATATCACGTCTAAAATTTATAATTTCTTTTTACTTTTATTTTTGTCTCTTGATGAAGTCTTTGGTTTTAATTACCCAAGTTGAGGTAAATATCAACTTCACCCTCGAAAGAGTGGTTAATACTTGGGATAAATTTTGGAATTGCTCAACCTTTGGTTGAGCTTAAATTTTGATTTTTCATAGTAAGGGGCAATCAGTCATGGTAATGAACTGATCTTGGTATCCGTATCCGCATATTTACGTTGGATACAGACGGATAAAGGCGGATATTTGCAGGCATTTTGATATTATCTGTATCCATATCTGTATCCATATAAATTATCTGTATCCATATAAATTATAATTGAACCCAGGCATGGTCAAGGATACCGATATGGATACAGATAATATCAAAATGCCTGCAAATATCCGCCTTTATCCGTCTGTATCCGACGTAAAGGTGCCCTGTAGTCTCGTCAGAGGTTAGTTTCGTCAGAGGGCATTTTCGTCAGAATCAGTTTCGTTAGAGGTCTTTTTCGTCAGTGAACAGTTTCGTCAGAGTGTTGTTTCGTCAGAGATAAGTTTCGTCAGATGACATTTTCGTCAGTAAGGCTCCCTTTTTAAAATTTAATTAAACGGCGGTATTGTGACTTATACTTGGTTATTTGTTTCTGGATCGATTTGGGCAAATGAGGTGTCATTCGAAAGAGCTTAGAAAATATGATGTTAGGGATGAAAAATTCTATTTTATAAATGATAGCTCAACCGACTAAGCTCGATGAGTTAAATATTTTCGACAAATGAGATACACTACACCATTTTTCAAGATTCAGGAGGCTGAAACTCGGCCCCGAAATGTCAGATAAACTTCTTCCACAACTTATTCGACTCAGTTTTTGAGCTCTTTCGAATGACATCTCATTTGCCCAAATCGATCCAGAAACAATTAACCAAGTATAAGTCATAATACCGCCGTTTAATTAAATTTTAAAAAGGGAGCCTTACTGACGAAAATGTCTTTTGACGAAATTTATCTCTGACGAAACAACCCTCTGACGAGACTGTTCTCTGACGAAGAAGGCCTCTGACGAAACTGATTCTGACGAAAATGTCCTCTGACGAAACTAACCTCTGACGAGACTACCGGACACGGACGTAAATATGCGGATACGGATACCAAGATCAGTTCATTACCATGACTGATTGACCCTTCACTATGAAAAATCAAAATTTAAGCTCAACCAAAGGTTGAGCAATTCCAAAATTTATCCCAAGTATTAACCACTCTCTCGAGGGTGAAGTTGATATTTACCTCAACTTGGGTAATTAAAACCAAAGACTTCATCAAGAGACAAAAATAAAAGTAAAAAGAAATTATAAATTTTAGACGTGATATAAAATAAGCGGAAAAAGTAAAATAAAAGACAAAGAGAGGACAATACTTTACTCACTCTCTTTATTTATCGTTTCTCTAATTCTATGCCAGTTACTTTGGAATACAAAGGGATTGGAAAAAATGTTTATTGGGGGTAAAATAACGAAAAACCTAAACTTATTAATTTTCAAAATGTCCAGACGGCCAAATTATTTAATTTTGTCGTTCGGCCAAAAAAAAAGATTTAAATTCTTCATTAATTAATTTTAAAAATAAAAGCTACCATAATAAAGGGTTCGCCTTCTAACAGAAATAAGAAAAGTAACATCAACATAAGGTTCTGGACAACAATCATAAACCAATCGGTTTCGAACTGATTGGACACCTTTTATTTAACAAAGAGAGTTTATCTTTTAACTTTCCCTTTACTTAATAAATTCCATTCTCCATTTGGAGTGTAGGGATCTAAAGAAACAGAATCATTATATAAATCAGTAAAAAAGCCAGAATAAGTCCAAGAACCAAATTTCATTGCACATGTTTGGTCATCAAAGGGGAATGATGTTACCTAAATGAGTGAGAGATTTTAAGGGGGAATTAATTATTTGGAGGTTGGGGTACTTTATATTAGAGATCGACCTAGATCAAGATTCAGACCTTGATTTTTCCTGGATCCAGAGTCTAGATCAAGGCATTTTTCTGCGTTCCTTGCTTTTTCCTTGAGAATGATTTCTTTCTTGACTCAAGGACCTTAAACTGGTCAAGATACCCAACCAGAATCGAGGTTAAGGTTTTTAAAATTTCCAATCTCTACTATATACCCTTTCATCTCCTTTTAGTCTAGAAAAATTATTTTCCCCTTAAAAGTTTTTTCAATTAAACTCTCACTCACATCAATTCTGCATGAAGATCTAATAATTGCTGGAGGTATCCAAGTAACAGACCCATTATATTTAACAATAGCATTTACTGGCCATAAAGTATCAAAACGTTGATCAACAGAATTGTATAAAAGAACATCGGGTTTCCAAATAGAGGTTATTGGCAGTCTAACTTCTTTAATATCCCCATATTCTGCTGGATCCCATGTCAGAAAAATATCTTCCCAATTCATACGTACCCAAATATTTGTTTGCATTATTTGGGCTTTTTCGTCCTTTTTTAAAGAAAATTTTTGAAGATAAAAAAAATTATTTTTTTATTTACAATATCTATAATAGCCTGTAAATCCATCCCTAAATGAACTATTATAGGTGCACTTTCATTTTTTACAGGCCTAGCCAAAACATTATAGCCATGAGTGAGTCTGTCGTAAAGAAGACGTTCGTGTTCGCCTGCCCAAACGGCTGCTGAAAAAAATGAATTTTAAAAATTTTTTATAAATAAATTAACTGCAAAATTATAAACTAAGAAATTTGCGAAACAAAATAAAACAAAATAAGGGAAGGATTTGCTCACTGTTCTGTACAATAACAAAAAAAAAAGCAATGAAATGAAAGGTTAGTGAGATAGTGCAGAAGGGGAAATTCCGGAAATTCTTTTCCGGAAACAAAAATAAATAAAGCGTATTACAATTAAATGCACAAATAGTGTAAAGCATATGCTAGCTATTTAATTCCTAAGGATGTGTAGTAGGCGACGTGATGTAACACATAAGTCCAGTCTACTGAAGATGCTGGTTCGCTCCCAGCCGCCGATTAACCTTTTGCATTAGCTAAAGGAGAGAAATAGCTTTAGCCCAGCTGCTTTATTAATAGAATGGCACAAGAATTTCCTAAATTGTGCAGAACTTTTCTTGAAAAAAGAATACATTGAAATTTAAGTTTTTGTAAAAGGGAATATAAGAACAAAGATTTAATTAAATAATCAGTGAAAGGATAAAACACAAAAGTGCTGGATATTTCACTCATTTTTAGTCACCACTTTTTCCAACACTCCTTCCATCCCACGAATGTTTATTACTTTCTTCTAACCATTTAATATTATCTTCATTTTCTTTCTTTTCCTTTAATTTTAATTAAAAATTGTTAAAAAATAAAAAAAAAACATTTAAATTTCCACCAACATTAGACCAATGTTGTTTAGAATTTCCAGCAATAACTCCAAAAGGTTCTCCATCATCCATATTAGTTTTGTGAAATACACTTGCATGATTATCCCTTCCAAGCATTGCATGTTTACCCAAAGCTGTTGCCCCCGTAGAGCCAAGAACGAGTAAAGAAAGTGGTCGACAGGTAGTGACCACAAAAAGGACTTTTTTTGAAAATAAATGTTATTTTTTAAAGAAAAGAGAGAAAGAGAACAGTGAGTGTTAATTAATTAGATTCCCTCAAAAACTATACATATAAAACAAACCCTTAAAAATCAAAAAATGATTATCTCCTGTTAAAGCTGTCAACATTAAAAGTAAAGAAGGTAAAGAAAATTTAGGAGCACGTAAAGAATGTTGTGAATATTTTGTTGAGAATAATGTAAACATATATTTATTAATTAATATTTAAATTTTTGAATATAATTTTGGGGGAAAAATAATAATTTTAAATTTAAAGTAAATAGAAAATTAATTAAAAATTTAAGAATTTCAGAGGACTCAAATATTTGTAAATTATATTTTTAAAGTCAAAAATACAAAAATTTTTAATAAAAAAATTTAAAAAGAAATCTAAGTACATCCTTATAAGAGGGGAAGAAACATTTTAAAATCTTCTTCTCTTCACAAAAACACCCCCACAAATTTTTTTCAAGTGGTTAAGAATTATTTACTGATACTTAAAATATCATCAAAAATGCCAATTAAATTAAGGTTATATATCCTAGAGATGTCTTAATAATTTTATAAAATTATTAAGACAATTTTTTAAATTTTGCAACTAAAATTTTTTTAATTTTATTTTTTGTTATCCCATAAATATTTATTTTCCTTCCCCTTTCATTTTAAAAAATTTTTCGGTCTTTTTTTTATTTTAAAATATAAATTCCCACACATTTTTCAATATTATGTACTTATTTATTTATATTTTTGGAAGACTATACTACTCACATTACATAAATTATTAGCTACATTTTTAGCTTAAAAAAAGAAGAAAATAACTAAAAGAGAGGGAATAAGTGTTTTGATGTTTTTAGGCAAATAGCGCGGAAATAAAAATATTTGTTTTTGTTTTTAGTTAATTAATTATTTAAAATATTTTTTAAAAATTTTAAGAGATTTAAGGAGGGAAGTGAAGTTAAAATACAAAAACTAAAATAAATTAGAAAAATTTAAAAAATTTCTCACAAAATTGGGAAAACCTAACAAAATACAATCAAAAAATTAAAAAATAATTTTAAATTAAATTTTAAAAATTGTTAAAGAATTAATTAAAGGAAGAAATTTAGCTATAAAAATTAGGGTTGCCGTTTTCGAATCGGGCCGACGTTCGAGTCGTTTTTTCGGGTCACTCTTTTTCGGACCTGGCCGGTAACCATAATAAAAATAAATCCAAAAATAATATCACCCCTCCCAAAACATTATTTAAATAATCCAAAAATATTTTTAAAATTTATTTCAAACAAAATTCAAAAATAACAATTTTTTCTAAATTATTTGTCAAAGAGTATCCAAAATTTAAAGGCAAATTTGGTGAAAATAAAGGCTCAAAATTTGTTTTAGAAAAATCTTTTAAATTTAAAAAAGAATTTAATTTAGGAATTAATTCTTCTTTTTGTTTTGAAGGACATGATCCGTTTAAATATTCTCCACGAAGTTCCCAACTTTGAAGTATTTTAATTCCTTTAGAGGCTAAAAATTAAAAAAAAATTAATTTCAAAATTGAAAATAAGTGGAGTTAATCAATTTAAAGGTTAAATCGGGTAAATGTCCAGTTGGCGGTCTACATGTCTGCAAAGAGAATCTGCTCTTTTCTTTCCTTTTCTTGCATTTTTTGCGTTAGGAGAAGTGCTCGCTCATTTTTCCTTTTCTGCCATTTTTCCTTCCGAATACAGTATGTTTTCCTTTTTCTTATCGAAAAATAAAAATATTATCTCTAATTTAAAAAAAAAATTATTTATTTAACAAATGATAGATCTTGGATTATAAAAATTACAATGATAAATTCTGAACTGTAGGATTATTGCTATCATATAGCAGCTTTCTATGGCTTTCTACATAATAAGCCCAAAATAATAATCTTAAAAATTTCAAAATAATATTTAAGGAGACATAACCTGTTCTAAATAGATTTTCATGTTACAGGATATCGATATTGAGTAAAGATATTGGCCCAGTTTTTATAGTCATCCTCCCCCTCATAGTTTTTATTATCAACTCTATATTTTAATAAATCTATTTGAGAATGTTATCCAAAATTATCATTTGTAAAATAAATTTTGTTTCTAATTAGAGGTATTTTTAATTTGCAAGTATGAACAGGAGAACATATTGTATTGATTGTGAGAAGGAAAAATGGCAGAAAAGGAAAAATGAGCGGAGCACTTCTCCCAACGCAAAAAATGCAAGAAAAGGAAAGAAAAGAGCAGATTCTCTTTGCGGACATGTAGACCGCCAACTGGACATTTACCGTTAAATCGTTTTATAATTTTGGATGCCTTAAATTGCGAGGTTATTGCTTAAACAGCTTTCCCAGCCCTAACTAAATTAAAAATATTTTAATGAATTTCTGAAAGTATTTAAAAAATGTTTTTTGAATCTGATTTCTTTAAATTCAGAAAAGGAAACTAAAAAAACAGGAAGCTAAAATCCCTGTCAAAAAACCTCTAAATAATTTAAAAATAAATTTAAAGTTTCTGGATTTCGAATAGTACAAGCAATAATTGCAATTGGAGAATTGAAAAAGCTTCGATTATTTGAAAGTAAACATTTTAATAAATTAATTAATGAAGGGAAAAGTTCTGGATCATAAATAATATCTAAAAAAATTAAAAGAAATTCAATTTTTAATTAAATATATTTTTTAATTCTTAAGTGGAATAACATAAATATTTCAAAGTCAAAAAAATATTTTTTAAAAAGTCTGTGACACATTGGTAATCAAAAAAATTCTCATAAAATTTAAAAAGAATTCCGAATTTAAGTATAAAAATTAGATTTAAAATTCTTTTTAAAAATACCTGAAGCAACAATAACATCAGCTGGAGGCAAATCATTTGGAATAAAATTAGTCCAATCCAAATATTTCGATTCAACAATTAAATTATCTTTAATTTAAAGAAATAATCTTTTAAAAAAAACTCAAAAAAAACCTTCAATATTACCAAAATTTAATTTAATATTTTTATTTAACAATTCCAAAACAAAATTATCAGAATCACTCAAAATTAATTTAATTTCTTTATTTTTATTTAAACAAAATTGTTTTGCAAGCAAAATTCCAACAAGTCCACAGCCAGTGCCCAATTCTAAAATATATTTTGCATTGGAGAGATATGGCAATAAATTGGTAGAAAATGATAAAAATAAAAAATCAGCTAGAGCAAAAGAGGCCTAAAAATAAAATTAAAAAAAGTTTTTTTTTTGTTAAAATTAAGAAAGTAAGGAAAATAACGAGTAATTTTAAAAAATATATGGATTAGAATCCGGGCTGGGAGAGTTCGAAAAATGTCGACAACCGACTCTAATTTGAATCCATTTTTGGAATTTTAATTTAGAAAATTTATTCACAATTTTAGGACTTGAGCCCGTATAAATTAATTTTTATATTTATTTTTCAACATTTTATTTCCAAAAATTAAAAACCTGCCAGCAACACAATCCAGTAGTTCCTTTTGATATATTTTGAATATTTTGACAAATAACTAAATAATTAATTTGTTCATTTGGCGGAGAAGAAAATTGTTTAAAATTAAGAGGAAAAATACTAAAAAAATATTCTTGTTCATTTTCCATTGATAAACAAATATTTTGATAAAGAACATCTGATGGATCCATTTGGAGTTGTTCAAACTAGAAAACAAATTTCCTAAATTAAATTTGAATTAATTAAAAAAACCTTTTTTATTGCTAATTTACACAAATTCTTTAATGTATTTTTTCTTCCAGGTAAAACAGTTCTAGCAGGCGAATTAAAAATAATCTCATCCAAATTCAACTCTTTATATTCCTTCACAGCCAAAACAAAATTTTCAATAATTTCCTCACGAATATTTAAATCAGAGAAAAAAGAACGAAGAAATGGACGGATCCTGTCAATTAGAGTTGGCTCCAAATTTGTTTGAAAAAGTGGTGGGAGAGACGTTATCCCATTGAGAGCTTTTAGATTTTCGTTGTTTAAAAGTTTTTGATTTGAGGTCGACATCTATTAAAGGGTTTTTTAAACTAAATTTTTTAATTAAAAAAAACCGTAAGAGGTTGAGGGAGGTAAATATTCTGGTCGGTCATAGGGGATTCCATAATGTAAAGCAATTCCCACTCGTTTATTTCCTTCGTCCAATAATTGTTTAATTTTTAGTTGATCTGTCTCCTAAAAATAAGAATATTTTTAAAAATAAAATTAATTTTAAACAAACAAAAATATTTTTTCTAAATTCGTTTCGAGCCTCAGATAAAATATATTCACGCTCTATACAAGTATTTGTAGGCTCTTTTGCTGTCCAGGATTTTGAAAGACGAATAATACGTGAATAAAGTGACAAAACTTGACGTTTTGTATTATTATTGTAGGAATTCATTCAATGAAATCTTGAAAATTTTAAAGCATTAGAAAAAAAAATCTGAATAAATTTTCGAAAAATTTCAACAAAGTACATTTTTGGCAATGGGGCAATTTGAGAAAATGACCTTCCATATATATATTTTGAAATCTTTCTTGTAAATAAATACAAAATGTAAAATTCAAAAGGGTAAAAGTAAATATTTTACAAAATGCCAATCGACCTTTGAACTAATAAATAGAAAAACAAGAACTTAAAAAAATTTGAGATTTTTTTGTTATTCTCGTGATTGTTTGTTTCTATTTATTTAAATGATTATTACTCTTTCTATTCTTATTTCAAAATCATTTTTAAACTGTTTTCATCGATTAAAAAACTAGTCGTGAGTGTGTTCTTTACTCATTCATTTCTTTTTATTTTCCTATACATAAGTTTCTTTTTCATTTTTTAAAGTTTTTAGAATTCAAGAAAATATTTTTATGGCGCATCCAGAAGCTATTCCCTCACAAACTGGAGGACTCGAAGGGTCACGTATGGAGCCGGGTACTAACTTTCGATAAATTCTTTTTAATTGACTTATTTTTAAAGGATGCTTTGCGGGGAAATCTATGGCTGTTTTTACAAGTGGTGGTGATTCTTCAGGTTTCGTGCTTCAATTTTAATTTATAAATAATTATTCTAATTGTAAGGCATGAACAGTGCTGTTCGATCTGTTGTTAGAACAGGGCTCTATTTTGGATGTCGTGTTTTCTTCATTAAAGAAGGGTATGATGGAATGGTTAAAGGCGGTGATAATATTCTTGAAGCCAATTGGAATTCCGTGTCTGACATAATCCAGTGGGGTGGCACAATTATTGGTTCTGCTCGTTGCAAGGAGTTTAGAGAACGTCCCGGACGAAGAATTGTAAGCTTATCTGCTATTTTAGTATTAACAATTTAATTTAAGTCTTGCAAGAATTTGATAGCTAAAGGTATTACTCATTTGGTCTGTATTGGTGGAGATGGATCTCTGACAGGGGCCAATACTTTTCGTCAGGAATGGCCATCACTGGTTAAAGAGCTTTTGGATGCGAAGGAAATAACTGAAGAACAATCGAAAAATTGTGCTAACATTCAGGTAATAATAGTGCCAATTTTCAGGTTTATTTAACTGTTTTTAAGATCGTTGGTTTGGTTGGTTCTATTGACAACGATTTTTGTGGTACAGACATGACTATTGGAACGGATACTGCTCTTCAACGAATTGTTGAGGCTATTGACTCTGTCGTCTCAACTGCTCAAAGTCATCAACGTGCTTTTGTTATTGAAGTTATGGGACGCCATTGTGGCTATTTGGCATTGGTTGCTTCTTTGGCAAGTGAAGCTGACTTTTGCTTTATCCCTGAATGGCCACAACCTGTTAATTGGGAAGAGGTAAAATTAACGTTATTTTGTTAAATTTGGTTTTTTAAGGTTCTTTGCAAAAAATTGGAAAATTCGCGTGAACTGAATCAACGTTTAAACATTATGATTGTTGCTGAGGGAGCTATAGATCGTGAAGGAACACCGATATCTAGTGAAAAAGTTAGTTATTTGCAAAAAGAATAATCAAAAATTTTAAGGTCTGTAATTCGGTTAAAACTCGTCTCGGTTATGACACTCGCATAACTGTTCTTGGACATGTACAGCGAGGTGGAAGTCCGTCGACCTTCGATCGTCTTCTTGGATGTCGGATGGGCGCAGAAGCAACTTTGGCATTAATGCAAATGACGCCAGAATCGGTTAAACATTAAATGGAAATTAATTGGTATATTTTTGCAGGAACCTTCGGTAATTTCTACTGATAGCAATCAAATGGTTCGTGTTCCCTTAATGGAATGTGTTCGTCGTACTCAGGATGTTTGTATTTTTTCTTATTTAATTTTTAATAAATTTAGGTTCAAAAAGCTATGGATGCTAAAAACTTTGAAAAAGCTGTTCACCTTCGAGGACAAAGTTTCCAACGTAACTTGAATACTTATCGTTTGCTCACAAAATTGCATACACCAAAAGAGAAAGATAATTTGTCTGGAGGAGTCAGTTATAATGTTGCTGTTATGAATGTTGGTGCTCCTGCTGGAGGTATTTTTAGTTTATTTTTTTGAGTTTCAAAAGAAATTAAGGAATGAATGCCGCAGTCCGTGCTTTTGTTCGAATGGCTCTATATCATCGCTGTAAAGTTTTTGGAATCAATAATGCATTTGAAGGTTTGGCAGAGGGTAAAATAGAAGAGCTTGATTGGGAGGCAGTTGCTGGTTGGGGTCGAGTAGGTGGATCTAAACTCGGAACACAAAAACAGTTGCCAACAAAATATATGGATCAGATTGCTGTCCAGTTAAAGAAATATCAAATTCAAGCGTTGCTGATTGTTGGTGGATTCGAGGTTTTTTCATTCACACTTTAGACGTGTTAATTTTCTTTTTAGGCTTTTCATTCTGCTTTGATTCTGTCCCGTAACAAAGAACAATATCCAGAATTTGCTATTCCGTAATTCTCTCCTTTCAATTAAAATTCAGAAATATTTTTTAGGATTTGTGTCGTTCCTTGTACAATAAGTAACAACGTTCCTGGTACTTCTCTTTCTCTCGGATCTGATACAGCACTTAATGAGATCTGCCGTCTAGTTGATAATATTAAACAATCGGCAAATGGAACTAAACGTCGAGTTTTTATCATTGAAACAATGGGTGGTCATTGTGGTTATTTGGCAACATTTGCAGCATTGGCTACAGGGGCTGATAATGCTTATATTTTTGAAGAACGTTTTACTGCTGACGGTTTGTTTTAGAATTTGAAATTTAAAATAAAATTGTTTTTCAGATATAAAGGAGGACGTAAAAGTAATTGCAGAAAAGATGAAGACTGGTGTACAGCGTTACTTGATTGTTCAAAGTGAAGGTGCTAGTGCAAACTACAATACCGATTTTGTGGACAGACTCTTTAGAGAAGAAGGAAAAGGAGAGGTTTGATTTTTTATCTAAAACTTTATGAAAAAATATATATAATTTAGTTCTCAACGCGTGTTAATATTCTCGGGCATGCACAGCAAGGCAAAATTTAAATTTTTAAAAAATATTTTTTTTTGATTTCTAGGAGGTAGGCCAACTCCTTTTGATCGTAACTTGGGCGCTAAATTTGGAATTCGTGCGTTGGAGCATTTGTTAGAGCTGCTCAATCTTAAAAGAAAGGGAGATACTAAAACAGATTGTTGCGGATTGTTAGGTATACATTAATTATTAAAATAATTTTGTTACTTTTAAACATTTTAAAGGGCTTGTTGATCGTGCTTTACTCTTTACACCTGTAGAGGAGTTGGCAGCAAATACTGACTTTGATAATCGACTTCCAAAGCATCAATGGTGGCTTAAGGTTCGACCACTCCTTCGCATTCTCGCAAAACATCAAGCATCATATGAACAGACAGCGAAAGACTTAGAGCTTGAAGAATCTGATAGTGATGAGAAAGAAGAATAGAATAAAGTATACTACAATGAACAATAAGCTAAAAATAGCGAATTTTTGATTTAGGCTTCTCGTTTAATTGGGTAATATTATTCCTTTTATAGAGTGCATTTCACCGGGTTTTAATCTCTTAGAAAATTTAATAATTATATATTCATTTATAACAAAATTATATAGATCTTTGGCTTTTTCTTAAATATTATTTTAGATAAAATGAATCTCTTTTAGAATATATTAATCTTATTGAATAGAAAGTTTAGTAAATTCTTTAAAAAATCTAAAGGAAGGCGCGGCCAGAACGGCGCTTTCCGCCGTAAGCAGTCGTGCGCCTTTTTGGCCTGCTCTTCAATCTTTTTATGATAAAATTTTTCGGACGCTCCCACCTAACCCCCTCTAAAAATTCTCTGATAACTTTACATTAATTTATCATACTTTGGTATGAAATTTTAATTTAAAAAATAAGATAAAAATTCAACAAACGAGATAAGACACAACAATTGATGAGATAAGAGAAATTCTGATATCTATTTTGAATTAAATAATGCCCCTGAGAGAATGTCACAAGCAAGTTCATAGAAAAAGAATGAGAGCGCTGTCTGTGTTGATTCTTTGAGCAAAGCAGGCCAAATACCTTTATATAAACTTGTAAATCCTTCATGTTTAACAATTCCGCGAATGGTGGCTGTCCTGAAAATTTGGTTAAATTTAAAATAAGCAAGAGAAAAACAACATTCCGCCGTAAGCAGTCGTTTGACCGAAGGCCCCAGGCCTAATTCGTTCATTTATCTGAATAAAATTTTTAAGGAGAATTATTTTTTGAATTAAAAACCTGTAGCCTATGTCTGACCAAGTCTAATGGATACTTAAAATAAAATTATTAGATAATTTTAAAAAGTTTGAAACAAGAATGTGGTACCGTTATTGTTTTGGCTACAATGCCAGCTAAAGCACCTGAGGCTAGCCTATTTAATTGTTTGGTAACATTTGAATGAGATTCCTTCTCAAGTTTGTTGTTAATGTTCCTTTCGTGAGATAATGAATTTATCCAATTATAAGCAGTGAATTTGATACCAAAAAATTAAATTTTTTAAAGCTTATTTTAAATAAAAGTTAAAAGGAAAAATGTGACTCCAAATGATTTCTTAGAATCCCCCTCTGCCAATTTATATATCCAGTATTATCTTTCATTTGGGGTGGCAACTTTAATGGGCAGGTTCGAAAATTGGATAGAAATGTCACAAATTTCCCTTCTAAATTAATTTTTACCAGCATTAAGTGCAATTTGTGCCAAAGAAGGTGTTAAACCATGAAAAAATCCACCAATTCCTTCCTTTGTCCAAGTTTTATTAATTGGATGTAATAAATTTCGATAACCTTGCGAAACCACCTTTGAAAAATTTTAAGTTTAAAAAATTAAATTAAAAACAAAAATTAACCATTCGAGTACGAATAACATCAAAAGGCATAGAACAAGCTGTTGCCAAAGCTAAAAATTTTAAAAAAAATTTTTGTCAATTAAAAACAAAAAAAACATCCAGCAATAGATCCACAAAGAAAGTCTGCAGTCATTTTGTATTTTCCAAGTCCAAGTTTAACAATTTCACTGCTTAATGCTTCAAAGGTGGAGTATTGAATAACACCTTAATAAAAAATTTAAATATTTTTCTACAATTTATTTACCATAGGTAACGGAAAGAGCCTGTCCAGGAATATGCCCTCTCCTAAAAATTAATTTTAAAAATTTTCTTTCAGTTTAAAATCAATACCACAATGCTTTAAACCCCTCCTCCTTCCAAATCATTCTCATTGTTTTTAACATCCGACCACTATATTTCCCCCTATTTACACCATGTAATGGCTCTTCTTGTAACTAAAAAAATAATTAAATTCATTATTTTAAATAAAATAAACCTGAAATCTAATCTTAACAACATCTAAAGGTTGAATTACTAAACGAGTTGCTACACCACTAAAACAGCCAGAGCTGACATACTAAAAATTGATAAATTAAATTCTTGCCGTCCCAACTTTCAAAGACGGAAAACGAAGCGGGGAAAAACGTAAGAAAGGAAAATGGAATTAGTTAAAGTGCCCCGAACAAAAAAGGTTATCTTAAACCGCAATAATTAAAATATTTTTACCTGAATTTTAGTCAAATTCCTTTGTTTTCCAGCTTCTAACCTGCTTAATCCAACAACCATTCCTCTTTAAAAATTAATAAATAAAAAAATTAAAAATATTTTTCAAATATTTAATTAAGTTATTTAAACTATTAAATGAAACAAATTTAAATTTTAAAATATTGTCCAAAAGAAAGCAAAAAATATTTAAAAAGGTAAATTGAATATGTCGATTAATTTAGCCATCCACAAGATTGTTCTTCTAATTTTAATATAAAATGAAGGAAAAAATTATCAAAATAAACTTCGATTTTCAAACACAAAAATAAATTTAATTTTCAAAATTTTCCTTCAATTTCTTCAATTCTAGGCATACTTGATTGCATCAAACGTTCAAATTTAATCTTCATTCTATACATACAAGATGGTGACAAATTTCGAAGAAAGTCAGCAACGTGCGCACCAAAAGCGTCGGCTTCCGCATTTAATGTGGAAGTACGTATTGCAGATTCAAACTCTTCAGCTACATTTTTAAAAAATAATTTTTAGTTTGATAAAAAAATTGAGTAATTGTCATGTTATCACAAGATGATTTTTTAAACACGTAGTTAATGTCTAAAAAGACATTTTAAAATTGATAAAAATATCTGTTAAGTAGATGGAAAGGGTATCTTATGAAAAAATTTTTTGACACGTGGTTAATGTCTAAAAAGTAATAGTGTCATTTCCAATCCCCCTTTTCCTAAGTTTTTTCCTATAATTTGTACAGAATGGACAGACCTTTTTTAACTTACATCACAATTGACTTTCTTTCTAAAGAACTGGAAAAAATAATAATTTTGATTGTTTTAGTCAAAATATAGAGTAAGGCAATTGTGATCGGCGAAGGAAAGGTCTCCCATTTGTATAAATTATAGGAAAAACTTAGGAAAAAAGAGGGACTGGAAACAACACTATTACCAAAGTCTCATCTTAAAGAAAAGTCTAAATTCAAATAAAACAAGAAAAATCAAAATTCATTTAAACCAACCACTAGTCGAACCAACATTATAAATATCATGTTTTCTAATTATACGTTTCGGAAAATTCGGTTGTTCATAATCATGTTCTTCAACATTTTCAGGTATATAACGTTCGTCTTTAATCTCTTCTCCCCCATAAATTTGTTCAAATTTGCAAGTTTTAGCAGCCATTGAAGGTGGTCTTTCTTTTCTTACACGTTGCACAATCTTAAAAAAATTAATTAAGAAGCTAAAGCCTCTCAGAATCCCAATTTCTTTTCCTATTCCCGTTACTCATATAAAAAACCGCCAAGATTGTATAATTTAAAAAAAATTTAAAAAACCTTTCTAACAGCATCTTTACTAGGCAATAAAGATACAAGTTCTGCAGGCGAACTTTGAATAGTATATTCCCTCAAAACGCTAGCAGGTTCACTAGTTTCAAGTGCTCTTCGTTTAATTTCACTTATCATTCGTTGAAGTTCAACATTTTCTTCGTCAGAAGGGCAAATATGAACACCCATTTCTCTAACTACATTATGTTCCAAATCAGTATGAAGACGAGCACGACATTTAACATGTTTTGAATTAAAGAATTCACACTTCCAGAATCGAATATCTCCATCACTATTCATCTTTTCAAAGCAATAAAGAAATCCGTTATGGTGAAACTTAGGTCGTCCTCTCTTTGAGAGTAAAATATTTTCCGTTTCAAACATCTAAAAAAATATATGAAAAATAAAAGGAAATTTGTTAGAATTATCTTAATTATAAAATTGACTACTTAAAAATTATCAAAAATACAGATTAGAAATGTGAAATATCAGAAAAACATCGTGAATTTTAGGTGATGACCTTGTTTGAGGAGACAAGGAAAATTCAAGGGATTTATCCAAATTCAGACCCGTCTATACAACCATGAAATAAGTGCACTTTTATAAATATATAGGAAACCCAGGCCCGTAGCCAGGGGGGGGGGTGGGGGGGGGGAATTCCCCCCCCCCCCCCCCCCCGAAATGGGAAAAAGGGAAAATTTTGGGGAAGGGCTGGGGCAAAAAAAGTGAATTTTTTTGGCCTACGGCCTTCGAAATTTTCGCCTGCGGCGCTAAAAATGGAAGAAATCTGGCTTCTTGAGGTCCAAAATTCAAAAAATTTTCGCCTGCGGCGCTGAAAATCAAAATTTTGGCGCCTGCGGCGCCGAAAAAGTGGATTTTTTTGGCCTACGGCCTTCTAAAATTCTTAAAATTTTCGCCTGCGGCGCTGAAAATAAAAATTTTTGGCGCCTTCGCCGCCAAAAATTTGGCGCAAAAAAAATTTTCCCCCTTGGCCCCCCCCCCGAAAAAAAATCCTGGCTACGGGCCTGAGGAAACCCCTCGAAGTAAGATGCCATTTTCCCATTTTTGAATAAAATTTAAAAACTTAACCTCTTGTTGATATGGAATCCGAAATAAATCTTCAGCAGCTTTACGTTTAATTGTTTTGTCGGGTTTAACTTGAACAGGTTCTTCCACAAATTGATCACAAGTATGTTCCCCAATCACTGACAAAACTTCATCTTCCATATTTGTATGTAACCTTCCCGCACATTTTTGTCCCTTTCTGTGGTAATGTTCACATCGCCAATACTTCTTTTTACCTTCTTCATTTACTCTTTCAACAATATAATTAAATCCTTCATGTGGAAGCTTTTTTGAAAAATTTCTTTTAGTAGGTTTGACTTCTGGTGATTCCATAGGAAATATCAATTTACTTAAAAAAATTAGATTAAACTTTAAAATAAGCTTTATGTTAAATTACCTGATTTTTGTAAAGTACTAAAAAAATGTCAATGTAGGTAGTCAGAAAAAACTTTAAAATTATCCTAAAAATTAAATAAAATTAAACAAAAGTTAAATAAAGTAAATTACAAATCTGTAGAATGAGCAAAATTACAGTGAATGACTATTAGATATTTCGACAAAATGAAATTTGGTCTTTCAATATTTGATTAAATGAATTTTGCCATGAAGAGAAATATTGGAGGATTTTTTCCTGCCAGAAAGCGAGACAAATTTATTTCGTTTTTTTGTTAAACTGACATGATTCTAGGTTTTGGATTCGGGGTTTTTTTTTTCTGTTTCACGATGTCACAAACTTAATCATTATTATCTTTTAAGAGAAATTAATTAAAAATGAAATACGTCGCTGCTTATATGTTGGCCAGTCTCGGCGGGAACGCTCAACCAACGGCAAAGGATTTGGAAAAAATTTTGGGTGCTGGCGGTTTGGACGTTGATATGGAGAATGCTAAAGCAGTGGTCAAAGCGCTTGAAGGCAAAAATCTCGATGAGGTTATTGCTGCTGGTGAAAAGAAACTTTCGAGCGTGCCATCAGGAGCTCCGGCTGCTGCTGGACCTGCTGCAACGGTATGAAACTAAATGTAGAATTTCGTTTTATGTTGATATTTTTAGGGAGCCGCAGCTGCTGCACCTGCAGCTGAAGAGAAAAAGGAGGAGAAGAAAAAAGAGGAAAAGAAGGAAGAAAGCGATGACGATGATATGGGCTTCGGACTTTTTGATTAAATGGAGATTGAATTATATTTTAATTAATGATAAATTGTTGTTGTTTTTATCATGTGTCCTTCATCAAACAATTTTAGTTAATGGTATTTCGGGTCTTGGTATTCACCTAGGGCTGGATGTGAGTAAAGTACACAATTTACCAGTGGTTTAGCCATGGTTAGATTAGCCTAGTAGTTTATAAGGAATCAACGTTAGAAACAACATTGCGTCAGATCAAACTAAACTCATTTGACTTTAGCGAGTACTCAAACACTTAATTTTATCAATAATATTAAAAACATTTGTTTAAAACAATATATCGCAAATCTATCGTCCAAACATCTTAAAATGTTGTCTCTATTAGCCTTGTTTCTGTGCCTTGCCTGCATCCCACTGTGTGATCTTCAGTTGGGTGTCCTTTTTCGCCTCCACTCCAGCTCCCTTTCTACAATTTCTCAGAGCTGCTGCAGCAACTTGCGAAAAGCGAGTGTAGGTGATTCCAATATCCTTCCTGAAAATTTATCTAGAAAGTTAAAAGAAGTTTGTGTCTTACCAAAGTGCCATTAAAAAGATAATATGTAGATATTAAATAATATGTATTATGTCAATTCAACAAAGCTAAAATTGAAAAAAAATTAATTAAAAAGAAAATGATTGATGAAGATTATGTGTATCATTAACGGGGAAATTAATTAAAACAGGTAATTTTGAGTTTCGTTGTCCCATTTTTCTTACTCAACGAGAATCAAAACAACCAAAGCTAATGAGCTCATTTAATTAACACATTTAACTTGGCTGCTACATAAATCAAATAAAGCTCTAAAAAATTAATAGACACTCGCCCGCATCATAAAAATTTACAAAAAGTAACTGATCCATATCTCTATACTTTTATTCTCTAATTTAATACTCTCTAAGTTTATCTTTCTTTATTAATGTGTGAAGAATTTCTCGATTAATTGGGTAATTAGTGAAAATTATGTCATTTTGGAAAACACATTTAGAATAAAACGAATAAAAGAAAATTTTGTTTGTTTTTGTAGTTTGTATTTGTATTTTTGCCCGGTGAAAGTGTTGGTTTAATTTTAATTGATTTTAAACACTTCAAAACAAGTTCACTTGCGTTTAGTTTATTATTTTATTTTAGGATTATTTTAAAACTGTATCTTTTTATTGAGTTTCTGTCTTCTCGATTGAGATGACAACTGAATATGATGACGAGAATTGTGGACAATTAGTTATAGCAACGGATGATGAACTTGTTGATTGTCCTCCTGCGAGTCCAAATGGAGAATCAGAATTCCCTTCAACAACTGAACCTTCACAAAAATTAGACGGGGAAAAATCAAACGTGAAAGTTTCAGGTTTTTGTTTGTTGAATTCTAGTGTTTTATTTGTTAATCATTTCTCTGCTAAAAATTGAGTAAAAAAGATTTTTTAGCACACGTTGATTCCTCCACGAGTCAGTCTCAGTCAGCAATTCCGGATTCTACTCAAATCAGTTCAACTGAAACAAAAATGGATGGCTCTAATTTAGAAATAGGAGAAATTGACGGCAAAAAACAGGAACTTACAAAAAACGTTTCTACTCGAAATAAAAAACGTGAGAAGGTTTCTACTAAAAATTTTGATCAAAAACCTTTAAATGCTGACAAACATCAAAATAAAACAAGTGATGAAAATACTGCCAAAATTGATGTAAAGCATAAGCCACATGGTGTTCACAATTTTCTTAGCGGAAGTTTGAATAAAAAGGTAATTTTTTAACCTTTTGTAGTTTTTCTTAATTTTTTTTCACTTACCTAAATTCAATGTACTTGCATGGGGGATTTGTGCATGGGGATCAGAGATCGGTCGGAATTTGGATTTCCGAAAATTTAGGTTGATTTTCGAGTTCCGACTTTTGAGCCATTTTCGATTTCCGACAGTTCCGATTTCCGGCACTTTTGTCATTTCCGATTGACCTCTGATGGGTATAAATTAAATTTGTCTGCATATATTCGGCGTCTTTTCTTTTATAATTTATTCCCACATAATTTTAACTTTAAAAATTTTTTAATTTTAACAGACAATGATCGATAAATCGACTTGCGTTTTTACTAGAGCAAATGGGACATCTAATGGTTTGGAAGAGCATTTACTTTCAATGCGACCTGGAACAAATGTAACAATTGATATAACGATAATTTGCAAATCTGGTGGAAATACTTTGTATATTTGTGCAAAATGGCGTGGACAAGAATATCATGGGGTTTTAACTGATGGAGAGCCTTTATTTTCTCATCATTCTCAAAAAAGGTTAGATTTTGAATTAATTTTGCTAAATCCCCTTAACGTAACCTTGCATTTTGAGACGTTTGTGACCTTTTTTTACCTAGATTTTTAAGTCTATTTTATAAATTAATTATCTTTTTAATAGAAATGCTAATTCAAGTAGTAACAAATCTCATTTTGATAATGATGGAAGTGGGCCTTCTCATAGTATGGCAGCAGAAGGAGATCGTGCCAGTAATATTGGAGGAGTAAAACGAGGTGGTAAGCGTGGTGGTGCTCATTTATCGAAACCATCGATTGTCACAAGTGGCCCAGAAGATAAACGATTGAAGAATATTGCTGATGGTAGAAAAACTTACAAAGATTTGTTAAAAATAATAAAGAATTATTTAGATACAGTCGGACAACCAAATCATGCGAATAAACAACTCGTTTCTTCAAAAAGTTGTTCTGAACCAACAACTCCCGGTCCAGTCTCTAGTGAGCAAAGCAGTTCTTCATCCAATGCATTCTTCCCTCATGCAGTCCCACACTCTCCTATTGCCTCTACTTCTTCAAATCCTTCAACTTTTCACAAACAAAGTGCCAAACGTCGTCTTTCTTCTGCTTCCTCTTCTTCTCAAAATGCACATCATGGTCTATACGAAGTTTCAAGGAGATCTTTTCCTCACCGATGTCCACATAAACAATGTGGTTTTAGATTTGGAGCTATCTCCGACTTGAACACTCATTTGCTGATTGGTCATCAAGATTTTGAACGAACGAAAGCTGTTAGTTTAATTAATTAATTGATAAATAATAGAGTATGATTCATTTTATATTAAAAATTTTGATGATTCAAGCTTCCAATGATTTTCAATTAGTAGGGTGACATACCAATTTTTTGTAAATTATTAACCATTAGATGGTTTTTAGATAATAATTTAATTAAAATTAAATTTTTAATATTCTATTTTTTTTATTTTAAGGCAATTCTTGAATCCAGTGCAACTCAAACAATTTCTCCTGAAATGAATTCAATAGGATGTGATCCTCTTATTATTTCACAAAATAATGAGGAGTCTTCTTCACACATTCTTTGTTTTAAATGTAAACAATTATTAACAAAAGAAGAAAAAGAAGCCTTTAAAAATTGTCAAACAACTAAAATTATTCGTCCAAATACTTTATCTATCGATGAACAAGAAGAAGAAGGCCCTTCAACTACAAAGAAGCAACGTTTACAAAAAGCAAAAGAAGCAGAAAATGATGATTCTCCAGGGTTTTCTGATATTTCTGATGATGCGGCACCGACTTTAGAAAAACAAGAACAAGTTGGTTTTTGATTTAGAAAATGATTTTTTAATATTTTTATTTAGATGTTTGACAAACAAAATGATGATCAGCAAGCGAGTCAACAGAATAAGAATAAAAACGAGTAGGGTATTTTATTTTTAATTCTTTTTCTGGAAATAATGAGAGGTTTTAGGGTAATTAATACCTTGTTAGCCTCTATTTATTTTTGACACATCATTCACTTAACTGTTCGAAGCTCGGATGTAGTACTAGGATCAAAAACTCGAATGGGATCTTTGCTCTCACTTTTTAGGCCCATAGTTTCAACCTTTTGGATTGATTTTTAATATATTTTTTTCTCCTCTTTGTAGAATTCCCTTTACTATTGCTGACATTGCCTCTTCTTCCTTAACAACATCACCTTTATTTCTACAAAAATTAGTTCCAGGTGATGGTCAATTAATTGATTCTGCTACTTTATATTTACAACAATTGCAACAACAACAAGAACAATTAAAAGGCGAAAATGAAAACAAAAATTTATTAGAAAAATCGATAACTTCTTCAGCAAATGTTGGGAGAATATCAGCAGATTTAAATAATGAAAGATCTCAACAACCACAACAACAAACATTTAATGAAACTTCTTTTCCTTTTTTTGTTGCATCAAATATAGATCCTTCTAATCTTCAATCAGGGATTTCTGCTACAATGTTTGGACAACAAAATCCTTTTGCCATTTCTCAACTTCAGGTTTTATTTCGATATTTTATGGAAATTTAACAAGAAATCGGCTAGTGATCGGATTTTATCTAAAATATAGAAATGTTTTATTTGGATAAACCCCGAAATTGAAAACACTCGAACAATTAATAATTATTCAAATCTCATATAATTTTTAATGTCTTTTGTTTAGGCTTTTGTCGCCGCCAATCAGCAACAATCATCCGCTTCTCCAAAATTCCTTAATCCTTCGTCATCGGGTTTATTGTCTTTGGGTACTCCAATGTCTTCTACTGCTACAAAATTGGATGCAAATGCACAGGTTCAAAGAAATTTTCAAAGAAATCCTTAAATACTTTTTCTAGATTCATCATAAAATCTACGAACTACAAGAACATGCAAATACTTCTGCTGTTGCTGTTGGTGAGGGAAATGTTCATATTTCTGCAGCATCACGTTCTTCATCTACCAAACCTTTACAATCACAAATAGGCAGCACGGTTTCTCCGATTCCATCAATGAGGCCAAATTCGGCGATTGCCAGTGGTGGTGCAAGTCAACAACAGAGAGGATGTAATATGATTTTTTGGCCCTTTTAAAATAAATTCTTAAATTTTTTAGCTTCCCAAAACGATCAATCAAGCATTTCACAAAATTCACAACAACATCAACAAAACTTGCAAAAACCTCAACAATTATCACAACAACAACAGCCAACACTCTTAAATCCATCTAATCCTTTCTTTCTTCGTCCCCCTTCCAATCCTGGCATGGCTTTTCTGCCTTCAACTCCAAGTTTTGCCCCGCCTTCTATAACACCAATTTCTGCAGCACCCCCAAATAATGCTGCTGCTCTTTTTGCTATTCAACAACAAATGGCTATTGCACAACAGCAACAACAGGCAATGAGAAGAAATTCTAATAATAATGGTCCTCCAATGCCAACAACGAGTGGGGGAAATACATTACTTCAACAACAGCAAATACAACAGCAACAAATTCCAACATCAATGTTTGCTCAACCATTTGGAGGGCAAATGGTTAGATTTTTTGGAGTATAAATAAAAATGTGTGAATTAATTTTTTGGGTTTTTATAAGAAGAAAAAATTTTTATGTACTTAACTGCTATTTTTGGGTAATTCTAATTTTAAATTTTTGGGAGAAGCCTTTTCTCTAACTTTGAAAAATAAAATATTTGATTATTTTTGAAATGTAGAGCTTTCGTAATTAAAAAAATTTTTCAGCAAGTTCCTCCCGGTTTATTGGCTGCAGCCGCTTCTGGAATGGATTTTAATGTGTTACAACAATATGGTAATTATTTAAATTAAAAATTAAATTTTTTAATTAATTATTTTAGCTGCTTTATTTAACCAAGCTAGTGGAAGTAGTGGGGGTGCACTTCCACAATCAAATAATAATTTGCCTCATATTCAACAACAACAACAAAATCACAATCAAAAATAGGGCTCAAAATATTTTTTGTGAATTTTATTTTGCCATATTTTATACTTAATCTACTTATTTATTTCCAATTTTTTAACATTTAGATGTCAGGAACTAACACAAAAATGTAACATTTATTGTTAGGTTAATTCTTTTTTTGAATTTAAATTTAATCGAACCTCTATTTTTGAATTTTTGTTTAAAAGTCCTTTCCCATATTAAGAGTTTTTTTTCTTTTTCGAATTTGGTTTCTGAAAAAAAAAAAACAAAAAAAAACTTCCCAACCATAAATTTTCAAAATACAGAACTTTTAATTGAACGAGCCCGAAAAAATTTTGGACATGTTTGTTTCAATTTTACTTTTGACAATTTTGTCTAATCTTTAGGGATGTAAATAGTTAACATAGAGGTTCGATTTTAATATTTAAAAATTATTATTTTTTTGTTATAATTTTTTAAATTGCGTTTTCTCTTTTTTTGGGCCAATATATTGCTTTCTTTTTCATTTTCCTTATTTTCAAAATTATTTATGTTTATGGCATTCTTTCAATTTTTTTTTGAAAAATTGCTCTATATCCCGTCTTTGTATAATTTTATAATTAATATATTTTAAAATAATTTTTTAATAAATTTTTTTTGTTTTTTCTATAAAAAGGGGAAAAGTTTTTCTTAAAATATAGTCGTTTCCGGTATTTTGATTTATCTGTAACAGACATGCTAAGGGGTTTGAGAAAGGAATTTTAGTATTTATTGTTAGTGAAGGTGGAGATTTAAATTCTTATCAGAATAATAAAAAAATAAAAATATTAAAAATAAATTCTAAAATAGTAAATAAAATTCTTGTTGGTTTATAAGGAAGTTAAGAAAATTCTTTAAAAAATTTTGTTTTAATTTTTTAGATATGTTAATTAATTTATCTTTTATAATAAAAAGATTTTTACGGAATGGACGTAGACATTGGGACAGTTTTTGTGAATATACAGAACTTCCCGGTTTTCGTTTTATGACATCAAAAGTAACTTATATTGTTAGGTAATTTTAATCTTGTTGGGGAAAAAATAATTTAATTTCCCTAAAGAATTGTAGCAATAACAACATCAATTTTTTGTTTAATTGGAATGTGTGCACAATTATATTATTTAATTTTACAATATTTAAGAAATCAAATACAGACATCTTCTAGAAAATATAAAATACAACATATGGCTTTACCTTTAGTTTATTTATGTCATCCACTTGATAGAAAGTTTGTGGGGGGAAATGTGGGAAGACTTACCTTTCCTTATTTAACTTTCCCCCTCTCCCCCCCCCCTTTCCACTTTTTCTTAGATTTTCATAAATTTAAGGGATTATCCATTACCACTTCTCGATGTTTGTAGAAAATCTGTGTTTGAACATGGCTCTCCTGATATTTCGAACAATGAATTAATGCAACGTGTTGTTCCTTAGTAAGTTGTTCCCTAATCTAATAGAACCCCCTCTCCAATAAAAATAAAATTAAAGTTGTATATATTCCCTCAAATTAATTGACTATAAATGTGAATTAAGATGTAAATGGACTTCTCAGGTAAATTAAAGGAGGGGAAAATGAAAAAATATTTTTAAATTCTCTTTTTTGGGGATTTTGTGTTGAAACTCGATTAAATATTACAAGTGTAGACAACACAACAATAACAAAAATTGAAGAAGAAAATAATGATGTTGAGTTTTCTCGTAAAGATTATTTTTTTAAGTTTAAAAAATTTTTATTTTTTAAAGAAGTAACAGACTACGAAATTAAAATTTATTTTAATTCAAGCATTCAGCCAGATGCTGCTCCAAATACTTTTGCATTAGCTCTTGTAAGTTTTTTTCTCTTCGACATTTTTAAATATTTTGCTTGATTGGACATTTTGAAAATAAGCGAGTTTAGAGTTTTCGTTATTTTTATCACCCCTTTACATTTTAAAATTTTGTAACAGACAAATGCAAGTTAGAGAAGTAATAAAGTAAGAGAGTCAATATGTTAGCGTTTCTCTCTATGTCTGTAATTCTCAAAAATTCGTCTATTTTATATCATGTCTGAAATTTATTATTTCTTTTTACCCTTATTTTGTTGTTTTGGTACACTTTTCGGTTTAATTACCCAAGTTCGAGGTAAACATTAACTTCGGCTCTCGAAAGAGTGGCTATACTTGGGATAAATTTTGGAATTGCTTTGCCTTTGGTGGAGCTTAAATTAGTTTTGGCGTTAAAAATGTATAGCTTTATTTTAAAATGTTCAATTAAGCGAATTATTAAAAGTGTCACACCATGTTTTTTATGTATCCGTCAAGAATTTAAAATTAAAAAGGTTTTTCTTCGTTTTGCTGGCGATGCCATTAAATGGCCAACAATTATTCCTTTAGTTGGGGCTGCACATATGATAATGGAAAGAGATGCATTAAATATATTACAAGTTGTAGAAATATTAAAAGTATTATTGTCTTTATATGAGAGTCTCCTCTCCCATTTTAAAGATAATTCGTAACGATTTGCCTAATTCGGAATTAGTACCTTTTAATTCTTCATATGAATATTGTGTTTGGAGAACAAATAGTGAATTAGCAATAAATGGAGGGTGGAAATGCCCCAGTGAATTTATTACAAAGTTGGATATTCATAATTAGGGTTGCCGGTCCGGTCCGAAAGATCGAGGCGGGCATCGAATTTTGGTCCGAAAAAGAACCGATCGGGCTGGCCCGATAAAAGTGACTCGAACGTCGGCCCGACTCGAAAACGGCAACCCTATTTTGAAGTTTCTTTTTTACTAAAATTTTCTTCAGTGTTTTTGCTAATAAACCTGAAGACTTTGAAAATGTTACTTATGGATTGTCTGAATGTGCACTCCAAAGAGCCGATGCTGCTCAAAAACGATGCCGCGAAGATAAGGAATTTAATCGTTTTACTGTAGAATCAGCCATTTATACAAGAAGTGCTGCTGAAGCAGATGGACTTGATCCGTAAGAGAAAAATATTCCTTGAGATAACCTTCTCTAAAATTACTAGTTTTTGTTTAAAAAGGGGCGTTTCTTTTAAAGGGGCCAAAAACTTTTAACCCAAAAAAATCCTAAAAATTAATATCAAGAAGAAATTCTCCAAATCTTCGTGTTTATCCTTCTGATGTAGCTATGCAAGAAACTTTCCATCAATTACGTTCTGCAGAATGGAAAATGATGAGTAAATTTTGTGAACAAATTTAAAATTAAAATTTAAAAAAAGGCGAAGTTGGAGGAACAATGGCACTTTATTTGGGTTTTACATTAATGGGGTTACTTGAAGCAATTGTTTTCTTAACTGTTGAACATGTTAGAAATGTAGCTAGACAATTAGATGAAGAAAGTCAATTAGCCAGAAAGAATCCTCCAATAAAGAAATTATTTAATCAAAATTTATTTAAAAAATTATTTGGAAAGAAAAAATGATTTTTTCCTAAATTTGATTCGAAATATTTTATTGTTTTTTAACTCTAAATAATTTTTAAAGCATACGAAAGTTTTTTCGAAAAATTTATTTTTTATGTGTTTCTTCCTGATTTTATTTTTACGATGTAAGGGTAAAGGATGTGCGCCAAAATTTTGCGTGCCGCGCCAAACGCCAAAAAATAATTATAAAAAGCGCATGGCGCACATATTTACTGAGAAAAGAAAAACTATGAGAGGAAGTTTAGAGAAAAAAAGAAAAAAATTTTTGTCTAAAAAAATACAAAACGCCATTATTAGCAACTTTTTGATTTTATCAATTTGCAGTTCGTTGCAAAATTTTGTAGTCTCAATTTAAAATTTTTTTCACTTTTATTTCATTTATTTAGGCAAATTACGCGTAAATTCTTTTAAATACATATTTTAATTATTTTTAAAGTTTTTATTTTTTAAAAGCTAAAAAATAATGAGGAAATTTCAATTATTTATTTTGTCTGTTTGTGTATTTATTTTATTTTCTTTTGGTAATTTTTTTGTTTTAATTAATGTTCTTTCTAAATTTTTAGTTCCTTCATTAATTCATGCAGAAAGTGATGCTGTTGAAGATGAAGAAATTGACAATATTAAAAATAAAGAGGAGGAAATTAAAGAAAAAGAAAATTCAATTTTGGTAATTAATTTGAGTTTAAATTGGAAAAATCTTTCATTTTTTTTAAAGAAAGATGACACAGAAAATGGCAATCAAGAGTCAATGGGCCCCTCCCCAGATGTCCAAACTTCTTGTATTTTGACAAATCTTAAAGGGGGTCCAAATTCGAGAGAATTAATTGCTGGCCAAATTGTGAAAGTTTTAATTGGAATTGCAAACAAAGGAGAGCGGGATTTAATTGTTAAAAGTTGTGAAACTTCTTTTCGTTATCCTCTTGATTTTTCTTATTATACTCAAAATGTTTGTTTGTTTTTAATTTATAAGGAAATTTTGAATATACTAAATTAAATTATTCCCCTTTAAGTTATTTAATTTTGGGTGGGAATCAAGGAAGGGCCAGCTTACCCGAACTTCGATGACCGAACAATTTTTAATTCGAAAGCAGATCCGAAGATAATTTTGAAAACTCGATTCGAAATTCGCCCTGACATTTTCTTTTTTTCAAAATTTTTTTTCATTTTGGCCCATTCGAGGTGGAAACATTTTAAAAATTCCCTACTCTCATCTCCCAATAATTTCTAAAAAACATTTTTCTCTTCCAAAATTATTTTTTTAGTTTTCAACAGTTCGTTATGAACGTTTAGTACAACCAAAACAAGAAGCTACTTTTGATTATGCATTTATTCCTTCAGACGTTTTTATTGGCCGTCCATTGGGTTTAGTTGTTGATTTACATTATGTTGACACGGTAATTAATTTTTTTAGAAATTTTTAAAAATATTTTTTAGGATGGACAATATTTTGTTAGTGCTGTTTTTAATGAAACTGTTACAATTACTGAAGATGAGACTGGATTTAATACAGAAACGTTGGTTTTTTAGATTTAATGAAATAATTGGGGATTTTAGGAAATTACGCAAATTATTTGTTTGGTAGTTCTTAAAAAAATTTTTTTGACATTTTTTGGTCCTAAAAATTACATTCTGATTGGGAGAGGAAAAAAATAAGTTTTTCAAAATATCTTTTACAAGAATTCCCAATTTTTCTAATAAAATAATAAAAATTTAATTCATTTTTCCAGTTATTTTATTTATTTGATACTTGCTGGATTTGTGGTTATTTTGGTATTAATTGCACATCATTATATTACAAAGGTTTATTTTTAATTTTTAAAAATTATTTTTTATCTTCATTTTAAAGTTTACTCGAAGCAATTCAGGAAAATCAACCTCAAATAAGCCAAGTAACAATAATATTTCAAATGTCCCTCCAAATTATGAAATGGGAACAAATAAAAATGATGTGGATTTTGAATGGATTCCACGAAATAATTTGGGTTGGTTTTTTTAATTTTAAGGCAAAAATAAGGGGAAATGAGGGAAAGAAATTTTCCTTTTCATCACAAGTCTTCCTTTTAATTTTCAAAAAAATTTTTTTTCCAGATTTGAAATCGGCACAAAAGACTACACCCTCTCGTAATCGAAAACAGCCTCGCCAAGCGGCAGCCAGTTAATTTTAAAAAATTGAAAAAATTGTTCTCTTATTTAAATGAAAATTTAATATTTAATTATTTTCTCTTTGATTTGTTAAAAAAATATGTAAATTTTCTTTTGTTTTTTTTGGCCTCATTATGAGTAATTATATTTTAGCTTATTTTAAAATGTTTAGTTGGATAAAAATATTTTTAAAGAAAAAATTTTGTAAAAAAATTTTTTTTTGAATTTTTATTGGATTGTAGGGAAGGGGAAGGTACTAGGTTAAATAAATAAAAATATTTTTTTCTCCAGACGGACACTAAAGTACCTTAATATTTATTTTATTTTTTAGAGACGGTCCCTCACTTCCACTTGTCTCTCGGCTGGTCAGAAAAACCCTCCCCGCCCCTTTTAGAAAACAACTGATGAGCAAAAATATAATGCTAGACGGTCCCTCTCTCTTATATAATTCTGTATTTTATTCGAAGAAGAGAGTGACAAATGTAAAAAAAAGTCTAAAAAGAAAGAATATCTAATTAAAAAATTAAACTGATTTTTAGGAAGAATAAATAACAAAAATTATTTTGTGTCTACCTGTACGGTTTAGGCAACCTAACAAGACACGTTTCATCCGAGTAGTCTGTGATAAGTTTGAAAAGCATAATTGCAACTGTCAAGCTCTAACAAAGATGTACTTGTTCCAAAAGTTATTCACTGACTACCTTTTGGTACCGCCATTATCAAGAATACCTCATCTCTTACCTTGTACTCAACTGGCAGGATACCGAAGATACTCAGCCAGTCTAACTGTGAGCTCATTATACTCTCCATTCTTTTCTTATTCGTCAGCACTCTCAGTAATAAAACACTCTTTTGCACTTCGCACTTGCACTTTATCTTGAATAAACAAAGAGGTGGAAGATGAAGCGAGCTAGCGCGACAGTCAGCAAAAACTTACCATATCAATCGATTTTCAGGATAGACACACACATCAAACCAACTAGCTGGTTGTATATTCGTCTAGCTACTTCGATTTATTTACACTATTTCGCTTGTAATTTCTATGCTCTAATCGTATTTACTATACCCTACATTTCACGTAGAGTAGTTCACGATGGCGGCCAATACGTTCATACCTTTGTGCTTAATACGAGCCGTTGTTGTTGGACGTCGTCGGACTATGGACGTTGGGTCAGCCGCTTCACAAAAGCGCGTTACCGCGTTTTACCCAAAATCTCGGCACTATGCAAATTTCTATCCACAAACTTTCATCTCTAGATGATCGCTAAACTTGACTCTTACATAGCTCTCTAACCTTACCTAATGTCAGCTGTATTGTACTAGATATACCGAACTAGGGGAGATCGATACAAGCTTCTCACCTCTCTTCTGGATGTTAATTTGTTCTATGCAAAATCTCACAAGGATGATAAAAATTAAATAAGGATACTTTTAGAGGAAAGTTGCGTTTTACGGAAAAAAATTTTTAAAATGAAAAGCGTTAGATCTACAAATTTTATTTTGTGATTATTTTGATTTTTTTTTAATTTTCAGATTTTCGGTGAACTCTCTCCCTCTATACATAAATATATTTTCAATCACCGCTGATTTAATTCTTCAGAATTTTTCAATAAAATTTCTTCAAATTTTATTTTACCGTATCTGGTTTTTACTCTCCAATTACGGTATCAACAACAAAACATCAAAAAACCTCCTCCTTTTGTCAACAACAAAACATCCCCAATTATCAAAACAAAAATTATCAGTCGGCGGCTAGTGAGCAAAAGTCGACTGAATGCCGTATGAGCGGCGTCTTTAAAACTTCATCCCCGGCGGACAACAACAACAAAAAACAGCAACATAAATTACAGGAAATACAAAGTAGAATAAGGTTTGAAACTTTGATTTTAATGTAGGGATTGATTTGGAGGGTTTGCTTTTTGTCTATTTTTATTCGTTTAATTATTGGGTTTATCAACTAAAATTTAGTAACTTAACCGCACATATAGTGGGTAACAAGGGCGTATCCGGGGGGCTAGAGCCTTCTTCCAAAACGACCCCCTAGTGCGGCCTTGATGGGTAACCGAAGCCTTTTTAATATTAAGCTTCAAATCTTGCCTAATTTTCCCTTAATTTTTAATGAGATTTTAGTTTTTTTTTTCCTAAATTTTTTTTTAATTTAAAGAGTGCAGCAATCTCAACAACAACAGAATAATCGTATTCCCTCTCCACCATTTTATTCTTCTGCCCCCTCTTTCTCAAACAACAATTGCATTCAAAAACAACGAATTGAGTTTAATCACGTTGATAATTTTCAAAATATTGTAAAGACTTCTGAAGATAAAAATAGCAGCAACAATAAAAATTGGGCTGCAAAAACATCCCTTTTAAATAGATTGAGATTAAAGTCTGCTTCTTTTGAAGGAAGAAAGTGTAATAATGGTGGAAACGATAAAGAGAAAATTGAAATAAATGGAACAAAAGAGGTTAATTTTTGATAATATTTTTGACTTTTTATTATCCCCATGTTTTTTTATATCTTAGAGTAAACAGCAGATGTTCTATCTTTTAATAGAAAAATTATAAATTAGATTCCAAACATTAGAGATCGAGCTGGGCCTAGACCAAGGCCTGGGTTTTTCCTGGATTACAGGCCCATGATCCGGCCCAGGTCAATAGCTCAAACCCGGAACCCAGACCCAGGCTTTTCAAAAATTTTGATCTCTAATGAGCATTTTTATATTTTTAGTAACCTTTACTTTCCTGTATACCCTCTATAATAATTTTTTTAAAAAATATCCATATTCCTTTTATTTTTTAGCAAACTGAAATAAACAAAAATAATTGTATTTCGCTTGCTGACGAGCCATTTACAAAAGCTTCCTCTTCCATTTCAATCTCAAATCCAATTGGTGCTCTAAGCACTACAAACCAAAACAATTTCAATCATTCATTGTCAACGTTGAATTCAACTTCTACTTCCGGTGCCTTAAATAAACAACGTTCTCCTTCTCCACCGCCTTCTATTTTCGCTACTACTGACAACTGTATTAAACAAGAATTCGATCCAGAACTAAGTGCCTCTTTGTTTGAGCAATCTAGAACGCTTTGTGATAATAAAAATACTTCAAATTCTTTAACAAATACATTAACAGGTTAGAAATTCGTGTACAAGTTTGGAAGTCGCCCACCTTTTCTCCTTTCCTTTTTTTGTATTTTTCTCATTTTTTATGACACTAAAATTAACGAAATCTGACTTGATTGGACAAAATTATCTAGGCAAAATTAATCCCTTGCAGCAGGAAAAAAGCTTTTCCAGAGAAGATTTAGCCTCATAATTTTCATCGAAATGATCAAATCTAACCGATTATCTTGGTATCATTCAACCCAGCTGGAATATATAATAAATTATATCAAACAAAAAAGCACAAAATGGTCAGGGAAACTTGAAAAAAGGGGGCGACTTCCCAACTACTATACATATTACCGAAATTTGCAATTTTTTCAGAGCCTAGTCAAAATACCAATACAGAAACTCCACATATATCTTCCTTCCCCAACTCCTTTGTTGACTCAGACATAAATACACCTAATACATTAATTGAAAAGAAAGAGAGTAAATTTGAACAACAGAATCTCCCCTCTCCGCCATCAACATCCGCTGCCTCCCAACAACAGCAAAAATCACCATCCTCAGAACCGTTTGCTGTACCTGCACTACCAACACCAAAACAGAAGGCCGTTCCTCTTTCGTTTAATCGTCAGGAAGAACCAAAACTTTTGAAAAAAGAACAAGAAGAAATACGAAGTGAACAAGAAACTAATTGTTTAAGTGCAGCTTCAACATCTTCTCTTAAAACTGAGCAGGTTTATTTTTTTTTAATTTCTAGTTAAAAATTAATTTCATTGACAAAAATTAAATTTTATTGTGTAAATTTTCAAATAAATTAAGGTTTAATATTTTCAGATCAACGTTTCTCAAGTTCCTTGTACTTCTATTAATAACGAAAAACAAAACTTAAAACAACAATTACCGCCAACTTATTTTCAAAGTACTTCATTTGACGAGACAGAAGCTACAAGTAGCTCTAGCTTTGACGTTTTTCTAGATAAAGAGAAAGGTAAATCCACTGGGACTTCAGAAGTGCTAGCAAAGTCTAAACGTTTGTCTTTGCGTGTAAGTTCAGCAGCTGCTCTTCAATTCAATCGGCTTGCTTTACACCACTCTAAAGCCTTGAATATATTAGGTTTGCTTATTTTTGGATATTTTTTCTAGTTTCCTTTTAAAGGTATTAACTCAATACAACTCAAATCATCTCTCAACTGTTTATCACCAGTTATTCAAATTGTTGATAAACGGGCTTCTTTCGATCATCTTTCACAAAGAAGAGCGCGTCTTCATCAGTTGAGGAGTCAAAAACAAACCCTCATTCAGCTTATTCAAAAAGAACAACTGGAGGCAGTTGCAGCCTTACACCAACGGAACTCGCAAAGACATCAAGTTACTTATTTACCTGGAAAGACAGCAACACCAAACGTTGCTGGAGCTTCCATGTCAAGTGTTGCACAGACGTCTAAAAGTATATTTTATTAATATTGTTTCTATCCTTTTGGTGCATTAAAAGGAATTTGAAAAGGGTTTCCTATTGTTCTTTTAATAAATTAGGCATTTGTCAAGGATTAAATAGTGGGATTTTCAAATTGCCGAATCTTGTGTCTGATTTTCTTTCAAACTGACCCGGGCCTTATTTTCCAGTTCAGGTCATTCCCGCAAAGACAATAATCTACTGTTAATTTTATTTATAGAGCGTTCAGTCCTATAGGTAATTCGGAAACCCTGAAAAACCGGATTTTAGCATTATACCCAGTTTCCAGAATAACAGATCTCAGAATCCGGTCTTGGGTCCGGCTCGATTGTCAACTCTAGTATTAATTGGTGTTCATTTGCTAATCATCTAATTCTAATACCACTATCAAAATATTTAAATTATAGAGCAATTTTATTTGTAGAGCGTTTAGTGCCAGTTCCTGCTGAATCTTCACCTCATCTAAATTCACAACATCATGTCCAAAGACAACATAATTCCTCCTCATCCTCTTCAAATTCAACAACTCCCCAACAGAGAACTCCACCTTCACATCCCTATTGCCCAGTACAACCTTCTTTTTCATCTCCTTCATCAACATCTATTCTTCAACAACAAAATGAACATCAACAGCATTCTAATAAAAATAAAAACAACGATGGTTCATATTTAATGCATTCAGCGCCAATCCCACAACAACAACATTCTTCTATTAATACGCAGAATCAAACTTTGGCAAGTGCTGGTGCTGCTGAAAATAGCCCCCTTCTAGTCAATTTATTGAAGTGAATTTTCTATATCCCCATAACACCAATTTTTATAACCTTTTTTTAGCAATAATGCTTCCTCTCCGGCTATTCAACAAACACAGAAGCCACAACAAATTCTACAGCAAAATGTTACGCCTTTACCTCAACAGCAACAAATGATGATGATTAAGCAACAGCAACAAATGGCAGCTCTACAGCAACAACACCCTAATGCTATGGGTCAAGCACAACAAGTGAATTCACATCAATATGGTGTTCCAATGAATCCGCAACAACAAGTTATTTTTTGATATAAAAATTATTGAAATTTTTATTAGCATTTATCTTTTATTAATTTTATTACACCCTTAATTTTCAGCAAATGTATCAGCAACAACAGCAAAGGTTGGCTCAACAACAATCAATGATGTATAGTGTTGGTCCATCTGGTGTGATAAATAACACTCCACAACAACATTACATGATTGTTGGTTCTCCACCAACAGGCTCTTCACCATCACAATATCATCGTCAAGCTACACAGTACGGTGCTAATGGTCAACCAGCACCAGGTGGAATTGTTGCTTCACCACCTGGCGCCCCGTCTCCTTATTTTGGAATGCCTACAAATTATGTGCCTCAACAAATGATTATTCCAACTACTGGTGCCGATAAACAAGGGTCATCTGGTCAGATGTTTTCTATCGGTCCTCCGACTAACAACACTCAATTAGCTGTGGAAGAGTTACCGAAGAAAAGAAAGCGAATCTCTAAAAAGCAACAACAGAAGGTTTTCAATATTTTGTTTTTAAATATTATTTAATCCGAATTATCCTTTTTCTTATTCAGGAGGAACGTGAACGCGAGCAGCGTTTGCGTCTCCAAGAGCAACAACAACAGGCAGCAATGGCTGCATTTCGACAACACCAACAAATGGCTTTTATACAGCAGCAACAACAACAGCAAAGAATGGCTGCGGTGAATGCTGGCATACCTCAGCAAATGTGTGGTGGTATGGTAATGCCTTCAAATTGTCAAGTTCCACCGGGACAAGTTATAGCTGCTCAACAACATTATCAGCAGCAACAACAAACGGTTTGGGTTCTTTGGTTTAATATAAAAAAATTCATTCCACTTTGTTTTAACTATTCTATACATTTTAGTATCAACAGCATTATCTTGGATTACCTGGACAACCTGTCATACAAAAGCAGGATACAAATGTCATTCAAAATAATATGTCACCTTCTATTTGCCCTTATGGAACACCTCAGAAAGGTTCGCCGATGCAACCTACTGGTGCTCCTATGTCGCAGCAACAACAGCAGTATGTTGTCGCACTTCAACAACAACAACATGGGCAACAAACACTGCAAAATCAATGTTATGTATCTCCTCAACAACAAGCGCCATGGGCAAACACACCTAATCAAATGTCTCAATGCGGCATGCAGCAACAACAAAATGTATGATTTTAGACTAACAATAAACTATGTAGTAAACAATATTTTAATTATTCACTTTGGATCCCTACGTTGAATTAAGCTAATAACAAATTATATGTTACAGGCTTTAAACGATTATCAATCTACTGCTGCTATAACAAATCAATCTCAGCAACATCATCCGCAACAATTGGTTCAGTCACAGCAAGCCTTTCGAACTCCAGGAACTCCACATTACTTTTCTCAATCACCTGCTAGCGCTACACCGTTTTATTCTCCTCCACCATCTCACAATCAACAAATGGTCGGGACACCAATTGGTAATGGAAGTGGAGGAGGAACTTGTGTTGGTATGCAAGGAAGTGGACCTGGACACTTAACACCCGTTTCTGCTACTGCTGGTGGGCCGACTCCTCCACATTCTGCTGGAAGTTTTGGAAGTATGATTTTATTCTAATAAATTCTTTATTTATCTCTTTATTAAAGATCCACAACATCAGCATTCAAGCACACCAGTTTTGGACACAAATGTTGAACCACCAAAACAGCAAAACACAATAGATCAGACAATTTCTTCTCAAAACCGCCACTTAATGCAACAACAACAAATGATGGTGCATATGCAACAATCATCTCCTCATGCTAATCATGTTGAATTTTATCAACAAAGGTTTCAGCATCAGAGACAATCAATGGAAAATATTTCTCAACAAACACATCAGAATTCTTTACAACAACAACAACCTCGAAATTTCTCACAACTTTCGGATTTTGCTGAAAGTGGTTTTGGTGATGCAAATGATTTGAGTGTTCCGGGAATTTTGGGTGAAGGAATTGATGATTTGGATTCGATTGAACCAATGCGTTATGGAGGGGAACATCAAAATCATAATAATTTAGATCAAAGGCAGCAACAACAACAACTTGTTTTGCAACAATCGGATGATTCGAATCAACAACAAAATTTGTCAAATAATTTTTATAGATCCCAACCGTTAGTTCAACAACAAGGACAACAACAACAACCAAAACAAGTTGTTAAAAGGCAGTTACTTAATTCTGATCAATGCGGGCAGCAATCCAAAAAACAAAAACGAAAATATTCTGTACACCAATTACAAAATGGAGTTGAAGATGAAAGGAAGGTATATAAGTTTTAAATAAATTTAACTTTTAAATTTTAATTTAAAAATCAGGAAATGCTAGAAATGACTATAGAACAGAGGAACGTCGCAGAAATGGCTCTCCTTCCTGATCGTTCACCTCAAATTGGTGATACACCTTTAAGTCCATCCAAATTAAGTGAAACTCAAGATCGAAATGTGTCTGATGCAATTGCTACTGTGATGGAAAGAGTGGCAAAAAATGGTCCTGGACAAAATTTTTCTTCAAAAGCTAGTAATTTTTAGAATATTATTTTTAATTTGAATGTATTTTATTAATTCATAAATATATAAATATTAGTTGAGTCAACTGAATTTAAATTTATTTTTAATCATCAAAAGAAATTGATAATTAAGAGATTTTGAAGTTCCAGAGTTCGACACTCATGCCTTTTTTGTCAAAATTTAGTTATTTGTATCTACTTTTTGGAAGTAACTTCCGAGGATACGAAGTTGATTCTGTTTAGAGTGTCTAGTATTTTTAATAACTAATCTCACTCAACTAATATTTTTTCTCTCATTATTCTGCCACAAAATTACAAACGAACTCGTTTTTTAAAATTATATTTTTATAGAAAGCAAGTTCTTTTCTATTCACATTTATTTTTAATAAATTTTTCACAAAATTGTAAATCGAAATAAATCGTTACTATATATTTTTCTTGTTGTCCGCTAGCCCCTTTCGAAAAACTAAAAAGAAAAACACCTTATTTTTCCGCGCAATACTTAAATAAAGCTATTTTTTGTTTTTTTGTTTTCTTTTATTTTTCTTCCTTTAAAATTTCACTTTATCTCGTTACTTTAAACCAAATATTTTTAAATAAACGCCAATTGATTTGCATTTATTTTTTTTAGTCCAAACTTTTTCTTTTACTTACACTTAAAAGCTTGTTTTGAGTGAAAAATCCTTAAATTTTTTGGGTAAAAGAATTTTTGATTAATTTTTAAAAATAAAAACTAAAAAAGGTTTTTCTTCAAAAAATAAGCTTTTCCCAACTTAAATATTTCTTAAAAATGATTCTAGGTCTTTTCTTTAGTTAATTAGGCAGATTAACCCTTCATAAATATATCCTTTATTTTTGTCTGTAAATAATGAACAAATAAAATAAAAAGAAATCTATAAAAACTACTATTTGTATTTGTTTCCTACGAACTTTTCACACAACTTTTCCTCTTCTAAAAACAATAAAAATAAATAAAATAATTTTTAAAGCCTCAATTCTTCCACATTTTTATAATATAAATAAATTGATTTGATGGTTACTATTTTAACTGTGACAAGCGGCATATTACTCCTCTCCTACAATTCTACTTTATACATAAATTTTTACCCAAAAAATTAAAATTTGTAAATCATTTAATAAAAGAATTACCACTAAATTTATATAAAACATTTAAATTTGAAATCTTGTCTTTATTTTTTTATAATTTGATAAAATAAATTTAAAAAATATTTTCGTTTTGTTTTTGTGTAATTTTAAATTTCTAAGGGTCTAAAAATTATTATTAACGATTTAAATTTTCAAAGGAGAAGAACGGTTTAGATCGTTCATATTTTCTGCTTGAATAACTAAAAAATGAGAAAAAATCTAAAACAAGTGAGCGGTAATATTTGTTGGTGTTAACTTTAAAATCCTTCGAAGAACGGTTTAAAAATTGTGTAGTGTTATTGTCAAACTGTACGGATTTAAATTGTTGCTTTTAAAATTGTATCCTATCCTTATGGCATTCTGTATTATTTTTAGAATTTTATTAAAAAATTTTTATTTTATTTTTCATTAAAATTTTTATTTTTTATTAACTAAAGTTATTTATAGAAATCTCTTTTTTTAAACAAAACCAAATTATTTTATTATGATAAACAACAATCATGTAATAACTCCGCCTCGATCACCAAAATCTGGACGTAGGAAGCGATATCCGGCCGATATTCCAGACATTGACTTTGATGATGGAGTTGGCGAGCCTCCTTTTCAATTTGACTCTAGCGATTTAGGATCGCCAAAAAAGGTTTTTTTTTAATTTATTTTTATTGGAAATTTTGATTTTTAAAGGTTTGGTCTTTGTTGTGTGAGAAAGACGAAAAATATAAGCGTGACCCGCATCTCTTTCTACGTCAACAAAGGATTAATCCTAAAATGAGGGCAATGCTTATTGACTGGCTAATGGATGTACTTTGAGATTTTAAAGTTTTTTTACTTAATTTTGGGCCCTTCAGGTCTGTGCAGACAAACATTTGCATCGAGAGACTTTCCACCTATGTGTTGACTATGTTGACCGTTATTTGGGTTTAGGCAGCAATTTTGACTTTAATCATCAAATTTCTCCTGGGAATCTTCAATTAATTGGATCTACTGCTCTTGTCATTGCTTCTAAAATTGAGGTAAATTACTTTTAGTGAGGCTTTTTTTAAGACAAAGAAAGTGAATAAAGTGTAGGACTCTATGGTTAAGTTGGTAGAGAATCTGTTAAAGGTGCTTTTTGTGGAGTTGTTTTGGCTGTGATGATTTGTGCAGGGGTCCTGAAATTGGTCAAAGATGTGGGCCAATGGGACTTTTAGTGAAAACGCTTATCGGTTAGCGACACTTTCTTTTCTAGAGAACAAGCACATTCTGAGCCAAAAAAAAATTAATTAAAAATTTATTTTTTAAAAATTAAACTTATAATTATTTTTTAAGGAAATTTATCCTCCAAAAGTAGCCGAAATTGCTGATTTCACTGATGGGTTAGTTTTGAGTTTTAATTTAATTCAAAGATTTTTTTATTTTTGTTGTTGCGAGGATCAGGATATTCGTGATCTTGAGGAAATTATGCTTCAACGATTAGAGTGGAATTGTTATCCAATTACTGCCGTTCATTGGTTGGCACTTTACATGCAATTAATGAATACTTGTGATGTGTTGCCGGCTCAGCAAGTTATTGTTTCTGCTGGTTAGTTGAGATAAATTATTTACCTTGCACGTTCTTTTATTGTGTGATTTGTCTACCAATCTATCCTATTTTTTAAAACTACTTACTTTTGTGGGGATTTTTTTCATCTAAATTCATAGAAAACGAAGCTCGTTGTTCCAACGCATCAGACTGCAGTATGTTAAGCGCTGGTTCTCGTGTTGCTGGTTTGAATGTTAGCATTGTTACTGCTTTGCCTGAAGAAGATGAAAATTTGACGGATGAAGGGGATGATAGTGAGAATCAAACGCCTAATGGTTCAGAAAGTTCATCAGAAAAGAGGGTTCTTGTGAATTTGAGATTAAAAAATTTATTTAAAAATTTTAGACCAAAACATTTCGAAAGACTTGTGCCAGACGCGTATTTTCCTTCAATTCTTCGTTTCCTCGAATGCAACTTTCTCACATCGGTCTTTCACCTCGTATTCTTCTCCACACCGCTGCAGCTGATATTAGCTATGTTAGTCAACGCGAATATTCCAGTGGCCATATTTATCCTGACCAAAGATGTTCTGTGCCTAAATTAATGCGTGGAGAATTTGTCAGAGTTGCTATGGTTTTTTTTTGAATTTTCTAGCATTTTTACTTTTATTTTAAAGATATTGGATCTGGTGATACTCTCTCATGGAAGTTTGCGCTTTCGTTATCGTGAATTGGCTGCAGCTGCACTTCTGTGTAGTTACGAACCTGAATCTCTTATATGCCAAATAACTGGCTAGTTTTTTCCTTTTTTCATAAATCAAATATACTTGAATAATTTATCTCTCAATATTTTTAGGGTTTACTGCTGAAAAATTGCGTGAGGCGCGTAAATTTGTTGACCCATTTGTGCATTTATTTGATCGGTTAGAGCCTAGTGGAAATTCAATTCCTTGTCTTCCCACAATTCAACACGATGATCGTCACAATATTCAGACTTATTTGCCTAAATGTCTTTCATATTTGGTTTATTTTTAATTTTTTAAAAAATATTTAAATAAAATTTTAAAGGAACAAGTCGAACAAGAACAAATTATGGCTAGTCAACGTCACAAAAAGTTGGACAATCGAACGAGTGGAAATCGTTTGCGAAAGAGGAAATTCGGCTCTACATTAAATTCTTCGTAGACGGGTCAACGAAATAATTTTCTAAATGCAAAAAAATTTTCAAAAGATTTGTTTTCAACGGTTTTTAATTTTGGGGGCTTTGTAATGTTTGTGGTAAGGGTATCAGATATTAGGAAAATTATTTGTATAAGCAAAGTTAACTTAAAAAGTAATTTAAGATTTTTCTGATTAGGATTTGTGACTAAAAGTCATTCCACCCCAAAACTCAACGAATTTGGGATCGTCCCGGCTCGGTATCCGATATATTAATTACCCAAACAATTTTGGAGAAAAAAGTCGGCGAAGACAAATCTTTCATTTACCTTATAATAACCACACAAAAATGATTTTGCGTTATTATTATTGTTTTTGACTTTAATCTCTCCTCTCTCTTTTATATATTTATTATTATATTTCTTTCATCGAGATGAGTGTTTTACTTAATTATTTTTTTCTTTATATTATTTTACACATTCCTTTTATTTAATTTTTGGAAGGTTAAAATATTAACTTTCACAGTCAATGGATCAAAACACTGCCTCAAAGTGATCTCTTTTATTTAAGACTTATAAAAACATTAAAATCCATTCAGGGATGGGCAAAGTTTTGTGAAAAAATATTTTTTAATAGGGAGTTTTTTTAAAAAAATTTAGATTAATTTAATTTTTGAACAAAGCGAGGTAGAAAATAAAAGAATAACTTCTGCCCTTCCCTGTCTAAACGAACTCTTACCTACTCTAATATCTCTCTTATGTATGATTATAGTTTGTGTTTTTTTGCTTATGCATATAAATATTGAAATAAAATGTTTTATTTTTTGAAAATCTGTAGAAGACGGTTAATTTTTTAAGAAAAATTTTTTTAATATGAAAAATGTTTTGTTAGAATTATGGCAGATGGTGAGACAGAAACTCTAGAAACTAAGACTAACCAGAATATTGAAGAAACACAAACGTCTTCAACTTCAGATCCATATAAATGTGTTTGGAATGGTTAGTTTTGAATTTTTAATATTTTTGAGGAAATTTTGATGACGGGGGATGGGTGAAATGTCCGCGATTATACGCCGATGCAAAAGATTCCTAACCGGATATTGTTGCTTTGAGATGGCTACGTGTTTCCTCATTTTTAGGTGTCCCAATGACTTGGAATGAGACTAGTAAACAATGGTTGCCTGATGTCGAAGTAAATGAAGACTTTCTTGCATATTATAATGCAAATTATGGTATTCAATATGATTATGATAGTATGCCAAAACCAGAAGCACCTAAAGTTGTTTTAAAAGAGGAATCAACAGAAGATGGGGAACCGAAGAAAGAAGTAACTAAACTTACAAAGGAACAGAGACAGGTTAGTGGAAGTTTTTTTAGGTTTAACTCACTTTTGGTAGAAGGATTTCTTTTGACTTTCTCATTTGGCGGCTCCTCTAATTTTTAAATTCCTTAATTCTAATATTTTTTAGCTCAAAAAACGTGAGGCAAAAAGGCGCTGGGCTGAAGCAGAAGCTGCCCGACGACAACAAGGATGGTTTGAAATGGATGAAGAAAAGAACACAACGGTCTATACAAGTGGATTTCCTCCAACTATAGATGAAGAAGAATATGTTAAATTTATGACAAAATGTGGAGTTGTTCAAAAAGATCCGAGGACGGGAAAACCAAAAATCAAACTTTATCGAATAAAAGAAACTGGAGAACCGAAGGGAGATGGAACTTGTTGTTATGTGAAAATGGAATCGGTAAAATGTATAATTTATTTAAAGTTTTGACATTAAAACAATGGTGTTATTTACAGAATTTTTTGTTAATTGGGTAATATTTTGGCCTACTTTTTTTGTGGATTTGAACATTTTTTTACTAATTTTTAGTCTGAATTGAGAATTAGTTTAACTTCTTCCGGGTAAACCAAGTATAAGGCCTCACTTTTTTCTTCCCCAATTTTTTTCTTTTATAAGTACAGGATTGTCAGACTTTCATCACATCCCAATTTCACTCTATTTTCCTTTGGCATATTCAATGGGAGATAATAAATAAAAGATTAATTTTTTGCAATGTCTTTAAATATAAAGCAGAAGCCTGATCATTTTGTACTTATAAAGGGAAAAACTTGGGGAAGGAAAATGGGGGGCCTAATCCTTGGTTTACCCCCTTTTCCTTCTTAATTTTTTAAATTTTCAAAGGTTGAATTAGCTTTACAAATACTTGATGGTTGGCAATGGGATACTGCCCATAAAATTCATGTTGAACGTGCCAAGTTTGAATTGAAAGGCGAATTTGACCCCTCAAAGAAGCGACAACGTTTAAGTGGAGCTCAAAAGAAGAAATTTTTAGAAAAACAAGAAAAGTTGGGTTTAAATTTATTTTTAAAGTTTTTTTCAATTTTCAGAATTTTCCAATGGAAACCGGACAAGCCTCGCAATTTCAGAAATCGTTGTGAATGTACTGTTGTTTTGAAAGGAATGTTTTCTTTGGAAGAAATTGATCAAAAACCTGAGAAAATTTTTAGTCTTAAAGAGGTAAACAGCTTGAAAATAAATTTTTTTTAGATTTTTTTTAATTTTTAGGACACACAAAAATTGTGTGAACAACGTTTTGGAACAGTAAAGAAAATTGTTTTGTATGAGGTAAAGGGAATGTTTTTGGGTTTTTTTGTCTTTTTTAAATTTTCCTTTTTTAACAGTCAAATCCCGAAGGAGTAATAACAATTACTTTTGATAATGTTGAACAAGCAGATTTAACTGTAGCAGCACTTAATGGACGTATAGTTGCTGCACGGACAGTAAAAGTATTTTTTAGAAAGAAAATTTAATTTAATTAAAAATAAATTAATTAAAAGGCTTTTAATTGGGACGGAAAAGAAAAATTTAAAAGACAAGAAACTGAAGAAGAAAGGAAACGGCGAGAGAATGCTTGGACAGAATTTTTAGAAGAAAGTGATGATAGCGAGGATGATAATGATGGAAAAGAGAAGAAAAATATTGAAAAGGAAAAAAATAATGGAGAGAAAAATAATTCTGATGACGATAATTTAGATAAATAAATTTTGAAAAATATTTATTTTTTTTATTATTTTATTAATTTTTGTATTTAATAAATACTATTTAAAAATAAAATAATAATTTTTTAATTTAAAAATAAAGGATGTCATCATCTCCTAAAAATTCCTCAAATAATCAAAATTCTCTTTCTCAACGACTAAACGAAGTTAATTATATTATTAAAAAGGTATGTGGAGGGAGTTTTAAATTTTAATATTGTAAATACAGGTTTTTAGATAGAATTTTCCCCCAGAATTTTGAGGGAGAATTTTGAATTATTCTGTAAATATGTATTTTTAAAAATTTTTTCTTCTAAGAAAATTAAAGGGAAATGTCAGAAATATTTTTAAAAATAGGTATTTTTTAGGAACGTCCAGAATGTCGAGTTCTTTCCATTCAAAGTCACGTTGTTCATGGATATGTTGGGAATAAATGTGCAGTTTTTCCTTTACAGGTATTTAAAAATTAAAAAAAATAATTTTAAATTATTTTATTTTTTTTAGTTATTTGGTTTTGAAGTGGATTCAATTAATTCTGTTCATTTTTCTAACCATACACGTTAATTATTTTCATTTTTTTAAATAAAATTTTTAGAATATGAAAAAGGAGCTCGTGGGCAGCGCCTGAATGCGACAGATTTACAAGAAATATTTGAAGGGCTTTGTGATAATAAATTGGAAAGAGAATATTCTCATATTTTGACTGGTATGTATTTTAATTAAAAATTTAAGAAAAAAATTCTTGAGAAAAATTTTTTTAATTTGTATTGGGGAAGTTTCAACTTAAAATTTTAATTAATTTAAAAGGTTATTGTGGAGAGCCTACTTTTCTTCAAAAAGTGGCTGGAATTGTGAAGCATTGTCGACAATACAAGCCTGATTTGTTATATGGTTATTATCTTTTGTTTTTATTTTACGAAAAAAAAAAATAATTTTTTTTCAGTTTGTGATCCAGTTTTAGGAGATAACGGAAATTATGTAAAGAATTAAAGAAAAATTTTTTTTTCAAAATTTATTTTAGTATGTTCCAAAAGAATTATGTACAATTTATAAAAAAGAAATACTTCCTTTAGCTAATATAATTACACCAAATGCTTTTGAATTAAGGTAAAGATTTAAAAAAAATAATTTTTAATATTTTTTAGTGAATTAAGTGGTGGATTGCCTGTAAAAACTGAAGAAGATTGTTTAAAGGCTATTAAAAAACTTCATTTAAATTTTCCAAATCTTAATTCAATTATTTGTACTTCTTTGCTTGTTAATTCTGAAGGGAAAGATTTTTTGGCTTGTTTTGCTTCTGAAAGAATTCTTTCTGACAAAGGTAAAAAGAAAAATAATTTTTTATTCTCAAAGAAAATTTAAATAGTAAAGGGGGATTTTTTAAGAGTATATTTGTCAATATTTTTACACAAATAATGGACCGATAATCCTTAAGAAAACCCATGTCTAGCGAATGTGTAACGAAATTTTATTTTTTAATTTTCTCTTTAGAAAATTATTTCCTCTCAATTTAGATCAATCCAATTTTCTTCACTTTTATCGTTTTGAAATGTCTTATATTGACTCGATATTTACTGGTACTGGGGATTTATTTTCTGCACTTTTTCTTGCCTGGTGGGAGGAAACAGAAGGGAATCTTTGTGATACTTTAAAAGCAACAATTTCTTCAATGCAAGCAGTTTTGAGGAGAACAGCAGAATATTCAGAATTAAAAGGTTTTTAATTAAATAAATTATTTTTTGAAGTCTAAATTTTTAAAAATTTTAGAGGAAAAAACTATATCAAAAAGAGAATTGAGACTTCTGGATAGCCGAATGGATTTATTACAACCTCCAAATATTAACCAAATTGTTTTTAAAGAAATTGAATAATTTTTCACATTTTTTATAGAAAAATAAGTAAATTGTTAAAATTGAAAAATAAAATAATTACCAAAATAAAAAAATCAAATTTTCCTCACTTAACTCGATAAAGTAATTTTCTTTGCATTCTATATTGGAAATCCCCACGACGCACACAAAAGTCAATTGCCTATAAAAATAAATTATATAAAATTAAAAATAAAAACAATTTACTCGTCGAACTAAAGCCTCTGGATAGCTTTGTTTACTAAATTCGTCAATAATTAAATGTTCAGATACATAAGTCCCCACCTTTAAAAAAATAATTTTAAATAATTTTTAAATTTAAATTAAACTTGAAAACGACGTTTTAATTGTTTCTCAACTCGATCAAATGATTCTTGGTCCTCTCTAGAAGTAAACCCTTCAACGCCTGAAAATTTTAAAAATAATTTTGATTTTAGAGTAATTTTAATGTAAATAGGCTTAAAAATTAAAAAAAACACATTTTAAGGGTACGGCATCTTCAAATATTAGTTTTATTTTAGATGTCTAAAAATTAGCCGCCCCTGGGTGGATTCGGTTAACTACCTTCGGTTAACAGTCGAACGCACTATATGTGCTCTTACGCCACAAGAGCACATATCTGGAAAAATTAATAGCGTTATTACAAAGGGAATTCTTTAATCGCATTAAGAAAATATACACCAAACAGTTTGTCATTTCTTAAATTTAAAAATCTTCAATAAAAAAATAAATTTACCGCTTAAACTTCCACTTTGTGCCGCAGCAATTGTACTAACTTTGAATAAACGAATAGCTTCTTCTACATGTCTTTTTTCAGTAAAAGGAAGTAATTCCATTTTAGCTAATGATTCACTTAAACGAATAATTGCTTCTAATTGTCTCACAGTTACGGGTATTGTCGATTGCCCATGTTCTTTAAAAATTAATTTTTAAATAAAAAAAATTTTCTCAACTTTTTCCTTTCCAAGTTTGTTGTTGAGAATTTTGGTCAATTTGTGGATTTCTTAATTTTACATATTGATTAAGTAACAATTCACTAGCAGTTTCAGAAATACGAGGTCCACAAACAGCTCTAGCATAAGCAATATAACGTTTTAAAAAATCCAAAGAAAGTTCCTTTTAAAAGAAAAGAAAATTCATTCCCTTAAAAAAAATTAAAAAGAAACTTTATTTCCATCATTCGAATCAATTAACATATTTTCATCCCCATCATCATTCATATTTTCATCTACGGGTGCAGCAATTCCATTAATATTTCCATCAATTCCTCCAAAAGAATTTAATGCTGATGGTTGTGTTGCTTGTGTGTGTACTTTCACAATATGTTTAGCTAATTGCTTTAAATTGAAGGAAAAATTTTTTTTAAATTAAAAAAAAATTACAGCATCTCTATTTCTGTCATATTGGTCTTTAACAACAAAAATACAATCAAAACGTGAAAGTATTGTTGGCATGAAATCAATGTTTTCGTCTCCGCGAGTGTCATCCCAACGACCAAAAACTGAATTGGCAGCAGCCAAAACAGAGCAACGAGAATTTAAAGTTGTGGTTATTCCGGCCTAGAAAAGGTAGAAGTTTATATTTTAATTAATTTATTTAAATATGAAAATCTAGAAACTTTTTGTTTAGGATAATTTTTTGGATTTTCAAAATCAATTTTCTATCCTTTAGGTAAAATCCTAATTAACAAAAACTTAATCTAAAAATTAAACTTTTCTAGCCATTAAAACTTAAAAAATAAATAAAAATTCTTACTTTAGCTATACTAATTGTTTGCTGTTCCATAGCCTCGTGTATGGCTACACGGTCATCTTCACGCATTTTATCAAATTCATCAATACAAACAACACCTCCATCAGCCAAAACCATAGCACCCCCTTCCATAATAAAAGAACGCTAAATGAATCATCAAATTATAGAAAAAAATTCCAAAAAAACCGAAGCTGGATCTCTTATAACAGAAGCAGTAAGTCCAGCAGCACTACTTCCCTTGCCTGAAGTGTAAACAGCAATTGGTGCTACTCTTTCTACAAATTTGAGTAATTGAGATTTTGCAGTACCAGGATCTCCCAAAAGTAAAACGTTAATATCTCCACGGCGAGTAAGGCCATCAGGCAAACTATAAAAATTAAAAAAATTTTTAAACATTATTTTATAAAAATTCATACATTTTTCTAGATCCACTAAACAATAAACAAGCAATTGCCCTTTTAATGTCATCTGCTCCATAAATAGAAGGAGCAATACTTTTCGTAATAATTTCATAAACTTTTGGATTTTTAGCTAATTCCTATAAAATTTTTTGAAGAAATTTTTTAATGTTTAAAACCCTAAATTGACGCTCCTCCTTAGGTGTAAAATGCATTTGATCAGTGTGTCCTAATCCAGTCATTTGCACTTCAATTCCAATAGCACGAATATAAGGGACACGAATACCAGCCATTCCAGCTGTTTTCTCCTCTCGTCCAGACTTTTTTAATATTAAAATAAACATTCAAATTAAAAAAACCTTTGATTTCCCTCCTTGTAATCTTTTAATCGAATAAATCCCAGTAACTGTAATTCGATTTCCCGGAGTCACTCTATCCGTCAAATATCTTCAAAAGATTAGTTTACAAAAAATATTTAGTTAAAAACCTGTCAACGTAAATTAACAAATGTCGAGGAATTTCGCTATGAGGGACATCCTCGGGCAATTCTTGCAGTTTAAGCTGTTGAAAGTCAACACATCGACATTTGTCCGGTAAAATTGCGTATGGATCCATTGGACAACGTTGTAATTGACCAACTTGGTTACTTTAAAATTAAATAATTTTACGGGTTTAAGGCCAAAAAAATTGAAATTAAAAATTAATTTCTAGAATTAGCTAAAATTTAACAAAAAGCGACATACGCTAAACAACGACGAGGCATTTGAAATTGCTCAAAACCAGGCTTCACTTCCTGATCACTAATAGTATGTCGGCAAGTGCGACATTGTAGAGTTAAACGAGTTGAACGAAAGCGGACTTGGGAAGCAGCAACAATTATACCAGAAATTTTTACAAGTTGAGATACTTCAGAACTCTATTATAAAAAAATTTCAGATATATCAATTAAAAAAATAATCTCAAAAATTACCTTAATGTGGCGAATGCTCTGCGGTTTATCATCCAAATTCAGCATTATTTGAATATCTCGAACTTCTTCTTGACCAGCTGGACGAGGATTAGTAATGTCGTTAGCAACCTTTTTAGCAGCAGATTCCAACTATAGAAAGATACTTCAATTATTTCTAAAAATAAATTTACAGCTGGAAGAAGCGTAGCTGGATAACGTCTTAATTTATTGGCAACATCTTCCTCAAAGTTGCGCAAGTCGTTAAATTGTATGGTTAAATAATATTGCCCAAGTGTATAATTTTTCTTTAATTGTTCTCTAAATAAATATTTTGTCTTTATATATAAAAATTCTTAAAAACCTGTAAATCCAAACCATTCCCTTCTCACTAAATTCTTTAATAAAACGTTGAAATTGTTCATCCATTTGTTTGTATTCAGCAACCAATTCTCGGCCTCCATCAACTCCCCCTCCTGTATCAGTAAAAGTTCGTCCCTTAAGAAAAGATATTCCATATAGAAATTAAAGATTTAGTTTATAAACCTGATAAAATATTCCTGGATTATCTAAATTTGACATTGAAAAATATTAAATATGTGAGAGTATTTGTTAGTAAAAATTGTCTGAAGAAACTAAAAAATTATGTAATAACAAGTTGAAAATAAAAACAAAAACTGTTGGATTTATTTTGTGAAGTTAAAAATTTAAAATAATTAAGCCGCGCATTTAAATTAGTGATGTTCGGGTATCCCGACTCCCGACACCCGACTCGGGAAATTTCCCGAGTTTTTGGCCTCCCGATCCCGACCCCGACTCCCGATGTCAATTCCCGACTAAGTCGGGAAATTTTTACACCCCTAAGAATGGCTTTTTCTGATAAAATTTTATTTTTAAACTGAAAAAAATAAAAAAAAGGGAAAGGGAAAATAAAAAAAGAAAAAGGAAAAGGAGAAAAATATTTAAATTTTTATTCCAAAAGTCTTTCGTTGAGCGATGGTTGAGTGGTTAGGTTGATGACTTCACGCTCAATGTGATATTTTATGGGGATGGGTTCGAATCCGGGGTTGGGAAATGTGAGTTAAATAATTTTTCTTTTCCAAAAATAAATATTTTTAACATTGATTTTAATTTTTAAATTGTGAATTTATTTTTTTAATACTAGTAAACTTGAGAAAACTGGAAAAATTAATATAGTCATGAATTTTCGAAAAATTTTGCCTGCGGCGCAGACAAATGATGTGAGATTAAGAGGTCTTTAAAATTTAATTAGCCAATTTCAGCAATACCCTCCTCTTAAAAAACCCTTTTCTTCCATTATATTCAATGCTCCTTAATCACTTCTAATCGCTCTATATCCTTCCATGGATGCAATATTTTAATACCAGAGACGAGGTAATTTTGGGAATTTAGAATAATTTTAGAATAATTTTGGATAATTTTTTTGCGATAATTTTGGGAATTTAGAATGCTTTTTTTGCCAAGCGGCCAAAATGGATGAAATGTGGCTTCTTGACCTCCATGATTATCAAGATTTCTGCCTGCGGCGTTGAAAATTAATTAAGAAATGTTGAAAATTAATTAAGGGAATAGAGAGAGAGAGAGAGAGCGGCGCAAAAATGGAACAATTCTGGCTTTCTAACCTTCAAAAATTCTTAAAATTCACGCCTGCAACGATAAAATCAGAATTTTTGGCGCCGAAGGCGCCAAAAATTTTTTAAATTTTTTTAATTGAAAATTCCCGACTCCCGATCCCGACTCCCGAGGTCATTTCCCGACCCGACTCCCGTTTCCCGATTCCCGAGTTTTTTCTTCTCCCGAACATCACTAATTTAAATATTTCGTTGCGAAAGTTCATACTTATGTCATTATGTCGAAATAATCTTGCCATAAATTCAAATAGCCAAAGAGTAATGAATTTTAATTTGCCTACAGGGCATGATTAATCTGAATTTTCTCTTTGATTTGGCTAATTTAAAAAGTATTTATTTTTAGAGCTGTGCTTATTATTTTTAAATTTTCTTCATAATATTAAAAATGACTGATAAAATCATATATACGGCCAATGATGTTCGTCAAGCATTTATAGACTTTTTCGTTGATAAACAACATTCGTATCATCATTCATCTTCTGTGGTAAGTATTTTATTTTTAATTAAAAATATTTTTTTTTGAAGATTCCTTATGATGATCCAACACTTTTATTTACAAATGCTGGAATGAATCAATTTAAACCTGTATTTCAAGAGACTGTAGATCCAAATAGTGATTTGGGTAAATTGAAGAGAGCAGTTAATACACAAAAATGTATTCGCGCTGGAGGGAAACATAATGATTTGGATGATGTTGGAAAAGATGTTTATCATCATACTTTTTTTGAAATGCTTGGAAATTGGTCTTTTGGTGATTATTTTAAGGTTATTCTTTTATTTATTTTGGTGGACTTTTCCTGGAATGGCACTGTCTATTTTAAGTTCTATGCCGGAATTTCTTCATTTTAACGATTTTTGCTAAGGTTTTAGTTTGGCTTATCTGGACATGAATATGATTTTATACAAAATTATTTTATAGAATAATATTTATTTATATTCAGAAAGAAATTTGTACGTGGGCATGGGAGTTTCTCACAAATTGGCTACAAATTCCGCCAGAACGTTTATATGTTTCGTATTTTGGTGGCGACTCCTCTGCTGGACTTGAACCCGACGAGGAATGCAAGTAATAAAATTAATTTTTTCTCGATTATTTTTTTAAATTTTTTATCAATTTTAGAAAAATTTGGCTTTCTCTTGGTGTAAATCCAAATCATCTTCTCCCTTTCGGAATGAAGGACAATTTTTGGGAAATGGGTGATACTGGCCCTTGTGGTTCTTGTTCTGAAATTCATTATGATAGGATTGGAAATAGAGATGCTTCTTCTCTTGTAAATGCTGACGATCCAATGGTTGTAGAAATTTGGAATTTAGTTTTTATTCAATTTAATAGGTTTTTTAAATTTTATTTTAATTATTAAAAATTGTTTTTAAGAGAAGAAGGGGGTTTATTAAAATCTCTTCCAAATAAACATATTGATTGTGGACTTGGACTTGAACGATTAGTGGCTGTTGTACAAATATGATACAGATTTGTTTACACCTTTATTTCAAGCAATTCATGAGGTTTTTTTTTGTGATTTTTAAAAATTTTATTTAAAACCTCTCGTTTAGTCGACTGGTATTCGCGAATATCAAGGGAAAGTTGGGACAGAAGATATTGATGGTATTGATATTGCTTATCGTGTTGTAGCTGACCATATTAGAACTTTAACTGTTGCTTTAGCTGATGGAGGGGTTCCTGATTCAACTGGAAGAGGGTTTGTCTTTCTTTAATTTTTGTTTTTTAAGTCTAAAATTTTGTTCGTCTCTATAAACGTTGGTGGTTAGTGTTTCGGTTTGTGGGGGGAACACGTTGCTCGAATCCATTATCTTGCTAATGAAGATCAACTGAAAGAGGGTTTCACGACGGTCTTCTGAAATAGATAAACTAATGTTAAAAACGTTTTTTCGAAGCAAGAAAATTTTTCTGAGAAAAAAAATTTTTTTAATATTTTTTATTAAAAAAATTTTTAAATTCTCTTTTAGTTATGTTCTCCGTCGAATTTTACGTCGTGGGGTTCGTTATGCAACAGAAAAATTAAATGCAAAACCCGGATTTTTTGCTTCTCTTGTTCCTGTTGTTATTGAAATTTTGGTAAATTTATTTTTTCAATAAATTTTTTTATTTTTTTTAGGGTAATACATTTCCAGAACTAAAAAAAGATCCTTTATCAATTATTAAAATTATAAATGAGGAAGAAAGACAATTTCTTAAAACTTTAAGTCGTGGGCAAATTCTTTTCGAAAAAGCGGTTAAAACATTGCCTGGAAATTCTAAAATAATTTCTGGTATTTTTAAAAAAATTAAAAAAAATTTTATTTAAAATTTAGGACAAATTGCTTGGCGTCTCTATGATACATATGGATTTCCAATTGATTTAACTTCATTGTTGGCAGAGGAGAAGGGTTTAAGTGTTGATTATATGGAGTATGAGGAATGTCGAAAAATGAGTAAATTAAAAAAGAATTTGGAGAAGGTAGATAATTGTGGGGAGGAGAAGAAAGAATTAAATAAAGGGGAGGAAATTAAAAATAAAATTAAAAAACTTTTTTTGAAAATGAGTTTAGTTTAATTATATTAGAAATTTTTTTTTGTTTTTAATAATTTATTAAAAATTTGTGAAAAGAAAAAAATATTAAGCTAACGAAGATCAATTCTTCATCGTATATAGACAGAGGTGGGTGGAATTCCGATTTTTTTCCTTCCGATTTCCGAAAAAATTTATTTTTCGATTTCCGAGTTACAACTTTTGAGCCAGTCCCGATTTCCGACTCTTCCGATTTCTGAAATCTCTGACTGTTCCGACCCACCCCTGTATATAGGGAAGAGCTCTTACAATACTCGTATTTCCTATACACTCTGTGGACTTCACTCATGGTAACAACATGCGCGAGACTGCTCAAAACATCAAATCCCACTGGGAACGGGACTAACTGTATTCATGTATGTAACGCCAAAGAAAGTTCACCAATCTCTTTGACATCCGAAAGAAAAAACTTATAAGGCTAAAATGAGGTAAATAATCTTGCAAAAATTGAAAACCCAAATCCAAAATAATTGATTTTAGAGTTGTGACAATTTAAAAAAAAAATAAAAAATATTACTGGATTGTCTAAATTTGACATTGAAAAATATTAAATAGGTATTTGTTAGTAAAAATTATCTGAAAAACGAAAAAATTATGAAATAACAAGTTGAAAATAAAAACAAAAACTGTTGGATTTATTTTGTAAGGTTAAAAATTTAAAATAATTAAGCCGCGCATTTAAACATTTCGTTGCGAAAGTCAGATTCATGTCATTATGTCGAAATAATCTTGCCATAAATTCAAATAGTCAAGGAGTAATGAATTTTAATTTGCCTACAGGGCAGGATTATTCTGAATTTCTTTTGATTTGGCTAATTTAAAAAGTATTTATTTTTAGAGCTGTGCTATTATTTTTTAAATTATCTGCATAATATTAAAAATGACTGATAAAATTATATATTCAGCTAATGATGTTCGTCAGGCATTTATAGACTTTTTTGTTGATAAACAGCATTCATATCATCATTCATCCTCTGTGGTAAGTATTTTATTTTTTATTAAAAAAATTTTTTTACTTCCAAGATTCCTTATGATGATCCAACACTTTTATTTACAAATGCTGGAATGAATCAATTTAAGCCTGTATTTCAAGAAACTGTAGATCCAAATAGTGATTTGGGTAAATTAAAGAGAGCAGTTAATACACAAAAATGTATTCGCGCTGGAGGGAAACATAATGATTTGGATGATGTTGGAAAAGATGTTTATCATCATACTTTCTTTGAAATGCTTGGAAATTGGTCTTTTGGTGATTATTTTAAGGTTATTCTTTAATATATTTTGGTGGACTTTTTTGGGAATAACACTGTCTATTTTAAGTTCTGCGCTTGAATTTCTTCATCTTAACGATTTCGAGTAGGGTTTTAGTTCGGTTTTAGCTGGGCACGAATATGATTTTATACAAAATTATTTTATAATATTTATTCATATTCAGAAAGAGATTTGTACGTGGGCATGGGAGTTTCTCACAAAATGGCTACAAATTCCGTCAGAACGTTTATATGTTTCATATTTTGGTGGCGACTCTTCTGCTGGACTTGAACCTGACGAGGAATGCAAGTATTTTAAAATTATTTTTAGTCTTTATTTAATTTATCAATTTTAGGAAAATTTGGCTTTCTCTTGGCGTAAATCCAAATCATCTCCTCCCTTTCGGAATGAAGGACAATTTTTGGGAAATGGGTGATACAGGCCCTTGTGGTCCTTGTTCTGAAATTCATTATGATCGGATTGGAAATAGAGATGCTTCTTCTCTTGTAAATGCTGACGATCCAATGGTTGTAGAAATTTGGAATTTAGTTTTTATTCAATTTAATAGGTTTTTTTTTAAATTTTATTTTATTAAAAAATTGTTTTTAAGAGAAGAAGGGGGTTTATTAAAATCCCTTCCTAATAAACACATTGATTGTGGACTTGGACTTGAACGTTTAGTGGCTGTTGTACAAAATAAAATTTCAAATTATGATACGGATTTGTTTACACCTTTGTTTCAAGCAATTCATGAGGTTTTTGTGATTTTTTAAATTTTATTTAAACCCTTTCTTTTAAGTCTACTGGTATTCGCGAATATGAAGGGAAAGTTGGTACTGAAGATATTGATGGTATTGATATTGCTTATCGTGTTGTAGCTGACCATATTAGAACTTTAACAGTTGCTTTAGCGGATGGAGGGGTTCCTGACTCGACTGGAAGAGGGTGGGTTTTTTACTAATTTCTTTTTAAATCTTGTCTTCATAACTTTAAAAATTTTTGTTTTGCAAAACCATTTATTGGTTAATTGGTTAGTACTTTGGGTTGTGAGTAGGACCTGTCATGGTTCGAATGATATTTCTTGCTAATGATGATAAACACGACGGTCTTCTGAATTAAATAAACTGTTGTAAAAAACGTTTTTTCTGAAGCAAGAAATTTAATTTTAATATTTATTTTTGTCTTCTATTCTTATTTTTTAAATTTTCTTTAGTTATGTTCTTCGTCGAATTTTACGTCGTGGAGTTCGTTATGCAACTGAAAAATTAAATGCCAAACCCGGGTTTTTTGCTTCCCTTGTTCCTGTTGTTATTGAAATTTTGGTAAATTTATTTTTATTTTTTTTCAATAAAAATCTTGATTTTTAAGGGTATCACATTCCCAGAATTAAAAAAGGATCCTTCATCAATTACTGAACTTATAAACGAAGAAGAGGCTCAATTTCTCAAAACTTTACGTCGTGGGCAAATTCTTTTCGAAAAAGCAGTTAAAACATTGCCTGCTGATTCTAAAACAATTTCTGGTTTTTATAAATATTTAAATTGAAAAAAAAATTTAATTTAAATTAAGGACAAATTGCTTGGCGTCTCTATGATACCTATGGATTTCCAATTGATTTAACTTCATTGATGGCTGAGGAGAAGGGTCTTAGCATTGATTATGTTGATTATGAGGAGTGTCGAAAAAAGGCTATTGTTAGTTTTTTTAAAGATTTTTTAGTCTTATTATTATTTTTGTTTTTAGGAACTTTCTTCTTCTGGTGCTACTTTTAAACTTCAAGAAACATTAAATCTTGATGTACATACATTAGAAGCACTTAAACGTGAAGGAGTTCCCCCAACAGATGATTCGCCAAAATATATTTATGATTTTGATGGACAATTAAATTGGAAAGCTTCTTATAGTTTAGAAATTTTAGAATCAATTTTAAAAATTTAATTTTTAGATTACCAAATGTGTAATGGAAAAATATTGAAAATACGAGTTGGAAGTGAATTTGTTGATAAAATAGAGTCTGGACAGGAAGGGGCATTATTACTTGACAGGACTTGTTTTTATGCAGAACAGGGTGGTCAAATTTATGATACAGGATTATTTACAAAAATTGGAGATGAGGTTGAGATTTTTTAAAAATTAGAAAAAGAATTGTTTTTAAAGGACGTTGGCTTTTCTGTTACGAATACACAAATTCGTGCTGGTTATATTTTCTTTTTTGGAGTAGCTGATGGTGTTCTTTGTGTTGGAGATGAATTAAAACAACAATTTGATGAGGTATTTAAATTTAAAATTAGGGAAACTAAAAATAAATTTTAAGTCACGTCGTTGGCTTATAATGAAAAACCACACTGGTACACACGTACTTAATTATGCATTACAACAAGTATTACAAACTGTGGACCAGAAAGGATCTTTGGTAGCTCCTGATAGAATGCGTTTTGATTTTTCATCAAAACAGGCACTTGGTGTTGATCAAGTAAATTTTTTTTTGTTTTTTTATTTAAAATAAATAATTTTGTAGGTTAAAAAAGTTCAAGAACATGCTCAAACATTAATTAACACAAAAGGACAAGTATATACAAAAGAATGTGTGTTGTCTGAAGCTTTGAATATTAATGGATTGCGAGCTGTTTTTGGCGAAGTTTTTTTAAATTTTAATTTTTTTAAATCTTTGTATTTGTTTTTAGACATATCCAGATCCTGTTCGTGTTGTTTCTGTAGGTATTCCAATTGAACAACTTTTGGAAAATCCTAGCAGTGATTTGGGCAATAAAACATCTGTTGAATTTTGTGGGGGAACGTAAGTTTATTTTTTCTGTGTTCCTTTTCCTCAAAATTAAATTTTTAGTCATTTACGCAATGTTTCGCATATTGGTTCATTAGTAATTACAACAGAAGAAGCAATCGCCAAAGGTATTCGTCGAATTGTTGCAATTACTGGGCCAGAAGGAGAAAAGTCTTTACAAAATGCTGAGAAATTGACCAAAAATTTAAATGAATTAATTGAAATGGCAGAAAAAGAATATGAAGAGATTGGAAAAGAATGGAATGAAGAAAGATTGAAAAAACTTGGAAAATGTATTACTGACTTTGAAGAGGTATATAAAATATTTAATAAATATTTTAAAATTAAAAAATTAATTTTTAAGAAAATAAATAATCAACAATTGTCGTATATCCAAAAAGATGCTCTCCGTGAAAGTATTAAAAAAATTAGGATGAATATGAAAAAATTAAAAAAGAATTCAAAGAAAGTAGAGGATAATGCAGAAATTAATGAAAATAATAAAAAAGGAAATAAGAAGAATAATAAAAAGGAAGAGAAAAAAGAATTAAATAATAAAGAAGAAATTAAAAATAAAATTAAAGAACCTTTTTTGAAAATAAGTCTTGTTTAATTAAATATTTGTTTTTCTATTAGAGAATTTTTTGTTTTGTTTTTAATGATTTGTTGAGCCTTTTCGTGCCTTTTTTTGTAAAAATAAAATTTAAACTAATCGTTCAAATTATAGTAGATGGTGAAAGAGTTTTGCTTTTAAGGAAAAAATCAACTTCGCCAAAAATAAAAATATTAAATTCTTTTATTATAATTTGATGTGTTGCTGTTTGGTTAAGTGGTCTAAAAGTTGATTTTGAATAGTGTTGTTTTGCTAGTGATGAAAGGTTTCCTTTCACTTCTGATAAATCTGTTGAAAAAATCTGTCCCTGAAGCAAAACAAACAATCTTTTCGATCAGTCTATACTTGGTTAAGTTGTTAAAATATTTTTTTAATATTTTAACCCCAATTGATTTTAACCCAATTGATTTTTTGTATTTAAGATCTCAATGAAGTTCAGACTTCGTTCCTTTTACTATTCTACACTTTTCGATGGAAATGTCCACAGGAATTTTTGTCTTCAATTTTAAAGATGGTGAAAGAGGAATTTTGCTTTATAAGGAAAAGACCAATTTCGCCAAAAATAAAATTATTAGATTATCTAGTAATCTGATGTGTTGTTGTTTGGTTAAGTGGTCTAAACTTTGGTTTGCGAATTAGGTTTTGCTAATGATGAACACAGGTCAGCTCACCTCTGATAAATCTGTTGAAAAGACGAGGTCTGAAGCAAAACAAACATTGTTTTAATAAAATTAATAGTATTTTTAAAATTATTTGATAATAAGAACACGTGTTTGATGTGTCTATACTTGGTTAAGTGGTTTACGTTAAGAATATAATAAGTGATCCTCTTCGAGTTCAAATCCACGTTTTGCTAATGATGATAATATTGGCCTTTCACCTCTGATAAATCTGTTGAAAAATATATAACTGAAGCAAAACAGAAAAATTAATTTAAACAATTTATTAACTTTGTTTTATATAAAGTTTTATTTTTCTACAACTGTTTACATAGTAAATAAATATATAAAAATACGGATTCTTAATATTTGTGTAGTAGTCATTTTGAGTTTACAGAAGATTTTTGATAAATTTTTTTGCTAAATTAATTTTTCAAACTAAATTCTAAAATTTTAAATCTATCTTCTTTTATTTTTGCATCAATTCAATAACAGCTTTAACTATATCTGAACTGTGACAAGATCCCTAAAAATAAAATTTAAATTATTATTTTTATTTAATAATTCCCCCACTCAATCTAAAAGTCTTATAAAATTACCCCAATATCAGGTGTATGCAATTTCCGTTCAGTCAAAGCAATAAATAAAGCATCTGACATTTTATCTGCATAACCATCCAACTTTAAAAATAATTTTTTAAATTAATTTTTATTCTCTCTCACCCCCAAATAACGTAACATGTCAATAGCTGCACGTATAAAAGCTGTTGGATTAGCCAAATCTTTACCAGTTAAAGATGTGCCTGTATTTCTAGTTCCCTGTTTTGAAGAAAAACTGAATTTTTAGATAAAAATAATTTTTAAATAAAAAAATAATTTGAGAAAAAGGAACTTTTTAGAGAAGAAATATTAGATAAATTTACTCTTTTCCTTTTTTATTCTAAAATTCCCCCTTCAAAAATCTAACCGTCTCAAAAACAGCATATTCTTCCCCAATATTCATTCCAGAAACAAGTCCTGGCCCTCCAACCAAACCACAAGCAATATTCGAAATTATATTTCCATAAAGATTGGGCATAAGTAAAATTGCCCCGTTAAATTGTTGTGGACGGCTAACTAATTGCATACAAGCATTGTCAACTTTAAATTCAAATTTTTATTTAAAAAATTCTTTTTTAACCAATTAAAGAGTCAAAACGTAATCCTTTCGATTTATATTCAGTATCAGCAATTTCTTTACAAACCTTTGAAAATTTTTTTGAAAATTTTTCTTTAAAAATCTCAAAACCTTCAAAAATAGACCGTCCCCCAATTTTTGTATATTTGCTTTGTGAATTGCTGTAATATTTGGTCTATTATTCAAAACAGCATAATCAAAGGCGTAACGAGCTATTCTTTCAATTCCATGTCGAGTTACAATCTTTTAATTTGAAAAAATTAAAAGGAGGACGGAAATTTTGTTAGGAAAATTGTGTTTTATATAAAAAATTTTTTTCAATTATTCTATGTTTTATTCCAAATATTTTCATTAAAATGTCATAATTTTCCATAGATTCAAGAAGCACCCCTCCCCCCCCCTTACCCCAAAAAATTCAATAAAAAACCTTCAAACTTTCAACAATTCCAGGTTTAGGTTCATGTTCTAGCCCACTATATTCTCCTTCAGTATTCTCTCTAATTAACACCAAATCAAGATTGTGATGACGAGTGGGGATTGTTGGGACAGAAACACAGTGAAGAACATTTGCAAATCTTTATTTTGGATTTTTTGATAAAATATTTTTAAAAATATTTACAAATCAAGTCGACGACGAAGTTCCATATTTCTAGATTTAAAATCTGGATTGTCAAATTTTGTTTCAATATTTCCCTGAAAAAAAAATATTAAAATTAAGAAATTTTTTATATTTTTTTTCTGAAAAAATTTAAATTAGATTTCGTAATGGAAACGAATATGGATACAGTATTAAGATGCCTGCGGATATCCGCCGTAAATATCCGGATACCAGAATCCATATCCATTACCAAGTCTGATTTCATTTATTTTTCCCCAAAAACTTTTAATATTTTACTTTCAAAGCAGCCCCAGTTTTGTGTATAGCATTTATTGCCTTTTCTAATTCCTCATCTGTCGGGTCTTTAGAATTTAATTCAACATCATTAAAATCAACAGGAATATTTAAAGAAGAAAATATTCGTTTAATATGTCCAAGCATCTTTTTTAAAAATTAAAATTAATTTTAAAAAATTTCATTACCTCAGGTCCAATTCCATCCCCAGGCAAAGCTGTTACTGTATAACGATTGTTATTTTTGGAGAGAATAATCTGGAAATTTAATTTTTAAATTAAATTAAAATAAACTTTACATCATTTTTTGATTTACTTTTAGGCAAAATATGTGTTCTTAAAGCTGATTTAAAACGATAAAAGTCTAATAAAATTTTTGCATGTTTTTGTCGAATTATTGAATTTGTACAGAACATTTCAAAAACTAAAAAATTAAAAAAATAATTTTTTAAATATTTTTTTATAAATTTTTATTAAAAATAAAAATTATTCTATAAAAATACAAAAATATTGTAAAAATAATTTTTTCAATTTTTTATAGAAAAAATATTTTGTTTGAAAATATAAAAACTTTTTGTTTGTCAAGAATTAAGAGAAATAAAAAAAACTATTTATTACTTTTGTCGAGGGAAATCAATAAACAACTGATATAATAGATAGGTGGTGGATTTTTAAGTGATTTAAATTGTAAAAAGAAAAAAAATAAAAAAGAGAGGAATAATGTTTTAATTAATAAATTCTTTATTAATAATTAGAAAATAAATATTTTAATTTAAAAAATAACAATTTGTGTTTGTCTATAAAAATATTCTATAAAATTTTTAAAAATATATATTAAATTAATTAAACTTTTCTTCCCAAAATTCCTCATTCCTTCCCCTCTAAATTTTATTTTCAATTAATTTTTCCAATAAAATAGTATCAGCAGCAAAACGTCTAATTCCATCAGATAAACGATCAGAAGCCATAGAATCTTCATTAAGTTCCCAACGAAATTTATTTTCGTCAATATTTTCAATTAATTGGACATTTTTTGTTTGGGCAATTTCTTTTGATAAAATTTTTGAAATTTGTTCATTATCCTCATTTAATTGTTTTAATAATGTTGGACTGTTTAAAAAATAAAAATATTAAAAAAAATGAGGAGGAATAAGAAAAAATTACAAGGAAAATGGGAAATTTAGAGAAATTGGGAATTTTGTCTATCGAGAGAATCAAGGGCGTATCCAGGGGGCTGCGAGGAACACCAATTTTTTGGCGCACCCAATATTAGCCCCCCCCCCGAAATCGACCCTCTAGATACGCCCTCTCAACATTTTTTAAACAAATTTCACATTCCTTAAAGTAAAAAGTCCCGAAAATTTTTCAAAAAATATCAAAATGTTTCATAAAATTAAAAAACTCTCCTTACCTAATCGTCAAAAGATCACAGCCAGCCAATCCTTTAATTTGTTCAGTATTTCGAAAAGAAGCAGCCATTACTTGTGTTTCATGTCCAAAATATTTATAATAATTATATATTTTTGTAACACTCAAAACCCCTGGATCTGTTTGTCTAGTAAAATTGTGTTCTGTTGTATTTTTTAAATACCAATCCAAAATACGGCCTTTTTAAAAGGAAAAATTATTTTAAAAAAATTTAAACTTGTTTACCAACAAAAGGAGAAACAAGAGTAACCTTTAAAATAATAAGGGGAAAAAATAAAAATTATTTAAAGTAAGGTAGCACCCCGTTCCCCGACAAACCCCGACGAATTTTAGGCAAAAACCCCGATACCGACACCTACCCCCGTCCCCCGACGAATTTTTAGGTAAAAATCTTGACACAACCTCAGAAGGCTCTACCCCGGCAAACCCCGATCTCCGACGATCATGTCCCATAAGGCTCGGGGTGCTACCCTAATTTAAAGAAAAGAAAAACCTTTGCTTGAGCACAAGCAACAGCTTGATAAAAATTAAATAAAAGAGTCATATTGCAATGAATTCCATGTTGAGACTCCAAAATTCTTTAAAAAATTAAAAAAATATTATTAAATTCCAAACTTTGCCGCCTGAATTCCTTCCCAAGTCGAAGCAAGTTTAATGAGAATTCTTTCTTTAGAAATTCCTTCTTCCTCATATAAACGAATAAAATTTATAGCTTTTTCAATTGAGGCGTTTACGTTAAAAGAAAGTCTAAAAACCTTTAAAATTAACCTTCATTTAAATAAAAACCTCGCATCAACTTCAGTGCTAACCCTTCCAGGAACAATTTTCAAAATTTCTTTCCCAAAAAGGACAAATAATTTATCCATCGCCAAAGACAAAATAATTTCTTTAGAAGCATTTTCAACAGATTTTTCTTTTGCATAATTTATTGCTAGATCAATTAAATGTTTGTATTTTTCATCTTTTGTTGCTGCCAAAATTAGAGAAGGATTTGTTGTTGAATCGGTTGGTTTGAATATTTCTATTGCTAAAAAATTAGAATATTTTTTAAAATGAAAAAATTGTTAATTTTACAATGAAAATCTCCTGTGTCAGCAACAATAATTGAAATTTGTTTTAATTGGTCTAAAACTGAAGAAGACATTTTTGCTGAATTTGAAAAGAAAACAGCAAAATTTAATTTTTTAATTGAGAGTAAAATATTTGGAAAAATATGAAGAGAAATTATATTTATGTAAATATTGTAAATGGTCTGATTTAAAAGAAAAATCTAAAAAAATGATAAAAACAAAAAAAATTCAAACAAACGTAGTTGAGTCCGACAAGAAAGGGAAGGTAAAGGAAATGAAAACAAAGCAAGACTTTATTGGTAAAGTCGTCTGATTTTTTCTGAACGCAAGGGATAAGTTTTGAAATTTTCTAGTATTTGGATCACACAAGGATAACAAAAATGGAACGACAATCAAAATGTAAAACTCTAAATTTTTAAAATGATTCAAAAAAATCTCAAAGGTTAATAAACCTATCTATGCTTTAAACTTAATGAAAAATGCAAACATTTACATATAAATTTTATTTTACAACACCATATAAACAAACAAACAAAAAAGGCAATACAAATGGAAAAAAAGGAAATAAGTACATACAAACACAACAAAAGAATCGAAAGAACAAAATATCAAGTATGGAAATATCTCAATCTGTCTTCTTCGCAACATCGATTATCCTCCTCCTGTTGTAGTAGATGATGTTCCAGCATCGGTGTCGCCCTTCGTTCCGCCAGCACGTGCAGGTGTCGCTGTTAATGGGCGGCCAAATTCGTCCAAAGCCATTGGTTCCACCACAACTTCCTCCACGTGGTAGACTAAAAATGGGGAAAAATTTTCGTTATTCAAAGACGGATGACGCAACGAACCATTTGGTCTCGTGTCAGATGACGTTCCACCCCCGTCCTCAGTTTGCTTATCTTCACAGGGTTGCAATTTGTGATTTCGATTCCAAAATCCCTTGTGCTTTTTCATTAAAAAGCGTACATCGAGCGGTAATTCATTCTGACTCTTCCTCTTCACATTGCGGATGATCTTCAGCGTGACCACTGTCCTTTGTTCGATTGCTTCCCGGATGAGCCTTTTTGCTTCGTCGTTGTTAGTAACGACTTTTCCCCCTACTGAAACAAAATAAATTTATTTCCGGTTAATTTTGAGTTATCTTTTACCTTTCTCTAAGATGTCCCCATATTGAAAAAACTGATTTGCAATGCTGCCCGGCTGAACTTGCGTCACGACAATGGTACCATCCTAAAAATCAAAACAAATTTCCTAAAAAAAACTCCTAAAAATTTGTCTTACCCTGTTCTCGATGACCAGCCCAAGAGGCAAATCCGCCCTCCAGCGAGCTTGTACGTAGATGGCCTCTTCCCGTTCGCCTTTTGCACACCTTTTAATGACCTTCATTCTGTAGTAGATGTCGCGTCGGAACTGAACGTTGACACTTCTAGGCAGCCGTCCTTCCGAGCAGCGCGCATTGAACTCGTCACCAGAGTTGATTGCCTGAAATTTAGAGATGCGTTGTTTAAGCCTAAAGCTTATAATCAGTCCATACTTGTCCGTCGACGCTCAAAACGACATCACCAGGCATCAAATGTCCAAGGAAGCAGGAGTCGTACCGGAGACGTTCAACGCGCGGCGGGTTTACTGCATAAAAAGTGACGCCAGGTTTTGCATCGGGCACCAGAACTTGCATGGTCTCTTCCTGGATGTACCTCTGACCTTAAAACAATAAGCAGGTTGTTAATAAGAAAAACAATAATTAAAGCAAACTCACTTTTTTGTGACATACGAGCCCGCGAAAGGTATAGTTGAAGGTCCGAGTAGAGTTGGATATAGTGTAGTGTACCGGTGGTAAAAGTTCGGGACGTGACATATGTCATTCGATTCGTCTCGCCGAGCTGAGTCGAACGGTACCACTCCCTACTTTAGGAAATGATTCTGGACCGAGTTATAGGTCCCGAAAAATTGAAAAACCATAGGGGGGAGTAAGCTCGATTTTGGGGTGAAAAATTCAAATATGCAAATAATACCTCATTCGAAAGAGCTCGACGAGCTGAGTCGAATGAGACCAAAATCACCGTGATTGAATAAGATTAGACAAAGTTATGACACAAAAAACAAAAAAACCTAAACCTATGGGGCGTCGGCGAGGCGCTTGTGCAAAACCCCGCGCTTCGCGCGGGGTTTTGCGGCACGCGCCTCGCGGGGAGTCTACGGGCGCTGGGTCTGGGCTCGTAACATAAACCTATTCCTAGCTCCCTTGCTCTGGACGTATTTGGGGCCTCCGTAGCAGCAAAAATCTCCACAGATCCCATAGGTAAGGAGCTAAAATAAAAGATCATAACTTTGTCCAATCAAGTCGGATTTCGTTGATTTTGGTGTCATTCGACTCAGCTCGACGAGCTCTTTCGAATGAGGTATTATTTGCATATTCGAATTTTTCACCCCAAAAAAGTGCTTGGTCCCCCCTTTGGTTTTTCAATTTTTCGGGACCTATAACTCGGTCCAGAATCATTTCCTAAAGTAGGGAGTGGTACCGTTCGACTCAGCTCGGCGAGACGAATCGAATGACATATGTCACGTCCCGAACTTTTACCACCGGTACACTACACTACAGCCGTAGAGTTGAAGAACGCGTCCAGATTAGTGGTTGTTGAATTGATGGAGTCTGATGGAGTCATTGAATTGCTAGTGTTTATATAGTACTTATCTCACGGCTAATGATAAAGTTAAGAAAATTATTTTTTAGTCTTACAAGTAGTCTTTTCGACTAGCTCTTTTTATTTTGAAAAATTTTCATTTTTTGGCATTGTGTTATTGCCAAACTAGCACTAAAATTTTATTTAAAATTTATCGATTTTAATTTAAATAAACTCTAATTTAATTTATTTTTTTAACAATTTTTTAGTATCCTCCTAATCTTAAAATAATGGATGACAAAATTAATTCTAAACCTCAGTCATTTTATGGATTTCCTTCAAATGTTCCAATCCAACTTAAACAAGCATATGCACAACGTGGAATCAAAAAACTTTTTCAATGGCAATCGGAATGTTTATCAGATTCATCACTTTTTGCTCCAGATTATTCAAATTTAATTTATTCAGCACCAACAAGTGCAGGAAAAACATTAATTGCTGAAGTATTGGCTGCATGTAATTGTTTGGAAACTGGACGTCGAACAATTTTTGTTCTTCCCTATATTTCTGTGTAATTTTATTTTTTTTTTAAATTTAAAAATTAATTTTTAAGTGCTCGTGAAAAACTTCTCTACTTACAAGTATTTTAATTATTTATTTTCTTTATTTCTCCTTTTATTAGTCATTATGGCGTTCTATTGGATTAGTTGTTAAACCATTTATTGGCGCCTCTTCCACGAGTGTTAATGGGTGGTCTGCTGCTGTTTGCACTATTGAGAAAGCTAATGCTCTTTTAAATGCCCTTATAGAAGTCGATTCTGCACATGAAATTGGTTTGTTTTTCAAAGAATTTAAATTTTTTATTATTAAGGAACTGTTGTTGTCGATGAATTACACATACTTTTTGAAAGTGAACGTGGCGCCGTTGTTGAAAATTTGATTGCAAAATTGGTATTTATTTCCAAGCAAAATGATTCTTCTAACAAGTTTAATATATTTTTTGGTACCTATTGGTTATCCCAAACCAGTTTTTGCGGACATATTTATGCGGACTCATTTTGTACGGAATGGTTAAAGGTTCTTTCTCCCTCGGTTTCATTCACTTTTCCCTAGCCTTTCATTGAATAATGCAACAGGGAAATAGGGTGAAAATGACGAAGGAAGTTGCAATTCTGTACATCAAGTGAGTCCGCAAAAATTGGTTAGGGATAACCAGTAAGTACCTGTTTTTAATTCTTTTTCCTCTATTTTTGCCTTTTAAGAATTCAAATTATTGGATTGAGTGCTACTTTAGGTGATAATGAATTACATAAAATGTTAGCAAATTGGATTGATGCCCGAACTTTCCAAACAGAATTTCGTCCATTAGAATTGCACGAATATTTAGTTCATGAAAATGGTCATATTTTTAATTTGCTTGAAAATGGGGAAAAATGTAGAGAATTGGATGAAAATTTTATAATTAAAGGAGATAATAAATGCATAATTGGGTAAGAGTTGTTTTTGTTTTTTTTAATTTTTGTAGAATTACTTTGGAAGCATTACTTCAGTCACAATCAATTCTTATTTTCTGTCCAACAAAAGCTGAGGCAGAACAAAGCGCTATTTTGTTGGCTAAATATTTAAAATATTGTATAGACAAGGTTTGTTTTTTTTTATATTTTGGATTAATATTTTCATTTTAGGGAGATGCCAATCGTTTTCCTGAACTTTCTTCTATCCTTCCTCGTGAAAAAATATCAGAAGCTATTGAATATTTTCGGCAGAAAAATGCATGTTCTGAACGTGATCTTCTTCAATGTATTGGTCAAGGTGTTGCTTTTCATCACGCGGGGTTGACAATTGAAGAGAGGGAAGTTATTGAGGCGTTGTTTCGTTCTGGACATTTACGCGTTTTAGTTAGGTTAGTTTTTAATATTAAACAGACGGAATATCTAAAAATATTTTTTTATTTTTATTTCTTTTCCACTCCCTTATTTGCAAATTCTTAGCTAGCAAAAATATTTTCAGCACTTCAACTCTCAGTTCTGGTGTAAATTTGCCTGCACATCGAGTTCTTATTCGAACAAGTGCTGGTGGTCCTGTCCCCCTCAGTTTTGTAACTTACAGTCAAATGGTTGGACGTGCTGGTAGACAGGGACAAACAATTTCTGCTGGTTTTTAATCTTTATTTTTTTTAATTTAATATTTAGGTGAAAGTTATTTACTCTGTAATGCCACCGATTGGTTAGCTGTTCAACGTCAAATTCAACGTCGTACATTTAACCGACCTAAACGAACATTTGGACGTCTTTTACTCGAGGTTGGTCAGAAAATATTTTTAAATTTTTAACATTTAAATTTTAGACAATAAACAGCTCTTTATGCAAAAATCTTGGCGATGTAAATAATTTAATAGAAAGTTGTCTTTTTAGTCAACAAGCACGTTCATTAGACGAAGAATTAACATATTTAATTCAATTAAAAGTTATAACATTAGGTGGTGATTCTTTGGCAGAATTTGATGAAGAAAAGAGTGATAGTGACAATATTAATGTTCAAAACCAACCTGAAATTGGGCCTGATAATAGTTTTGATAAACAAACTACTACTAAATCTACTTTGGTAAATTTTTGTTTAAAAATTAAATAACGGACTAGAATTTTAGGTTTACTTTTAATTATTTTTTCAATTTTTAGGTTCGTCCAACCCAATTAGGCCGAGCTGTGCTTGCCTCTTCTCTTGATTTAAGAACAGCACTTCAAGTATTTGATGGACTTAAGAAAGCTATGCAATCTATTTGTTTGGATACAGAATTGCATATGCTTTATTTGGTAATAATTTTTGAAAAAATATTTTCTAATTCATTTAAAGGTCACTCCAGTAAATAATTTGGCAATAAATGAAAATTCAATAAATTGGAATTTTTTTCACAAGCAATGGACTAAGTTGTCAGAGGAACGACGTCGCGTAGCTCATAGAATTGGAATTTCTGAAGAATTTTTTATGCAAAAACTTGGTGGGCGGTCATTTCCTAGGGATCATCCTTTATTAAATGTAAAATTTTTTAATTCTTCTTTTCTTACTATGTATACATTGATGAAATTAAATATTTTTCTTTTTTAGTTACATGTACGTTTTCTGGCTTCTCTTATTCTATACGAACTTATTAATGAAAAGGCACTTCAGGATGGTAAATAAATTAATTTTTATTTTATAAAAAGATTTTTTTTAAATTAAAGTTGCTAAAATTTGGGGTATCAATCGAGGGTTACTTCAATCTTTACAACAACAGGCAGCTACTTATGCTTGTAATATTTATTTTTACTTCAAATTTATTTGAATTTTTTAGATATGATTGTCTCTTTTTGTGATCGTCTTGGTTGGGTTCATTTAAAAACACTTTTGGATGATTTTGCTGAACGTTTACAATTTGGAATTAGAAGAGATTTAACTGAACTTGTTCGAATACAAGGTCTTTTATTTTTATAATTTTTTATATAAATCTTTTAAGGAATTGATGCAATTCGTGCTAGAGCTTTTCATAGAATGGGAATAGAATCTCTAGTCTCACTTGCTAATTGTCCTTTAATTCGCGTTTGTACTGTATTGAGAAAAGCTGTTCCGTTTAAAATGTATTTTTTATTTTGATTTTTTGATTATTTTGTAAATTTACAGAAATTCTGACACTGAAGGTTTAAATTCAGAAGATGGGGAGGAGGAGAAGAACACATGGCTTCATGATGAACCCCCTACTTATGAACGTGTAGCAGCAAAAACATTAATTGAACGCGCAAAAATTGCCATTAAAGAAAAGATCAAGTTGGTTTTTTTATTTTTTTGGTTCAAATTTTAATTTTTTAGAGCCTTCAAAATTGTCAATTTCCCTACTTGTATCTCTAAAAGTGATGTCAATTTATCTCTTCGCTTTGATACGTCAGTATTGAGTGTTTTGGACAATGATGATGGAGAAGATAAATTGGCAGAATCTACAGCTGTTGCTGATCTTTCTAAAAGTATTTTGGAAGAAGCTTGGCTGTCTGAAGATGAAAGTAATAATAACTCTTCTAATGCTTTACTTGGTGGTATTTCTTTGTTGGCAACTACAGATGAGGAAAGTGCTGTTGATTCGCTTTGTGATTCTTTCTCTCCGTTGCGTTTAGAGAAGCCAATGATTGTAAATTTTTAAAAATAAATTTATTTTAAAATTATATTTTTAAGTCTAATGAACGTGAAGATACCAATAACAATGCTAAAGAAAAGAAGATTCCCCCAATATTTAACATTGAAGATTTTAAAGAAAATATTCCTCCAGAATTTTTAGAAAATGGAAAAAAGAAAACTTTGGAAAAGGAAAATAACAAAGATTTGACTCGTACTGCAATGAAAAATAGTTGGGCATCGAAGGTAAAATAATTATTTTTTAATCAAAAAGAAATTAAACTTCTTTAAAGGCTTCTGTTTCTTCTATTAATACGAAGGAAGTTCCAAATGCCACAACAATGCCTTCTTCCCCCTTTCACTCTCCTCGGGCAAAGAAATTTGCAACAACAAAAGAAATAAATTGTGAATTAAAGAATATTAATTCTAATAATAAAAATTGTAATAAAATTAAAACAAAAATTGAAAAAACAAAAATGGCTGTAATAAATCCAATTTGTAGGTAAAATAAACTAAAAAATTATTTTTTAAATTTATTTTTAAAATTTGTAGTTGTACATCAATTAAACAAATATTGGCAATATTTACTGAATGTTGGTTATTAATTTTGGATGATAATGTCTTATTAGCTTATGATGATGATTTTGATCAAACACTAGTATTTCATTCTTTCCCAGTTTCTACACTTCCAGAGAATTTTTGTAAAAAATTTTTTAAAATTATTTTTAGAAATAATTTCAAATTTCAGGCAAAATTTGTAAAAATTCTTCAACTCTTCTTTTTTCAATTTTGGAACATCCACGTATTCGTAAATGGGTTTTTTGTGGATTAGAATTTTTGAGAAAATTGAGGGTATTTTTGCCTGAATGTAACGAAAATAATCAACAAAAATTAATTGAGGTAATTAAATATTTTTTAAATTTTATTTTTAATATTTTGAGTCTAAAAATTTGTGGTGTTTACAAACATTGGATGTTTTAACAAATGGAAATGGCCCTTCTGAATTACTAGAATCTAATTCAAACATTAAATCATTAACATCTACAAAGCTCTTAAATATTCTTGAAAGGTAAATATTTTTAACATTGAACATTCTTTGCATTTTTTCATTAATTTTGAGCCTTTTTCCTATCCTTCTAAGATCCCTATATACATCTTCGGATGAATCAGCTGTCTTCGGATGACTTTTCTTCGTTCAGTTTTCGCATTTTATTATGCCGGAATTAGTTGTCTTCGGATGACTTCTCTTCGTTCAAATTTCGCATTTTATTATGCCGGAATTAGTTGTCTTCGGATGACTTATCATCGTCTTATCGCCCCCTTCATTTTCCATGCTATTTTTATCAGAACCTACTAATTTTCTTTCTCAATTTGACTTTTTCTTGCTTTACTTTTTTTATAAATCCTTTTAATTTTTTAAAGATTTACCTCTTCCAACAAATTTGCTTTAAAAATGTATAAAAAACTAAGCAATTCAAATCAAAAAATATCACCAACTTTATTACTTCAAACAATTCAATTTTTAAGTCGAACTATTTTTAATGAAATTAAAAATAATAAAGAAAATAAATATTTAATTTTTGATAATAATTTATTGGATTTATATATGAAAAGTATGGTTGTAAGTTTTTTTTTAAAAAGGGATTAAAAAAATAATTTTTTAATAAAAGATAACTGCCAAAATGGAGTCTATTGGAATTAAATTAGATAGAAGAAAAGCAGGCAAAATGGTTTCTTATATTTTGGAGAAAATGGTTTTTATTGAAGGGGAAATTTATAAATTGGCTGGGGAAAGATTTAATTTAGATTCGGCATCCGAAGTTTCAAAAGTAAAATTTTTCTTTTGATTAAAAATATTTTTTTAAAAATATGTAGATTCTCTTTATAAAATTACAATTAAATTTGCCTGAACATATAATTACAAATAATAATTGTAAAACTCGTAAAAGGCATCGAAGACATTTTCCAACAAATGCTTCTGTATTAAAACAAATAAATCATCCAATTTGTGTAAAAATAGAAAAATGGAGAAGAATGGCAAATGCTCTTTCTGTAAATTACTTTTTTAATTAAAATTTTGAAAAAAATTTTTTAAAGTGTTTGAGAAGTCTTCTCGCTTCTGTTTCAAGTGGAGATTCTCGTATATATACTCATTTTGAAAATATTGGAACAATAACTGGAAGAGTTTGTTGTTTTTCTCCAAATTTACAATTTATATCGAAAAAGTCTTTATTTGATGAAAAAACAGCAATTTCTGTTCGGTCAATTTTTGTTGTGCCGAATGGTAAAATAATAAATCTTAATTTATTTTAATTTTAAAAAGGTCGAATACTTTTGGCTGTTGATTATTCCCAATTAGAATTGAGAATTCTTTGTGCCCTTTCTGAAGATTTAGAATTGGCAAAAATGTTAAAAGAAGAAGATCCTTTTGAACGTATTTCTATTGAATTTGGAAGGTCTATTAATTCAAAGAATAATGAAAAAGGAAATAATGAAATTGTTGGTATTGGACGTGAAAAGGCAAAACAAGTAATAAAATTATTTTGAATTTTTGAAAAAAATTCTAAATAGTTGCTGGTCACAAAAAACTATTTAAATAATTATTAGAAAAATTTCAAAATTAATTTTTAAAGCTTTGTTATGCAATAATTTATGGAATGGGTGCTACAACTTTAGGAAATGAATTAAAAATTCAAACAGAAGAAGCACAATTATTAATTGATGGATTTTTTAAACTATTTCCAAGTAAATAAAATTTAAAAAATTTTAATATATTTCTTTTAGAAGTAAAATATTGGATAAATAAAAATATAGAAAAAAGTAAAGAAAATGGTTATTCTACAACATTTTTTGGTAATAAACACAATTTTAATTGGGAAAAGGATAAAGAAAAAGTATCTGCACAAAATGCTTTGGAGAGACGTTGTGTTAATTTTGTAATACAGGCAAGTGATTTTTAAGAATTATTAAAAAAATTTTTTTTTAATTTAAGGGAACAGCTTCGGAATTATTTAGACAAGCAATGATTAAAGTTGATGAAAAATTAAAAGGTGAAAATTTATTTATTTGAGATGTTACGCTTACATAAAAATCACAAGACAGTCGCGTCTTTGTGCTTACATAAAATCAGCGTCTTCCGCAAAAGCGACTGGCGCAAAGCGACAAAACGCTAATTTTATGTAAGCATAGAGCAGCGACTTTCGCCTCACGATTTTTGTGTAATCGTAGCACAAAGTAGGGGAAGGATTGAATATTTTTTGAATTATTAAAATGAAAATAATATTTGGGGGTGTGACGTTTTTAAATTTGACGTTTAAATTAAATTAAAATAATAGATATTGGTCAACCTAAATCTTCGGATAACCTTTTTTAAATCTCCAACCGTTATCCAAATATTTTATTATTATTTTAATTTTTTAAAAGAAATTTCAAATGCCCAACTAGTTATGCAATTACATGATGAATTACTTATTGAAGTAGATGAAAGTTGTTTGGAAAAATGTGCTTTAACAGTTAAAGAATGCATGGAAGAAATTAATTTAAATAAATCAACAACAAAAGAAGAAACAAATAATTTTTTTGTTAATTTTCCCGTAAAATTATCTATTGGGAGGGATTGGGGGTCTTTAACAAAATTAGAGGCATCTTTAATTTTATAAACTTTTTTGGGTATTTCATCATTTCATGACCTTTTTTTACCTACTTATTTTTATTTTAAAAAATTATCTTTTAAATGAGGGGTTCGTTTAACAATTAGTAGAATTTGTCATTGTTTTTGACAAAAATTAATGCAAATACAGTAGTGGACATAAAGATAGGGACAAGAGTAATTTAAATGAAAATTAACTATTTCTCAGTCGAAAAATACGATCTATATATCAATCGAAAGCTCTATTCGTATCTCAGTTGACATGTTTCTGCATTTTTCATGAAAATGAAAATCGGCCGAGATAATCCGGATCTACCGGATACACCAAATCCCATAGCCTCGGAAAAAATTTTCGGAAAAAATTTAACAAACCCATTTGATAAAGCATATTTTTGTGAGTATTTTCTACAAAACCGCTTAAAAATATCTCTTTCCGGGACGGAGATATGATTTTTTGAAAATGGCATTTTTCCCTTAAAAATTGAATTTTTTGCAAAAATAGGCTAAAAATGCCATTTTCAAAAAATCATATCTCCGTCCCGGAAAGAGATATTTTTAAGCGGTTTTGTAGAAAATACTCACAAAAATATGCTTTATCAAATGGGTTTGTTAAATTTTTTCCGAAAATTTTTTCCGAGGCTATGGGATTTGGTATATCCGGTAGATCCGGATTATCTCGGCCGATTTTCATTTTCATGAAAAATGCAGAAACATGTCAACTGAGATACGAATAGAGCTTTCGATTGATATATAGATCGTATTTTTCGACTGAGAAATAGTTAATTTTCATTTAAATTACTCTTGTCCCTATCTTTATGTCGATGACTGTATTTTATATAAATTTATTTTTTATACAAAAAAAGCTTTAATAAAACCAGCATTTCCAAGCTTATAATCTCTTTAAATTTGGACATTTCCTTCGTCATTTTGTTGTTTTGGTTAGCCATTTGCCGGGACAACGGAGGAGCCAAAAGATGACGCTTGAAAGAGAAGGGGGGTGGGGGTAGTGTGTTTGGGGGGAAAAGGAGGACACAACAACAACACCCGGCGACGAACGACTCAATTCAACGACGTACCAATCTGTGGTAGCCCCTACCTAGAGCGGCAGAAAAGGGGATGACAGCGACACAATGAACCTCATCCGCGTCTCATCCTTTTTTTCTTCATTTTTAAAAAAAGAGGGTCATCTAAAGGAAATACACTTGAGTCAGAAATTAAAGTTTTTAATTTATTTTTTATTTATTTTCTTTTTTTATTATTTAAAATCAAAATAAAAAATTTTTTTAATTCCATTTATTCCTGAGGGGAAAATTTTTAATTTTTTTTTTTAATTTAAGAAAAATTCTCTCAGACTCAAATATTTAAAAATAACCTTTGCTTGTTCATCATAAACGGAAAAGCCTTTCTCCTCCTCCTTTGACCTTCATTTCGGCCCAATGCCCACCCTCATTCTTCCCCTTTTTTATTTCTTCAATCTCTTACAATCTTTGTGCCTTTTTTTATTTAAAAAATAGCTCGATTGGTTAAAAAGCAGATGAGGGAGAAAAAAGAACGCCGGAGGTCGTTTGGCTTCATTTTTGTGTTTTTCCCCATTTTTTCTCCTCTTTTCACGCCACAAAAGAGGTTGACCCAGCAGGTATTTTCTTCTTCTTCTTCTCCGCCTTCTTTTTCTTCCCTCTTCATTCATTCACATACACAAAAATGTTGTTGATGATGACCAACACAAAACTATCACTACTTTTTATATAAAAATTATATATTTTTTTTGTTTTGTTTTTGTGTGTTATCCAAATAAAACTAACGAGAAAAACTACGAGAGAATGCTCTGAAAAATATCCAAAATTTATTTTTGTCCGAAAAAAATAACAACTTTTTAATTTTTGTTAGATTAAAAAGAGTATCTAATTTTCTTTTTGAAATTTTTTACTTTATTTGATTTTCTGGTCTAATAAAATTTTATTTTAATTAAAATTTAATTGACAATTTTCTTTTAAAAAATTTATTTTATATTTCATTTAAAGTTTAATCCCCCATTTTGTATTAATTTATTTTTCTATTCAAAATTATTAACTACAACAAATTATTATACAATATTTAAATTTCTAGCCAAAATTATGCCCGTGAATAATTCTTCGGTTACCGTGAATTTTTTTTCAAAATATGTCGGTCACCGGGAATTTATTCATGAGTATAGATTATTGACTATATAAATAAATATAATTTTTTAATTGCTTGGATATTCTTAAATAAAACTACAAATTAAATTCAGGAATTGTCCACTAAATAAATTCAAAAACTTGAAAAACTTTAATTAAAATAATATTTTATATTTACATTTAAAAATTTAAAAAATCAGAAAGCTTTGATCAGTTAAAGCTAGGAACGAGATAAATTTTAATGAGATAATTTCTAATAAAAAATAAAAGTCTTTAGAAAAAATAAAAAATTCAAAAACATTTTTTAAGAAATATACATTTTCAGTCTTTAAAATTTTGATGAAAAAATTAAAATTGAACGCTTACATTAGGAAAATTTGAGGGGCAAGTTATATATGTAGAGATTCCACTGTATTTATATTAAAGTAACAATACATAGCAACAAAAGATTACTGTTTTCAGTTTTTGCCAAAAAAGGGAAGGATGAATAATTAAACATGAAAATTGTGATGGAAATAATTCTGATTTCAATTTGTAAAAAATATAATCACATGTTTTCAGAGTAAAAGATAAAATATACTAGTTAGACTTGTTTGTTTTCTTTTTGTATTCTAGAAGGCATCTGAAAAACTGAGAAAAAGTAGGGGACAAAATCCTAACTTTTACCGATAATGGAGAAGTACTTCTCGATAATTCTAATGCATTTATCCAGCAAAAAAAAAGAAAAGTTTAAAAATAAAAAATTTGAAAAATCAGTAGTAACGAGAAAGTAAGGGAATGAAACGTCCGTTTTTTGTTGGAAATGAAATGGCGGGACTGAATTGTCCAGTTCCAAATTTTTGTTCGTGAGTACAGCCCAAAACGGCGCAAAGCCATAACTTACTGGCCAATTGCTGGCCCTAATTAATTTTGGAATCATATTCTTTAGCTCGATGAGTGGAGTTGTTTAATACTAAATTTGGTAAGATTCGGAAATAATGAAGCAAGTTTTGGCTTTGCGTTTTTATGGCCTCGCGCCGTTTTGGGCGTGTCCCCCCAAATTTTCGTTCGTTTGTTTCAGGCGAATGATTAAAATACTTTTAGTTTACATTATTAAAATTTGTCACAATTTCAGCCGAATTTTTGTTTTATTATAAATAAATGGAACAATGGGAAACCAACAATAATAGAAGTAATTTATTAGTTAATTCCTTAGTTTTTCAAAAATTATTCAATTTATTAAAAATGGAAGAAGTTAAAAATAAAGAAATACAAGAACAAAAACATTGGAGATTGGATATTGGTTTGTTTTGATTTTTTGAGAGAAAAAAATACTCAAATTTTAGGAGAAACTGTTCATGAAGATTTAACTCCAAAAGATTTAAATGTTGGCCTTTTCAAACATTTTATTGCGGGTGGAACTGCTGGGTTCTTTTCTAGAACAACTACAGCACCTTTGGACAGACTAAAAGTTTTTTTACAGGTTTCTAAATAATTTTCTTTCTCTTTTTACCTTCTGTAAATTAAATATCAAGAATTCTTTTCACATTATAAATGTCGGTCAAAAAATTTTGGTAATAGTCTGGAGGTCGTCCAACCCTGGCTCGTAACCATGGGGTGGGAAGAATGCCCCCCCCCCACCTCGAAATGGGGAAAAGGGAAAAATTTTTGGAGGGGATTGAGCAAAAAAGAGTGTTGGCCTAATTTTTTGGCGGGTAATAAGGAGAGAAGTGACTTCCAAACTGTTACCAAATTTTTTTTGAGTTTCTGCTCCTTTTGGACCAAAATATTATTCAAATTATTTTCAAAATTTGCAGGTCAATCCAACTTACACAGTTCCTTCAGCACTTCGATATTTACACAAGGAAGGAGGAATTTTATCATTTTGGCGTGGAAATGGTTATTTTTAATTATTAAAAATTAATTTATTTTTTAATTTTTAAAGGTATAAATGTTACAAAAATAGCTC